ACCCATTTCTCCGATTTCCAATGCTGATTTTTGAGGCATTGGTGGTTATATGTGCAGAATTCCAGGATACTTGTGAATACGTTGAGTATATGGTCCGTGTATTCACCAAGGTGCTTATTGGAAAGTGTACTTTTCAATAATGCCAATCTTCGTGCGAATGAAGACATGGTTTCGAAGAGAGACTCAATAGAATTCAGTGAGTCAGAGAGCTTCTCACACGTCCCCAAGGTGTACGTGACGGCGATTGTGATTATAGATGCCGCAGGAAAGACAATATTCGCGCCTTCTCCTGCAATTGAAACGGCTCCTTTCATGAAGAATATATACTTACCGAAGAATCGCCCGACTTTAGATAGCGTATCCCCCCTAAAGCGAGCTTTCTTGAACCCTTCGGACTCTCCGATCAGATAGGTCAATAGTCTATTCACCTCATCATCGTCCCCGGCCTCTGGTCTCCCGTTATCTATGTTGTCGCTGTTCCCGCCTTGCCGAATCATCTTCTTCCAGAGTTCTCTCAGCTGTCTACCACCCTCCTTGGACTTCTCATCCCTTAAGTTGACACCCGTCTGTTCCTCATGTGTCTTCACAGCCTTTTCCCACAAAGAGTTCAATTGAGTCATATCTTCTGCCATAACGAGAGCGTGAAGGTTTAGCGAAGACTTGTAGATATTACTTTGTTGTTATAGTTGCTCGACTTGTAGATATTGCTTTGTTGTTGTAGTTGCTCGACTTGTCTCAGACTTCGACCCGAATCGACTTAGTTGGGCAGCAAAGCCCAAATTTGTGACGAAGCCCAACGTACTCTAGCTGGCTGCATGTCGGATTGACTTCCTATTGTGTCGTCTTGCATTATTCGATGATTGGAGGAGTCATTATGCACCTATGCGCCGCGATGGTTCAATTCACCTAAAGGAGCTAGTGCCCCTGTGAGTTGAAACTGATACATGTCGGCTCTATGGGCTTGAGTTATAGGCGAGGCTGCAGAATCCATAAGAAACGAAAGCTCATATTATGTAGTAAAGGCAGCTGACCTAGGGCTTCGGTGCATATCCAAGGGGCAATCTCTATGTATTCGATGTGCCTTGAAGGAGCATCAAACCGATCAGGTCTATGGAACAAATGTAAGTTCTCGGGTGAGGATTCAATAGAAGGAAATGGAGCCGAAAGCTGGCGTGGGGCAGCCGTTGAAGACCACGTAACAAGTGAAATTAGATCAAGGCTAAGGAAAGACACAGTAATAAAAATAAGGTAGCCTTCTGATAAAAGATTCACGTCATCTGGCAGCTCCATATCGATTCACTCTACAGAGGTCAAAATGGTACTTTCTGTAAACTTTCATAACACTGAATATTCCTTATAAAATCCTGATTATAGACATTGTCTGAGAATATTTTACTGTGTTAAATTGGTTACTTTAAAGAGTGACTATTATATTATGTCTTATGTTATATCTTATCGTGTATTGGACAGAGTCATCAGAGCAAATCTGATCAAATCAATAAATACTAGACGTTGTCTATATCATGAGCTTGGGGCATAAGAGTTACGTCGTGAAAGTGATAGCGAAACATACATGGCAAAAGATAAATCAGGCAAAATGAGAAAAAAGAACACAAAACAACGATGAAAAAAATACTGGCGAGCTCCCAGGCTTGAACTGGGGCCACTTGCTTGTTTGGATTTCCCAAAGCAAGGATCGTACCACTAGACCAAGCCCGCCTTGTTCTTGTTGTCGATGTGTTTTGGTTGGGTTGTAACATATAAGGACGAGAATTCTTTGTTGTCCTGGCTTGCCTCAGCGTGTGACTCAGACGGCAAGAACGAAGATGTCCATTAATCCTTCCCAAATCCTCCTCAACCAAGCCACCGCCATGACCGCAGATACGAGCATATGCCTTTGGATACTCGTTTGAGGGCTCTATGACAGTATGATCAACTCATATAAACAGATCTCGCCGTTTTCCTTGCCCACTACCAAGCGGTTGCTATCAGAACTGAATCCGGCAGCCGTGGCAAACGATCTATCCATTACAAACTCGCCCTCAAACCGCCCAGTCACTAAATCCGAGACATCTAGACCCTGCTCGGTTCTGCAAGCCAGGTATTTACAGTTTGGCGATATGCAAAGTGGCCATCCCTCGTTCTGACGGACATCATTCAGGTTGTAAGTGGTGATGACCTCCCTGTTGGGATACCATAGCATCACCACGCGGCCCCAGATTGACGCAATCAACTGTCCATCCGGCGACACCTGCAGCATTTGAGGATTATGCCGTGTCTCTACTTCAAACTTCCGCAGAGTCCGGCCTGAAGATACACTAGTGAGCCTGCATGACCCGTCCTTGGATAGACTGACGATGCCGGTCCCGTCAGGCGTGAAAGCAAGGTGAGTTACTTCATCCATGTGTGAAGGAATCACGCGTATCACTCCCGTCAGCACTGACTCCGTGTCAGACTTCATGATCACAATGCGGCTCGTATCTCTCGATGACACAGCAGCGAGCAACAGCCCGTTTGGTGAGAAGGCGATGGGTGCCTGAACCCAGACGTCAGATTTGAGTCGAAAGTCCTTCCTCTGAAAGTCGAAGATTTCCAGGCGTGGCTTGCGGACTCGATAATATTTCGCTTCATGATGCTCAGCCAGTCGGAGAAAAGGGGTCGCTATCGCGTCGTCTGGAAGAGGCGCGAACGCGAAGTCTTTTTCCGCTTTCAAAAGCCTCTGCGTGAGGATTTCTTGGAAAGTTGATGCGTCAAAGTAGTATAACACATTCCACTCTTCAAAGTGGTTCGGTCCCATCGCGACTATCTTATCATCCCGCGGCGTAAAGGCAATCTTGAGGACCTCTTTGCGGTAATTCAATGGCATGATCTGTCGTTTCTGGATAAGGATCATAGTGGTCTGATCTGTCTGATTCTCAAGATGCGTTCCTACGGGCTCGCTGTCCGGAGGATCATCCCATCTTCTTCCCTCCCGACTGCGAGTCTCTGTAGATCCAGGGATCACACTCCCTTGACCTGTGGCGGCTGGTTCCATGTTGCGAAGGTTCACGGTGAATCGCTTGTCGATTGGCCAGTGATTAATGTGAGTCTGGTGATATCATCACGCTTTGAATCCATACAAAGACGGCGAGATTCACTATGCTGACTCATGTTGGAAGGATTGCGCATCGCAAGAATGGTATTAATCTCTATTGAATATAATGTGACGCAGTTTTTCACTGAAGTGATGTTGGGTGGCTGAGTGCGATACTGTGCCACAGTGTCCTACTGCCGCCTGGAAAATGGATGCGCATCCCTCTTGGCGACCGCCATCTCATTGGACACCATCCTCAGGAACACACATCGCCTTGGTCCGCCACAAACTCGGCGCCCTGCGTGTGTGCTATAGAGTACACCGAGCAGTAGAGGACAGCTTATGACCTTTTCGCCGCGACTGAATGGGAGTTAGTTAGCGGGCCGCTGCATGTCCCGCGTGACAAGTTGCTGCATCTACGGCAGGCACCATTGCAGTTAGCGTCGCCTCCTACGCCTGCACGTGAACGATTTGACAATTGAAGGCAGGGTCCCTTCTTCTACATCACATTCTGCATCAAATGCTGCGAACTTGTCGCTTTCAGCAATGTCTTACGCCCAGATTGGCTGGCACATTGAACCTTCTACCACTTCTATATGCTCCAGTGATGACTAAGCTGCAAGATAAAATTGAAAGTTACCACTCAAGAAGATGCATCGTAACTGTCCCCGACTGTATGCATTCGGCACTGATGCCACCAATGGGCGATTTATGAGGTGTACCGTTGAGACTTGAGGCTTCGAGACACTATTCTCGAGATATACTTTCCACATCCCACGGGACACTCACTGCTGGAATAACGTGGCCGTTAGAAGTATGCTCTCGGCCGGTCAACGTCCTGCGCCAATAACGTGACTCGGGTCGTTCCCTCTCAAGGCTCTGTTTGTCCATGATGAGCCATCGACCGCCAAGATATAAGCTGACAAGTGCGAGTTATCAACCAAAATGAAATGCGTACATACAGTAGGAGTGAGACCGAGAGCCGACGCGCCTACTCCGAAAGAGTGGCAAAAGCTGACGGGCCGTTCTGTTCGGGAACGGCGTTTGCCTCCCTCTTTGGTGGCTCTCCAGTCGCTCCTTCAATTCACTTGCAACACTCACCTTAGTCACGCAACACGAGATATATCTGGGCGAGGCTCGTGAGTGGTGCCTTGGGAGTATCCGTGCGTCTCTGACAGTCATTTTTCCATGTTATAACATAGCGTTTCTGGCTCTCTGAGTGGCCTGAAAGTGTCTTCTTATCAAGGCGCCCCGTTCTTTCCAGCTGACGCCGAGCTACCCGACCAGCTTACTATCTAGGCATCGCGGTGTGGAGAGAATCGACGGGGCTAGGAGTGTAGTACTACGCAGTAGGAGGAGTCTAGGACGGGAGTAGGACGGTAGCAGTACGGGGTGCGCAGGGTGACTCGAGGACGAAGAGGGTCAAGAGGGTCTTGGGGTGAGGGTGAGTAATGTCGGCTTCGGAGTGATTTTTGGCACAATTATGGGGGTGTGCTGCATGCTAGCCGAGCTAGCCTACTATGCAGTACATGCAGTAGTAGCCGTGCATCCTCAAAAAGGGTTTGGTTGTGTGGGGCGGCTCTGCACCAAGCTTTTGGCTAGAAGGCGAGGAAGGTCTTATGGAAGGAGCTTGTTTGTGTTAGTCAGAAATACAAGGGCGCGCATCCCTGATTCATGACGTGCTGGGATATGCTAGCCTCTGCTGCTGGGAGCAGCTAGGATCTGCTAGGATATCCGCAAAAGGGCGCGCGGCGAAGGATGAGACATCCCAGAAGTGGGCTCCCAGATGGTCGAATCGGATGACTCGAGTAATGAGATTACACGTTCTTGTTATGAATCCAAACTCTGCTTCGAGGCATCCCGCAGCAGATCTCTCCAATCTCTCCAGTCTCTCCAGTCAATCTCTCTCCTCTTCAGAGTGTACAGTATGAGAGTATGTGAGTAGTCTCGAGGTAGTGTCTCAGAGACGCCGCCGCCGCCGCTCGGAAGATGCTCGCTTTTATACCCGCCCCATTCCCTATCCCTGGTCTGCTCATGATCACATTTCATTACATTCCTTTCTATAAAGCCTTCTTGACGCGCCGATCCTGAGATCTGAACGGGTTTCCCGCACAGGCACCGCAGCGCAGGACCAACACCATCATCACCATGAGCGACCACGACGCTGAGAAGGCCATTCCCAGCAATGGCAATGGCGCCGCCACCGACAGCAGTGTCGCCTACGCCTCCGAGGGCCAGCGCGGTCCATGGAGCAGACGCTTCGTCGACAGCTTCAAGCGCGACCCCAATGCTCACGTCACAAAGAGCAGCGAGCGTGCTGTGACCAAGGGCTTCGACCATGAAGGAGCTGCCCAAGCCACCGCGAACTCGGGTCTGTCGCGAAAGCTTCAGGGTCGCCATCTGCAGATGATTGCTATTGGTGGTTCAATTGGTAAGCCATACACATTTCCTTCGTTGTCCACCTTAGGATTTGCCTTCGTGGACGTACTCTCGGAGAGCCAGCGGCGCATCAGAAGCCCACATTCGCAAACTGTCCTGCGAATGCAATGCTGCTAGATGATGCGCTGTTGCCTCTCCGAGACTGCCCACCTGTGAAAATTCGCCATGATGTCGAACAGTTGCTGACTTGTTACAGGAACTGGTCTTTTCGTCACTTCCGGCGCGGCTCTATCATCTGGTGGACCGGCCTCCCTCATCATTGCCTTCGGTATCATTGGTATCATGATTTTCTGTACGGTTCAGGCTTTAGGAGAGATGGCCGTCGTGTTCCCAGTTTCTGGCTCCTTCTCAGCATTCTCGACGCGTTTCCTCGATCCCGCTTGGGGCTTCGCCATGGGATGGAAGTGAGTTGAATCATCTTCTACACGCGCTAATAGCTCGTTGCTAATGATCAACAGCTATGCTATGCAATGGCTAGTTGTGCTGCCGCTAGAGATTGTCGCCGCTTCGATCACACTTTCATTCTGGCCTGGCGCAGCAGACACAAACTCCGCAGCCTGGGTTACCATTTTCCTGGTCGTCATCGTCGCTATCAACTTTTTCGGTGTCCGAGGATATGGCGAAGCCGAGTACGTCTTTGCCATTATCAAGATCATCGCCGTCATTGGCTTCATCATCCTCGGTATTGTTCTCAACTGTGGAGGCGGTCCGAACGGAGAGTACATTGGCAACCGTTACTGGAAGACAAACAACGTCCCAGCAGACTACGCCGGTTACTTCCAAGATCCCGAGGGCAACCCCCCTGGAAGCATCAAGTCAGGCGCATTCAACAACGGCTTCAAGGGTCTCTGCTCCGTCTTTGTTACTGCCGCTTTCTCCTTCGCCGGTACCGAATTGGTTGGTCTTGCAGCAGCTGAAGCCAGCAACCCCCGCAAGACCCTCCCCACTGCTATCAAGCAGGTCTTCTGGCGTATCTGTCTCTTCTACATGGTGGCCCTCACTGTCGTGTCCCTGCTGGTCCCCTATGGCGACGACCGTCTGCTTGGTAGCAGCTCTGAGGATGCCAAGGCTTCTCCGTTCGTTATTGCCATCAACAACGCTGGAATCTCCGTCCTGCCATCTATCATGAATGTCGTCATCCTCATCGCCGTTCTGTCCGTTGGCAACTCCTCCATCTATGGTTCTTCCCGTACTCTGGCCGCTCTCGCTGAGCAAGGCCAAGCTCCCCGGATTCTCGGCTACATCGACCGTAAGGGCCGTCCCTTGGTTGCCATCATTGTGTCTTCCGTGCTGGGTCTGCTCTGCTACGTCGTAGCCGGCGGCCAAAAAGACGCAAGCACCGCTCTTAACTGGCTCTACTCGCTCTCGGGTCTTTCCTCCATCTTCACCTGGGGCTCCATCTGCCTCGCGCACATCCGCTTCCGCAAGGCCTGGAAGGCCCAGGGCCACAGCCTCGATGAGCTCGCCTTCACTTCCCAGGCCGGCATCATCGGCTCCTGGATCGGCTTCATCCTCAACGCCCTCGTCCTCATCGCCCAGTTCTGGACTGCCGTGTGGCCCGTCGACTACAGCACCTACTCTCCCCGCGGCATCGCTGAGAACTTCTTCCTCAGCTACCTTGCTGCGCCTGTCGTCATTCTCTGCTACATCCCCTACAAGATCTACTACAAGACCCCCTTCATGCGGTCACACTCGATTGATCTCGTCACGGGCCGCAGAGAGCTTGACACGGCGGAGATCATCGCCGCCGAGAAGGCGGAGCAGGCCAACTGGCCCAAGTGGAAGAGGGTCTGGAAGTGGCTCTTCTAAATAACGGCTGCGATGCATGTGATCTGATGCGAGGGGATTCTAAATCCTCCGATGACAAACCGCCATTGAATGTCCCCATCATGTGGGGATGCAATCAGACACTTCGCCATAGTGGCAACCGTTAATGGTACATAATCTGCACTGGAAATCACTTGTGCATAAGAGATGCAGGTGTTTCATTGTGATCTTGTGCCATCGCATACAAGTAGAAAGACTATCACATAGAAAGGATATAACTGAGTGGTTTAAAGAATATACCATTTCACACCACATGGCTCATTGTGTCATCTTAATAAGTGTTATGCTCGTTCCCGGAAGTTATCGATATTCTCTGCCGGTGCCAACTCAAGGGCGCTGTTTAGGCAAAATGTGTCAAACTTGGCGTAAAGAAGATTTTGCCCAGGCCGGCAACAACACCTGTTCGTTTGAGCATTCAATGCGCCAGGAGCCCTGTAATCCGTCATCTTGCGGAAGAAACTTACCAACACAGCTTTCATACAGCTTGGACATCTTTGCTAGACTGTCTAGGTATAGACAGGGATGGCACTACAACTACACCTGGTGGCCCTTGCGATCTCAGTGATCCCAGCCATAGCGGATGTGCTGCATTCTGAGAGTGCTATCTGTCGACGGGGATTATTGAATATTAGGGAGCAGAATACATGCTTGAGAACTCCGCTTGTCGAAGGCAGTGAAGCTGTAAAGCAATCTGGCTGGCAAGGACCTCACGAATGCGTTGACGAGTACTGCATCTTTTCAAATCAGGAGGTGGGAGATGGTATTGTTCTCGTCACCACCATCGAAAATGCCAAGCTAGTTGCGGACTTTCCTACCATAAGTGATCTTGGATCGTCGACAGCTGGATTCGATGTTGCCAGTGTCCCAGGGAAAGGCATCGGCTTAGTTGCAAACCGAGCAATTCCAAAGGGGGAACATATCATGATCAGCCCGCCTGCTATGATGGTTCAAGTGGATGCACACAAGGATCTATCACCTGAAGAGAGATCATATCTCTACGATCTAGCAGTGGAGAAGCTGCCACCCCATGGGAAAGAAGCTTTCATGCAGCAGATGGGCGATGATGTGCATGTCAAACTCGACAAGAATGGTTTCGGCATGCATATCGGCACCGATGACAGCGGTGGCCACATAGGAGGCTTCTCCGGCGCCTCTCGTATGAATCATGATTGCAGGCCAAAGTGAGTAGCAGACGACCCCTGACAAACATGAGGCGCAATTCTGACACGCCCCAAGTGTTGCCTATCGCATCACCAACATAACGCACATCACCACAGCCATCCGCGACATTGCTCCGGGAGAGGAGCTTACAATCAGCTACATCAATGCCAATCTGCCTCGCTCCGAGAGGCAAGAGCGCCTTTCACAGTGGGGGTTCCAATGCCGGTGCGCGCATTGCAGCATGGGCGATGCCGAGGCCGAAGCGTCAGACGCGCGGGTCCGCTTAATCGCAGAGCTCGAGACAGAGCTCGATGATCCATTCAGCAAGAAAGTCACGGCTGAGACAGGCGCTCAGCTAGTTGCCCTGTACGAAGAGGAGCGTCTGGACATCTACTTGGGTCCGGCTTATACTAGAGCGGCATTGAACTACGGGCTGTTTGCGGAGGAGAAGAAGGCGAAGGAGTATGCGCAGAAGGCCATCGGCGCATTGACGCGACAGTCAGGCCCCAAAGCCGGCGACTTGCCCTCGTTGGAGGCGCTGGCGCAGGATCCGAGAAGCCATTGGACATGGGGCAAGCGTAAGGTGGTGCAAATACCAGTGGAAGACCTGAATTTTGCATAGACAGTAAACAAGAAAAAAGAAAGAGGACGCAAACAAATTGACAATCATCTTCTAGATTTCGCTCTTCGTATTGGTTGGCTCTACTCACCTGTGTCATGCGTTGGGTCCATCAATGACTTCAATGTCACAAGCGGCTCGAAGGCGAGATCGAGGTGCTGGAGAAGACACTACTAACCTTCGGTAGGCTCGGGCCGGTGCAGTGTGGCTTCGCCTACCTAGCATTCATCGGCTCGCTAACAAAGGCAGGCTTACTCTCAGTCCTCAACTTCCACGACAGATGAAGTTGCGGTTAGTTGCAGTCCATAGTCACTCTGGTTACGCAGCTGAACAAACCCTTCAAAGTTTTTGTCGACGAGTCAGAAACCCCCTATACGAGTTCCGTAGATTTAACAAAAGCAGCAAACACTTCATTCCCGCTGAAACCGCCACCGACATCTTAGACTTCAGCCTCCCGGAGCCAACGACGACACCAACGCATCCACGCACCTGGGAAGTCCCATTACTCATCCAGCCACCACACCGTTATAGGCCTCGAACCAATGTTTACACGTCAAAAACGAGATGGTGTGGTCAGCCGCGGCCAAGGGTCTAAAATTACCTACCTTAGCCATGTTTTGGCGAATCCTTCTGGCTCTTGGCCCCCAATGTCGCCTAACAGGGCGTGAACCACCAAGACGGGCTGCATAGAATGTGGTGTTATTGGGTATGACAGCAATGCAAGGCTCCGATGACTGCGTTGTAGGCAATGAGACAGCAATAAGAGCTCGACATGTCGAAGCATTTTCTGTGCCATGTTCCCTTTGCATCTTGCTTCCTTGCCTCCAAGGTGTTAGTTGAACACGCGGGAAATAGAACGCCATGGCTGGTATCAACCAACAGCCCCTTTCTCAGGGGCAACCTCACTCTGATATGCAACAGGTTCAACGAAAGCCCATAGCGTCAACCTCTTCCCTTGCTGCCAATGCTCAGTTTGAAAATCACGAGCAAAATGTCAGCAACCTATCATATGGGTCCAATGTGGATTCGAAAGAGCCCAAACACAACCAGAAATGGTGGCCATGGGCCAAGACGCCAGAAGAAAAGATACAAGCAAATTATACGTCAAGATTCAGCGGAAAGCCAGGCTTCAAGCGACTTCGTAGAGTCTACCATCCTCACCCTCAGCCGGGACTGGACCCTGAGAAGCTTCGTGGGAACGAGGCTGAAACAGGGGACTGGGAGACAGACAAAGGAGAAGTGGTCAAAATCGATGGAAAGTATGCGTACCGCAATGAATTCCACCAAATCTCGCGAAAGTTTGAGGACGTAGCTGTCTACCTCAGTCCGACAAATTACATACCCCGACGACTGGTAGTCCAAGCCACTCGACATGTTCTCAAGAACAGACTTGGCACCGGTGACTGGATACGTGCCGGTGTCAGTGGCAACGTCCCCTTAGTGCTAAAAATTGCTGAATGGGCCCTTGGTCCATTTGCAAAACCCGGATTCCTCCACAAGTTGGACGGCGGAGTCCGCATGCTTGCAGTTGCTGTTCCTCTTCAAATCATGCTTGCGATCCCCGGAGTATCGTCTTGGGAAGACGTTGAAACCGCCGATACGTATACCGACTACTCGGGTTATTATTGGGATTGGCCAAAATATGCCATCAACTATCTGGATATGGCGCCCGGCACTGACGCCTTGGCCAAGCAAGATCCCGATTTTGATGTGAGGCGGAGATCGATACGTCCCAGATGGCTCGTTGCCAAGAAGGGCAATGAATGGATTACAGTGGATGGGAGAGTTGAGGCTAGCCTGAAGTATGTTTTCATCAGTTATGCTTGGGTGCAGTTCGAGAAGTCTGGCGGCAGTGACAGAGTCCGCCGCATGGCTCAGAATATTGCAGAACAGCAAGGCTGTAGCGCGTATTGGCTTGATGCGCAACTCGTCGAAAAAGAAGACGGAGATGTGAAAGATTACGATGTTTATACAATGTGTGATATTGTACGAGGAGCCACCGCAGTTGCTGTGATGCTTGGAGAAAACACCCTTGAAGCCAAAGCAAGTTGGGGCAAGAGGATGTGGACTCTTCCCGAAGGGCTCCTAGCCCCTGGCGATGACTTGCTGTTCTGTTTTGAGGATAGTCAAGGCATGTTGCAGACAGACACCATCCACAAAGTCGAGATGACTGCCACCTTTTGGACGGAACAAGACGGCCGAGACGATCATGAGGGCGGTAGCGCTACTCGACTACTGGCCGAGCATTTCGCTGGACTTCTCACCCTGAGTCGCCTCGAGATGCTTCCGGCCTCGATCACGGCACTCAACTACAAGATGAGGAATGAGTTCACAGGCTCTGACTTGGCATACGCGGTCATGGGCCTTCTGCATTACCGCATCGAGCGTAACGACGGTGACACACTCTTTCAAAACCTCGCTCGCCTGTCGCTTGGTAATGATAGCGATCAGCTTATCGAGAGAATGATATCTCTTCTCCCTCAACCTCAGCCAATCATGACACAAACTGGCATCAAGACAACTACTGACCGCCCTCTTTTTGAGGTTCTTTCCGAAAGAGACCAGTTTGAGACCCTCTTGTATCACGTCACGCCCCTTTGTGACGTTGTCGGTGTCGCCAACGAAGACGAAACCGTCATCTTAGACAACTGCCGTGCCATCCATATCCGCTGGAAGGACTTCCCACAGGCCATCGTCCAGCGCAACTACGGCTTCAAGAAGCTCTTTGCGGCATTCTTCGTTGCCGCTGGACTTGGCTGGCTGGTCTTCGGAGTACAGCTGGCCATCACATACATACCTTTTTGGGTTGGCTTTATTGACCAGGTCAAAACCACCTTCATTGCCTGGTTAGTGAGCGGTTTTCTGTTCATTGGCCTTCTGCTCTCCGCCTTCGCGCCCGTATCTGTCCGTAGGCTATTCGGCGGGACAGTGCTCAAAAGCAGTCCGAGTCTAGTCGGCTTCGAGGGGGTCATGAAGATCCAGGAGCTTGAGAAGATTGTCTTCGGTAACTGCACTGGTCGCCTCACATACGCGCCGTCGGCCACCCCTTTTGCACGATACAGTCGTCATCCGAGAGAAAGACGAGGCACCGAACCTGAGTGGATCAATCAGCCGGAGCTCATTGCTCAGTCGCTACCTATTGGTCATCAGCTCTTCACCCTGGTGGACATGGGCGAGTTGAGCGTCTCTATATTCTCGGCGGAGCGACCACCGACCGTCGCGTTGCTCACCGGCCGGGAGGGAGGCATGCTGCGAGCCGTTCTTTGTAGCTGGCGTTTCGAGAATGACTGCCTTTACAGGGAGACGGTCGTGCGGATGCCTTCGAGAGTGTATGAGGCTGCAACAGCAAAGGGCTGGCTGAAGCTGTCGCTGCGGACTCAAGATCAAGCGCGGAGAATGAGATTGCAGCAGTAAGGGAAAGGATATATATTCACTTTTATAGTCAGAGTAGAGACATGAGACTCCCTTTATGCTCGATTCAATCGTTGAAGTACAAACAGGACAGGCGAAGATAGGAAAGACCGATCTCGCGATGAGAACGAAGAAACATAGGTCAAAAATAATGCCATTGGTATAAAGCTAAACGTGCCTCCTAAAATAAACGCCTGATGAACAAGTTACAGGTTTTGATATCCCATCTAATCCCAGCAGGCAGGCATCTTGCCCACCCCGTCCCACCATTGTCATCGTCAAACACCAAAACGCCGACGCGCCATGCGAGGACGACACCAAATTTACCCATGCCAAACTCAGCATACACTCATCCACAAAATGATCATTCAAGGCCGTGTTCTTCACTGCGTGTACTGGTATCTCTGCGCATTGTGCGGATACGTGTTCTGTCCGCCCACCTTCGCATAGTCCGCGGGGTTGTACGCATAGCTCTTCTGCTGCGAGGGCAGATGCTGCCTTGCGCTTCCGTCCAGCTTCTTCAGCGTCTCATTCTGGTGCTCCTCCTTCGTCTCCCTGTGCGTCGGCAGCTCGCTTGCGAAGCCCTGGTGTTCCAGGCCCGGCGAGTGGAAGCCACCGCCGGTCGTGTCCGACGAGATGGATGTTGGGCGTGAGTTGGCGCCGAGCGAGGGTGTGCCCTGCTGGCTCTGCGACCACCGCCAGTCGTTCGGCCCCGGCGAATTGCGCGACTGTGTGGAGATGGCGGAATCGCGGTCGGACAGGTGCTGGTTGAATGTCGGCGAGGGCTGGGGAGGCTGCAGGCGCGGGGAGGGCTGCGCATAGACGAAGTCGCCGGGCATCTCAACGGGCATGTTCATCCCCTGCGGGGCGACCCCTCCATGTGGAGAGGTGGGCAGCTCAGCATGCTGCGGTTGCTGCTGCTGCTGTTGATGCTGTGGAGGAGGCTGACCGTACGGCGCCGAGTAATGCGGGTTCTGAGGTGTTCCGGATGGATTGAAGTATTGATGTGATACTGGTCGCGGGACCTGGTACGGCATGCGCGGCGACAAAGGCTGGTTCTGGTAAACTTGGGTGTTGGGCGTCAATTGCGGCGAGGCCATGTTGGTGCTCGTACTGCTGCGGTCGGCGGGATTGATCGTCTTGAGCTTGCCGTCCTCGATCATGGCATGCAGCACGCCGGCGTCGAGCAGCTCGGCTTTCTTGATGATGCGCGACACCATCTCCTTGCTGGCGGTCTTCAGCTGGCTCTTTACGAAGCTGACCATGGTGACGTTGCACTTGATCTCGATGTCCTCGCGCAGGTAAAGGCCATCGGTCGGCGCTCCCAGCGCTCCGAGGCCCATCTCTAGCTGCTCGGGAGCCTCGACGCCGGGCTGGTTGCCGGCGATGCGGTACTTGTTGCGCAGGTCGATATTCATCGGGGCATAGATGTGTGTCTGAAGGCCCCAGGGCATGTCGTGGAAGCAGCCATTGAACGAGATCTTGCCGGAGCCCATCTTGCCGAGGCCGGGAATGTACTGGATGCGCTCGGTGATCTCGTACCAGGTCGAGTAGAACTCGTCGGAGGCGGCATCGCGCGGAGCTTTGATGGGCTTGTGCTCCAGGACCAGCGGGTTGAGGGTTATGACCTCGGAATGGCTGTGGAGGATGTCGATGGCCAGCTGCCGTGGGATGAAGCCCGGAATGGGCGTGATGATGGTAAACACCTCCTTTTTACGAAGCATGCTAGACATCTTGATCAGTATACCTGCTTGCTTGCGTCTGTGTGCGCGCGGGGTTTCTCGGTGATGGCAAGGCGAGCAGACAAGCAATCTTTGCAATGCAATACAAGCGCGGGGAAAAGAAAATAAGTCTTCACGAACTTTGGATCGTTGCAGGATAGAGTTTCAGAAAAGGAGCAGCCGGATTGCCGTTTTGGAACCACCTTTACGAAAGATGCTGGTCCGTCGGTAACTGACCTGGACTGTCTGTCTGTTTGTTCCAAGATGGTGCTGGTTTTACACGGTTAGGGTAAAGAGGCGGCCGCCATAATTAGAACAGAATGCGACGGAGGCGTTTCTCGTTGGTAAGGCAAGCGGAGGGAGGGAGGGGAGCAGCAAACACTCTCTTCACTTCTAAGGGACCACCTTTTTCTTACAAGCCGCAATAGAGACAAGGACACACTCTCAGCAGAAGCGAGAGACAAGACAAAACGGTGGCTTCACAGCCCAGTTCAGTCCCCTCAATTCCCAAGTAGCCTTAGCGGACGTCACAATCCCAGAACATCCGCAGGGATCCGAATGCTGTACACTGTTTACTGTACGCATCCACCGATATGGCTGGGAGAAGTACCGGTGCTGTGCCGTGCCCATAATCATCCCTAAGGATGACCCCAAAAAAGGAACCCTTTTCCTCCCTCGACCTCCTCTTCTTCTTCCAGCAAAAGTGACAAATTGCAGTTGATGACGTGAGACGCCACCGAACACAAGCGCACATCAAAAGGGCGACGGCGCGCAATCAACGATACTGAGGAGGGCCAATCATGGGATACCGGCTTATTACATTGCACACTGTAATAGCAACGGCAGTACGTATTTGTCTGCGTGGAAATACCGTAGTGTCTGCACCTCGACCCAAGAAGTTGTTTCGATGGCATCTCGGGCTCCTCACCAGGCACACGACGGTCAGAGAGGGAAAAGGACCAGGGTAGGACTTAAGATTTTTGTCAAATATGTCATGCACGCCCGCAATCGGCCGTTTCATCTTTTAGACTTAAGATTGAGATGCCGTCACGACCCCCGCAGATTGCCTGTCAATCAGTGAGGCATTGGTTCTTCTGAACTAAGCCATCGCACAGACGTGGCAGTCCACGCACCTGAATAACGTTATAGAGCGAGGGCTGGCACGCCCCTTGCGACATATCTTCAGCTTGCCCAGAGCACCGGGGGTTCAATCCCGATACAAAACAATAGTTTTCTGCAGCTGCCATCTACAAGTGCTCCTCCTCCCGGATGTCAGAAAGCCCTTTCTCGGGATGCGTTTTTCCTCCATTATAAGTCTTAGTGACTCAACAAGTCATCGTCGTCGTCAGCTGATCGCTACGGACGAATCCGTCAGCACAGTTTTCTTGTCTTGTGGACTTCTTGTCCTTGCGGGTTCTCGGATCGCCGTTGAACCGATGCCCTGAGCCACACCGCCTGCGACTGCTTGGCTGTAACGTGCGGCACTGCGGGCGAAGACACTGTCGCTAACATCCTACAATGCTCCACATGCCCGCCAAGTATGCCTAATCTGGATAGAGATCTCAACAATCAATGAGGCACTCTGGTAAGTCAAGGTAGTCATATGAATTGACGCTGTCGCGATAACTGAGCTTCATTTTCCTTTGCACAGTGGAGGTTATGATAGGACTGTCGCTTGCCACCCGATTGAACGATTCAGGGCTCTAACTAACAACCACAGTTGTTACTTGAACACTTGCGAGTAGTTTAATTCCTGTTGCTGGATCAGATTGAAGCCTAGGCCTCTAAGCTTTGAGCGCTGACTGGTTTAGAGAATTCTCCGAGCTATCGCTATTCGTCGATACAAAAGCAACGAGAGATTTGGCTTTCCAAGCCTGTGAGACGACTCTTTGTAGGCCCTGCAGCACGCTATTTTGAAAAATTAGCGGTTACAGCATGTCTGTAAGCTCCCATGACCTAGATATGAGCATTCGTATTTACAAGCAATTCGTGAAGCTTTCCTACACGTCACCTGAGACATGCACCTAACAACGAACACGCGTATTGATGATGGGATGTAGCTGTACATCTTGGCTCACACATTGGGGATCGCCGAATAAAACGGCTGCAAGTATCACTATCGCCCGCGGAGAATCGTTATGAGCGAGACTTGGTAATGTGCTTACCAGGAGCTCATCTCCGCCCTAGGTAGCGATGAGCTATGAGAGGTGTAGACCCCTTTGCCGTCTGTGCTGTAAGCGATTGGATTGATAGCGGTTATCTTGTGGCTGTTAGTACGTTCCGTATGAGTGCGGGCCTATCTACTCCTGTCGTAGATTTATGTCACAAGGGAACTTGCTTTTGAATCTAGATACAAGGTAGACAACTGGAGAGCAGCAGGGGAGCTGCTGGAAGGAGATGGAACGGCTGCAGATGCGCGCTTATTATCCAATAAGAGTACACCACTTCGGCTAGATACATTTATGTAAGTTAATCGCGATGTATTTGCTCATAGCAAAACAGAGAGACTTTTATTGTCAAATGTCATCCGCGAAACTGGTTCGTACAGGTTTGGCGGGGATGTCCTAAACCTAAATCCAAAGAATTGTCAATCAGCGTGGTAATTGAGTAACGTAAACTGCCCTGGGCCCGATCAAAGATCGGTGTACTTTCCAGGTGGAGCTCCATAGACCGGTATTGAACAAAAGTCCAGCGGATGCCCCGTAGCGTGCAATGTGTCGGCTGTTCGCAGTAGTTAAACGAGCTATCGTGCTCGGCAATACCCGATGTTTATCGATAAAACATCACACCGAGCTTAAACACCATACGGACTTCTCCACGATATTGTGGATCTTGGAAAATGGCTCGTGACTGCCGGGCTCTTAAAGAGTAAATAGTCTCTCTAGCTCGCGGGCAGATAAGAACGATGGCATGAGTGTGAGGCAGAAAGTCGCTCATGATCGAGTCATGATACTCGGCCATAAAAGATAGATATACCCAGTAGTTATCAATGTGACGTACCTTGTCCGCCTAGTCTTTTGGCGTTGAGACACAAGTGCCGGTCCTGACAAGTCACCATGCGTTTGCTTGCAATCACAATCGTGAGCATGGCCACTGTCGCCAATGCGACATGCCACAACAGCTCTACGCCATTCAAGATGCCGCTGTGCAATGGCATAAAAATTGAAGATGCCACAGTGGATACTCTCCAACGGTGGATGATATTGGGCAATCTCACGAGTCAAGATCTAGTGAAGTGCTATATTGCGCGAATTGAGCAGACCAATGGGTGAGTCAAACTCTGCCCTGGGGTGCCGTGGGAACTCACGCTTATCGTCATCGTAAGTTACCTGCGGTCAGTCAGCGAGGTGAATCCGGATGCTTTATCCATCGCCGCTGCCCTGGATGAAGAGCGAACCAAACAGGGTATTAGAAGCCCTATGCACGGCATACCATTTATGGTGAAGGACAATTTCTACACAGATGATAAGCACAATACAAGTGAAGGAGGCCTTGTTCTCCTGGGAGGCCGCTACTCATCAGAAGCTACCGTAGTTGCTAAGATCCGCGCAGCTGGTGGTGTATTGCTTGGACATGCGGCACTTTCTGAAGCAGCCGATCACAGGGCACTCAGCAACTTTTCCGACGGCTACTCAACTAGAGTTGGGCAGACAAGAAACCCGTTCAACCTGACTCAGGCCACATCTGGTAGTAGTGGAGGGTCAGTCGTAGCAGTCAGAAGCAATCAGGCAGCCATTGCCCTAGGAAGTGAGACTCATGGGTTAGTACACCTGAGTTTAGAATTTGGTAAAGCACTTTTGACAGAATCACTAGTTCTCTTGTACATCCATCCGCCAATCTCGGGTTATATACTATCAAGTCAACGCCCGGACTCATCTCCCGCCATGGAGTTGTTCCCGGAAGTTTCTATCATGATACCCCTGGCGCCGTTGCACGGTCGATCAAGGATGTTGCCATCATGCTCGACATCATAGCCGGCCCAGATCGATATGACAACTTGACATTCCAATCGCTCGGGCGCCACCCTAGCAATGGGTACGCAGCTGAAGTGGTGGACAAAGACGCACTTAAAGGGATGAAGCTGGGCCTACCTTGGAATCCCTACTGGTCTACCTGGGGTGTAAGTGAATCCAATGTCTACTCATATGAGAGCCTTGTGCTGACGTGCGATCAAGGCTATCAATTCTCCTGGCCAGCGGGAGCAGTACGAACGTCGCGTGAAACAACTGCAAGCTGCCGGTGCGGAGATATATAATCTGACTGTCTGTATCAACTTTCATTGTAGATCACACTTAGACTGACTCGCAACAGCATGTCCCCTATCTCGACACGATTGCCAATCCTTATGGCTTTGGACAGCCCTCCGATACTCCAGATGAGTATGGTCAACTTATTGCCTACAACACACTGCTTGCTGTGGCATATGGAGAGTGGCTACAAAATTGGACATTTCCCGAGAATGACGAACGATATAACATGAGTAGCCTTACGGAGATGGCAGCTTGGAACGACGCACATAATGATACAACAGGAGCGCTCGGAAACGGCACTTGGTGGTACAACACGATATCAGGACAGGACTTCTACGACAACGCAATTGCCACAAATGGCACTCTCGGCGATGCCTTTTGGAAGGCTTTCGGCTGGGGGAGGAGGACCGCCCAAGCAGCCATCGACGCTGGATATGCATACACTCTTGAGAATGGCACGGTTATTGAGCTGGACGGACTTGTTCTGCCAAGTGACTACTCGGGTGGATTCGACAACGCCTGCTCTTCTGTTCCGTCTTATGCGGGCTATCCCATTGCCTCTGTGCCTATCGGCCAGAGTGGCTATTCTGTTCCATGCGGCTTCTGCATTTATGGGCGTGAGTTCGGTGAGGCGAAGCTCGTTAGAGTGGCTTCGGCGATGGAGGATCTCTTTCAGTGGAATGCGGTGCCGCAGTGGCATAACTATGAGACTGCACATGGCCGTTGGGAAACAGCTTGGCCCGGATATGCTTGCAGTACTGATTCGTTAGATCGTTATGCCTGCGAAAGTGCTTAGTGACAATCAAAGACAGGACGTATTGTGTGGTTAGAGTTGATAAGTTCTAATAGCTAAAGTGACTACATCAGTAGGCTGCTGATCCGTATTTGTGAGAGCACAGAGTGTTGATACTCCTGGTGTGAATCCTCCGATATCTATCCTTGACATCGTGAGCGGGTGAGCCGTGCACTTCAACGACACGCTCCTCTCAATTGCATTTAGCGAATAGAGGTGGTGCTCTGATCTGATATATAAACCTGGGTCCACTGCTGCAAATTTCTGTTCTAAATTTCTGCGGAGTGAGGACAGTCATAAACTCATCCTGTTATTTGACTGACTTTCAGTCACTTCACAGCCAGTTAACAATTTAGATATGGCATGGCACCGTTTTAGCGCGAGTGTCAGTATCTGTGATGGTGGTGTTAGCGATCCAGCAATGACGTCAAGTACCATGGCGATGAAACCCTGCAATCATAGCACAATATCCTTAGCTTCGTTCATGAAACGGCAGGGATTAGCGACAAGAACCAGACTTTGCATTGTCTAGTACGAGGAATAGCTTCACTCCGAGAGTGGCAATGAATTCGCTGAGCATTCTCAAAATGCCTGATTGCGCTGTCATTTATCAAGTGCGGAAGTTACAACAAGGACGAGTGGGAGAGACCATCGATCGGCTTATCCTGCGATCAGAGTGCATGGCGGCCGACATTAAGTGGCTGTGTGTACAACTCTCCCGCGAGCGAGAATCACTGGGATATGCTGGGGCTATGGCTCAAGTCAATTTGCATGTCAAGCATCATGGGCAATGCGCTGATGGGAATCATAAGATGGAATTGTCTGAGAGCGGGACCGAGCTTTGGCCGAGAACCTCGCTTGATAGTGCGAATACTACAGCAGCATCCAGTGGGACTAATCCACCTCCCCCACGAATACCACAGTTTCTTTCAAAGCGGATGCTATGGCCCCATCTCGGTGAACGACGAGCCTTTGAGGCTATTAGCTCTGTAAGTATCCCTTGACATTTGTCTGCTCAGATTTTGAGCCACGGAGAGCCTACTTTGTACGAAACAACCACTCACGGCTCAAAAGACAATGCCTCCTGTTAATGACCTGTTCTGTAGACGACCCCTGTCCTGTCAACGCTTAATTGCAGATGTAAGGTACAGAATCTCCACTTCCATGGCAGGACAACAGAAGGGCATTAGCGTGCAGATTAGCGACTGTTGTGCCCAAATTGCCGTGAGGAGAAGATAGGGGAAGCGAATTCCCCCAATCCCTTTCGTTTCTTCATGATGGAATCATGCGGGGAAAGCAGGTTTCGGCGGCTGCACTCACTCCTTGGCCTTGTGACTTGTCAGAGGTATGGTTCAAATGTTTTCGTACAGTCTTTTATCATATGGTTTAGTTTCGCTATGGCTATGATATACGCTGTTCTAAGCGAATATGTACACTGAATTAGCACACTGGCCGGCGCTCTAACTGCCGACCAATGCAGGGAAGGGGTAAGCGTTCCTCCCCTTTCAAGCCCCCCATCACACCATTCCATGGGCCCTTTGTGTGCTGGCCACATGCTAACGCTAATCTGCTCGCTCGCTTGCCTCTATTGCATCGCAATTCCATGCATTGAAGCCGCATTCGCGGAAAATTGGGCCGGGCCCCTTTCAAAACTCTCGATGGATTCACCTCTACGATGCTCTCATCACTTTTTCAGCTCGTCCTCGTCATCATTGCTGATAGTGCTGGTGCCGCCTCCCCACGCTTCGCTAATGACCTGCGTCCGGGTCACCTTGCCAACCGTATTAAGGTAAATCCAGCTGATCACTTCAATGCCATGGAACGGCCTGTACTCGTATTGTAATTCGTACTCTTTGACTTGGCCATCGATGCTGATTGTCTTGTTGTGACCGGTGAATGTCATGTCGCGACTGTAGTAGCCAACCACAGCTCGGCCCTTCTCGTTGCCATCGTTGTCAAGGTATACGTCGAACAATGAACCATTTTGGCCGAGAACGCGATTCGTGTGCGCCTTGCCTTCGTAGTTATTGACGCTGTAGAGCACGTTGTGGTGGATGTTGTAGTCTAAGCTCGACGACAGGCCTGGGATTCCAAGGTCACGCTTCTCGCTACCTGATACCGGATTTCCATTCTCGTCAACAGTCTGTCCTAGGATGCCAACCGTGCTGTTTACAATCTTGCCGACATCCTGACCCAGAGTTGCAATGATAGGATTAAGATCAATGCTGTGAAGCACATCGTCGACCATTTGAAGGACATTCTCCAGTCTTGCTTCCAGCTCGACCTTGGCCGACACATTTTGGATATTCAGTCGAACCCTGTCGATTGATGCATCGACACCGGCGCTGAAGTGCAGCAGCTTCAGAACCTGAGCATCAAGGTTGACTTTGGCTGTGATATTGTCCACCTCAATGTTGATCTCGCCGACATAGACAGAGGCATTCAGGTAGACATCTGGTTCTGCAACGAGTAGGTCTACTCCAGATGAGGTATCTTCTGTCTCGTATATAGCAGATTCTGGATCACCTCGGTGCTCGAGATTGTAGCCAATGTATCCGTCATCTTGTCTCCTCTCATTTCGCTGATGGGCAGCCAGCACAGAGCTCGTCAAGGCCACAAGTATCAAAGCCAAGGCTTTGGGAAGAGTCAAACCCATTGTGATGTGTGTGTGCAATAATAGGCCTCTGCTGCGAATCCAGGTAGAAAGAAAGTGTCGAAGGGAAAACGAATGGATGAAGGTCGACGTGTCGAGTAGGTGTGGCGGCCAGGGCAGCGACAGACGACGATGACGAGAGAAAGCGAGTGTGTGTGAGAAGGAATGGGATGGGAATGAGTAAAGTATGGGCGCCGCCAAACCACCAAAGACCGTCTCCCTGCGTCGTCTACCCATCAACCTACACCGAGGTGGGGTTGCAATCGGCAAGGTGCTAGCACATCAGACATGTAAGTCGATGTATGTTAGTCGATGCTATTTTGCAAGGACGGCATAGCCATGCAAATTCAGGCGCGCGGTCCTACCTTATCACTTACACCATGACAATATCCGGGGTCAGGGTTGCAAAGTTCCCACCATTGACAGGTCATCCACTCTTCCCCTTTGGGGCATCCCATAGCAGACCTCCGAAACGGCGGCGCATCCCCCGACAGGGGGGGAAAGATCCGACTGGGCTGGACCGGGATGCCGGGGCTTTTCAAGCAAGTTTAACGTGCGTCAATGCAATGGCGCGAAGTGACGCCGCTGAGCTCCCATGCATGATGAGCAATTTCCCTGTAACATGGAAGATTTCTCACCACTCTGATTGAATGTTTGGGAAATGACCGTCCTATATGTCGTGTAAAATAGGTGACATTACGTGACTTGCGGTCAGCAATTCGCATGTTGGTCGGACGGATTTCCTTTTTCCCATGGCAATTTCTAGGCCATCTGGAAACTTGCTAGCCCTGCATATTGTACCAAAACAAGCCCCAATGCGCTTCCAAGGCGTGAGGGACAAGCATGACCATCCCAACTAGAGCCCGTGTTGGGGTGCATTGGACATCCAATGCGCCAGGAGTCCTCCTCCCCTTATATCCAACATTGACACCCACGGCTCGTGATCCAAATGTAGGTGGTCTTCTTCTCGTCCTCTTCGCGCCTCACCTGGATCTTGCTCGCCTCCTCCCACGATCCTAGGCCGAAAGACCTTCTCCTGGTCCGGTTGAGCCCTCACTCCCCACACTCGTTTCTTTCTCTCTATCGTTAGAACTTCAAATCGCAAACATGAGGAACAATAGCTTTGTCCTTTTTCTACTAGGCTTTTTGCTTGCCTTTGCTACGGCACAGACAGCTTCGTCTACCGATGCTGCACCTTCTCCGACTGAAGCAACACCGTCGGAGACTAGTCCTGCAGCGACAGAGAGCGCAACGGCAGCGCCGACTGGATCTGGGAGCGCCTCTGATTCGGCAACGGCTCCTGATTCATCGTCACCCACCACAACAGCACCTAATAGTTCAGGTGGAAGCGGAGGCGGCACTGGAACCACATCTGCCAGCAGCTCATCCTCCACGCCACCAGATGTATTACTGCGCGTGCCCAACCTATCAGTCAAGCGCATTGAATTGGATGTCGACAATCTGCAAGCCGAGATCAACTTGGCGGCTGACGTTGCTGGCCTTGTATCTATCAATGCTGGCGTCCAAATTGGTATCCAGAAGGTGAACATCACCATAGCAGATGTCGAGGCACAGTTGGAGCTGATCATCCGCCTGGGCCACCTGGTGGATATTGTGAACCGCACTCTCCAGTCTCTGGATCTCAACCCCCTGCTGATCAATCTACTCAACGATCTTACGGACGTGGTGACGGAAGTCATTGGTGCTGTGGACGGCTTGCTAGGCTCTATCGTACAGGGAGATTCTAAGCTCAACTTCATCATCGATAATCTCGGCAATATCGTCCAGGAGGTTGTTGGCACAGCCGGCAGTGTTCTCAGCTCAATTGTGGGCAACTACCAGCAGAATATGACTTTCACGGGCGAAGCAGAGACTTTATCAGGAGGATTGGTGAAGAAAACATACGAATACAGCCCACTCGGCAGCTTAGTGGACATCATCTTCAACGCGCTTGGGCAGGTGGTGCAAGCTACTGTGGTGAAGAGCACATCAACAGCTACCAGCGGCACGACGGCGACGACTGCAAGTCCTACATCTCCTGCAACGTCCGTACCGGCGCAGACAACTTCTGCTTGACGATGTAAGCGCAGGTCAGTAGAGGAGCGGCGCGTCATCCCGTCGGCTTTGGTCACGATGACTAGCCTCGCATACTGATGGGCTTGGAGTTGATTGCCTTTGGGTGTTGAGTTTCGGCCTGCGCTGTGATGGTGTACTGATACCACTTCTGTTGTCGAAGTACACGATTCGACGTTGGATATTAATTCGGCCATATCAAGGCGGTGCAATGTTGATGAAGCCTAATCTAAGGTCGAAGCATCTTCAAAGACTCTGCCTTAGCTCGGCAAGGTCATGGCCACCTTTTAGTGCCAGATAGAGAAAGATGCAGCGCCAGATCAGCAGCAAGGTCACAGTGATAGATGAAAATAATCCAACATTTTCTGCCGAAATCATAATGTATTCTAAGCTTGATTGCCTAAAGTTGTTTGCTGCTATGTCTTGGGAGCCGACGTTCTTGCAAGCCAGCTTGGTCCCAATCGATCATGCCAATGTTTATGGTCTATGTCCCTCTGGAATATTGTGATTAGATGACTCTGAACATATTAGACTTGACTCCTCTCTTCAACCCCTCGGCTTTCCCGTTCTCGTACTCTACACCTGATGCACCGCCTTCTCCCGATATACCTTCCATTTTCAACCTCATTTCTTCGTCTAGTTCGGCCATTGACTTCTTTCTTACGACATGGGGTTTATTTCTCGCTTCCTCTGACACAAGTGGTGGAGGCTCTTGAGAGCTGCCCTCAGCAGCGGACGATGGTATGTCAGGTGATTGTTTTGGCTTGGAATTTGATGAGACATGCGAGGACAAGATCTTTGGTAAACTCGTTTGGTAGGTAGGGGTCACGATAAATCTTCTTAAGGGTTTCATGGTTGATTTTGTTGGTAGTATTGAACTTCTCTAGGTTCGAAGCTTGCCCAATTTTAGAGACGATGTTCGGAGACCTGACCACGTGTGGATCACGTCATTGACGTCATGCAGGCCTGAACCAAAACATTGGCGAAGTAAACAAAGTCTGCCATAGCGCTGCTGAATAGAACTTCGTAAAAATCCAGGAATGACAAATGAGTCATTCAATCATATTAATTGATGAAACCAATTAAATCGACTATTTGTCGGTTGTCGGACGTTTGCTAGAATTGGAAGTACGAACTGACAAGGCAAGATTACACTAATAAGCCTAAACCTAATTACTATATACGTGCCAACCACCCCGTACGACGAAGAATCGGCTGCCATGCCGAAGGCCAACCAGGGAAGACTGGAACTAATTGCTCTGCGCTGTGATATTGGTAATACGTACTCAGATCATCATTCAACCTGTGACTCGCCTGGCCTTCTTTTGAGTTATAATGCTAATACCGGCCATGCGCCATATCAAGACAAGTCCAATTACCTGAAAGCAAATGGTTGCTACCCAAGCCTCGCCTATCGCCTCGTTGTCAGAGATTCTGTGAATCTAGTTTAGGGAGCTCCTGCTAAGGCTAACTTACAGATGTGAACCCATTCTAGCCACGCTAGTGTGTCCATGTATTCAGATGCTTTAGGCTTTTTGCCAGTGTAGGTATCGCATTGCGTTTTCACACTGAACGGATAGCCATGATAACCCCGAAAATATGCCCGTATAGTGATTATCACACCCGCGAACCAGAGAGCGGTGAGAACTACACAACCAACACCAACCAGAATTGGAAGGAGCCTTCGATATGATATCATGTAGACGACGTATAATATGAATAGTAAGGTGATGGAACTACAGGCCACCCAGTATGATATGTACCTTATAGTGACATGTCAGGCAACGGCAGTAGAATGTTTGGGCAGGAGAGAGGATACCATGGTACAGCTTCGTGTATAGCTACTTTAAAGCGTATAAGTGTAATGGAAACACCGAAAACTCCTGCGGTGCACAACGCCTCAAGAAACACCCAGAGCAGGACTTGACCAATGGGCCATTCGTACCTTGGGTTGTGTTAGTCCGCACATGTAGAATTCGATGATTGTTGGTTCATTTGGGCAAGAAACTGTGACTAACTTGTACATGATCTTCTCGCGGGACACTTCAGAGACGGGATCGCGTTGAGATGCCGCATGCTCACCTCGAAGCAGTGACACTCTTAAGCCAGGCGCTCGACCCTCTGTTTCGTGGCTTTCATCTTTTAGTCCCATTTTATTAGAATTCGACCAAGAGTCTAAGTAACTGGCACATAGAATCTCCCGACCGGCGGCTCTTTGAGTCTTGTCTTGATTGATACACTGTCGGCCGTTCAATGTAGACTGGACACGAATTATTGCCCAAGTCAATTCGTATAGGGTCGTTTACTTGGGCATGCGTAAGGTGAATATGATCGAGTTGTGGGTGCGGGACGCAGCCCCTTAAGTACTCGAACGTCTAGGCGAGATGGGGCTAATTTTCAAACTTCGTGGCGCTCTAGACGACAATCTTCGTTAATGATTGGGCTTTGTTCGATGGCGTTTGTGCGATGCATAATGCACTGACACAATTGGGCGACCCTCTTCAACGGTCGCCTGAGTGCTATAATTGAATCCCTAGTCACTTGGCGACCGTTCAGCTCGACAGGCCATCCTACTATACGGTCCGAACGTTGCGCCGTCTTACGCAGGTCTTGACCTCGAATGTCACACGAAGGGCAGATACGTCTCCTGCGCGAAGCAACCTGATTGTGTTAGCACACGACTTGCTGCTCCATCTGATTTGCACCTGTTAAACAACCAGCGTTGAAATGCCATGCGGCATTGCCTTACTTCAGCCAGAAGCTTCACGTCATGCTGGTAAGCTCTTAGTGAGGTATTGGTTGATTTTTGAGAAGACCACTGATATCTGTATCACCGCGTCCAACTAGAGTCCAGAAGTGCTTTTACACGGATAATGTCCCGTTCTAAGACCCTCGAAGGTGGTCGCTGATTTTGAAATTGTTGGCTCCAGATATCCAACCTGCGATGCAGGCCTTCAAATTCTGATCGACTTGAAGTCTTTCCCAAATCGTAGGCGGCCGACATTATTCGGTAGAGTTCAAACACGTTCGGTGTAGGTAATGGAGGAATATCAATTGCCCCATCAGGGATCCCAACGGGTCTCTGGTTGGAGATGGCGCACTTGCGATCAAGTGAGTACGCAGTCCAGAACAGTCGGCGCTTTCTTTCGGTGTCACAGATTTTGTGGAGTCCCAAGTCCACTGCAATACGAACAGCCAATCCGCTCAAGGCCCATGAGTCCGCATACTTGTCACCTGCAAGTAGAGCAAATTGGCCAAGAGCAACCACTGCCTCGAGCTCCTGTAATGGATCTCGCTGATGGCTTGACGCAAATGCTCCTTCAAGAAATTGTACACCAGTCATGTACAGGCCAACAGCACTCTCGGCAGACCCAGGAGACAGGAAGATGGCCGTAGTAGCGAGCATAGTTGCCACAATGAATATCGAGTAGTGATCATGATTGTGATAGGCCCTTCTCATATGCTGTTGGACATCTGATATTGCAAGGAAAGGAGATTCTGGTAACACATCCTTGCAATATCTCACACAGACCTTCTCTGCAATATCCATATGAGGTAGTATAAGAGAGTTGGCTGCGCTGTCTCTGTAGGTCTGCCCCGCTGGCAAGGCTGCACTGAGTATCAAAGTTCTCAAGACCAGATCATGTGAAGGAAAAGTGCCTTGAGCTGTCATTGCTGAAAGGGACACCTGCGCGAGATCGTCAACCAGAGTCTTTACTTTGGAGTCCCAGTCGCGCGCATTGGTAGTGTGCGCGAACAGATCGCTGATGAGGTGTTCTGAGTAGGCTGGAGATGACATGGAGAGCCCTTCTGCCTGGATTACAGATATCCCTGATTCTCCACCTCGAGGGCTGATTTCAGACTCCTGTTCTCTTGGGCCTTGCAGCTGCTGTTCCAGCGCAGCAATCTGGGACTCCAGGTCTTCAACATAATTGACATATGCCGTAGCGGGATTCCTGACTGGATATTCGCAGCGATGCCCAAGTCTCGCGCAGCGACTGCAAACTGGCCGGGCTCTGTCACATTTGACTCGGTGAGATCTACATTTCGTGCATGCAGGAGCCAGGGTCCCGATATCGCTCGACATGAGCGGCGCGGGGCTCTCAAGCTTACGTCTATGAGTGTATGTTCTGAGATGTGACAACAGGCTTCAAGAAGAGCTGCAGCAGGAAATGCACATAAGGAGTAAAACCTCGGAGGATGAAATTGAGGTTGCGAGACGGACCCACTCGCACACATTCCATTCCCAATGCATGCTCTAGACGCCACAAGACACTATGTACATAACCCGTTCGGCCTTCCGAATCATACTGTCTAATTACATATCACAAACTTCGACTGCTCACGTTGCGCTTTCGCCATTCCTCTCCCAGCACAGAGAAACCACAGCAACGAAACAACACAGCAGTCTTCCCATGGCCTTTATATGAACCCATGAACACCCTAACAAGTCACCAGCGCCCATCTATGGTGCCTGTGTGCGATAGGTGCCGGCGAAGAAAGCAGAAATGTGATCAAGAGTTGAAACCTTGTTCTGGTTGTGTCGACGCAAAAGTCGAGTGCATGATATTTGACCCTGAACGACAAAGGTCAATACCGCGGACATATGTAACTCAGCTAGAGGAGCATTTACATCTACTCCAGAAGAAGCTGCACGATGACAGGCCACCATCAACACCATCTACAACCGGCATACCCAGTATTTCTATTGCGCCATCTGTCTCTGTTTCGGCGGCAAGCAGATATCTGGGCGCATCTAGCGGACTTGCGTTTGTTGAATCAGCTGTCAGACTTGCTCAAAGCCGCGGGATTCTTGATTCAGGTCATGAAGATGAGGATGTGGATGATGACAGCTTTTTATCATCCGGCGTACTCACATCCGCTCTAGATGGCCTCTTTGCTCCTACACCAGCACCCTCAATTCCTGGACGAGAGAAAATGGAAGAATTGTTTGCAGATTTCGTTCAGGTACAATGGCAGTATCAGATACTTGAGAGGAGTGAATTTGAACACCATCTGGATCATTTCTTTGGGCCTGATCGGCATCATAACCCCGCGTCAATCGTCGTAGTCAACATGGTATTTGCAATATCTGTTCACTTCGCGGGCCGGATTCGAGGAGACGTCACGGCTTCGAACATGGCCGATTCTTACCATGAGCAGGCTCTTACATTTCTAGGAGACCTCCTTCGACACAAAACAATTGATAGTTTACAAGCGATTTTGCTCATTCTACTCTTCTCTATTGTAAATCCTCAAAAGCCAATTGTGTGGCACTTACTGGGCAGCGCTCTTCGCTTGGCATCTGAGCTGGGCATTCATACAGAGACCATATGTCAACAGCCAGCTCTTGAGGCTTTCGAGGACACGAGCGATCTGCCACGCCGCCTTTTCTGGTCGCTTTATAGCATGGATCGTGCAGTTGGCAACACTCTTGGGCGTCCCACGGCGCTACAAGACAGGTTCATAACTGCCAATCTGCCTCTTACAGGGAACAGATATCAGGCTTCAGAAAATTCGGTGGAGATATCTCGTCATTGCTTTCGTATCCGACAATTGCAAAGTGAAGTCGCTGATTACCTTTACCAGAGAATCTCACCAGCTCCCCCTGATTATTTAGCAAATGTGCAACAGAGATTGGACGTGTGGCGATCAGACATCCCAGTATCTATATGCACACCCCATACACTTGACTGGTTCGAGCACTCGTACCATAATCTTACGATGTTCATCCACCGACCATCTCCGGCCAATCCACAACCATCTACACAGCATCTTGAGAGGTGCTTTGATGCAGCATCACACGTTTTGAGGATATATTCGAGGCTTCAATTGCGTGGGAGTGTCGACTCGACCTGGATGGCTGTTCATTGGCTTTTCCTCGCTGCCGTGACACACCTCTTCTGTTTGTGGACAGGAGAACATCTTCGCATGTCGGCGGATTGGTCACAGGTCAATGAAGATATTCGTGCTGCCAGCATGGTTTTATCCGCTATGACGGAGAGATGGAAGTCCGGTCGCAAGATGTTGAGCATCTATCGTAAACTCTCGAAAGGAACGCTGAATAGGTATGCGGTTATTTCCCTCTCGGAGGCAACCTCATCACCCGCAGTCGACACAGTCATTCAACGGCTGCATAGCCACAGCCATCAACCTCATCTGACAAATCTAAATGAAATGGCTTTTGACTCGGATATGCAGTTCTGGCTGGATGTGGAATCAATGGACTATACAGCTTTTTAAATAGTTGCCGATTGACAGGACCTACGCGAAACGCACCTACTTTTTCTCAGCGCAATTATAGATGGACTTCATTATCAAGATTTGCGGAAGAATCGCAGAAGCGGGCCTTAGGCGGCTATAGCCTCTAGAAATGTATGATGTGAGAGAAATTAACTACTCGGACCTGAGACTTTTGACACCGCTATGAATGCTGATGCTAACGACTTTTGAGGCCCATTAAACCTTTTCCGTTTGACGCCGGCCACCCACTTTATGATCTGACCTAATTGTTTCGCCAAGTTGATGCTTTCCAATGATAGAACTTAACAACATGCCCATACCCATTGCGACAGTGACCTCAATGAAAACACTATTCATGGCTTTCTGAAATCCATGTACTGTCTCCGTCTTCTCCGCTCCAGTCATAGTATGTAAAGCCTCTATGGCTTGCGATACGCTCATGTGAGCGATGCTCTCTAAGGGAAGCCTTCGTAGCTCTGTAAAGCAGACAAGCCCACTTATGCTGATGCCTACACTAGATCCAATTGCTCTGATAAATGCATATGCTGATGCTGAAAGCGCTATGTCTACGTTTGCAGAGCGGTCATCAAAAGAAGCATGAATTGGAATCAGCAAGGAATTGAAATTTGGTCCGAAACCAATACCAGCAACGATCAATATGGCAGCTGTCACGCCTGTACTTGTGTTCTAGGATTTGTTAGAAAGAATGCTGGGAAATTAAGGGGTTTCGCTCACTTCATCCAACAACACTAGCAAACCACACCCAAGGCTTGCAATGATGAATCCGGCCCAGATCAGTTCTCGGTATCTATTTTAAATTAGCAGGGTAACCAGGACTATCTGAGTCTACTAACCTTCTGGTGGCTGTAATCAAATAACCACTTCCAGTGCTGACAATTGCGAACGCTAGCACCAAAGGAAGCAGACTTACACCACTTCGAGTGGCAGTCTGTCCTTTGACTCCCTGAAAGAAAAGCGGCGTATAGTAATTCATTCCTGAATAGGCAATTGCGTGTAGGAAACAGGACGCATAGGCTCCGATGCGAGTTCTATGAGTGAAGAACCGTAAAGGGATGACCGGTCTGGATGCCTTCCATTCGGCGAAGAGAAAGCATATGAAAGCCGCGGATCCTACGACCAAACATGCTATGACTTGGTCTGAGGACCATTTGATGCCTTGTGAAGCCCATTCGAAAGAAAGCAGCAAGAGCACTGTCGTCACGCCCATCGCAAATATGCCAGCAAAGTCCAGGGCTTGGATTGCATCTCTTAGTGACTTAGTTGGTCGTGAAATTTGGAGAAACACAAAAATTATGATGATGCAAACAGCACATATCGGTAAATTGATGAAGAAACACTGATGATTAGTTAGTAGCATTCCCCGAAAAGCTGAAGGAGAACAAACCCATCGCCAGTCTGCCTTCTCTGCGAATACACCGCCCAGGATTGGTCCCAAAGCCGAAGCAACAGCCCAGGTAGCACCAATGAAACCTTGATACTTGCCTCGCTTTCTGCAGCTAAATTTAGCTATGAGGTAACAGTAATCAAATGACGAGGACAACGAACCTTGTTCCAACTAGATCTCCAATAAGGATGAAGACGAGGCTTGTGATCCCTCCTCCGCCAACGCCTTGTATTGTTCGGGCAGCAATTAGCATTCCGATACTCTGAGATGCGCCGCATAGAGCGCTTCCAATCATGAAGATTGTAATCGCAGATAGAAATGTCCATTTACGGCCGACGGCTTCGGAAAGTTGCCCAAAGAAAGGCAAGACCACAGCTTGAGCCAAGGCGAATGCTGAGCCGATCCACGTGTATCCAGAATCTGAGGAGCCAGCGTTCAAGCTTGACATGATTTTGGGTAACGCTGTGGAAACAATGGTCTGGTCTAAAGCCGGGAGAAAGAGAGTCATGAAAATACTGCCAACTAGGATCATGTGCCGTGCTGTTGATAGACCGTTGTGCTCCTCTTGCTTTTGCTCAGTACCACTTTCCTGTATTATTGAATCGCCGCTCCCTTCATCAGAGGAGGCACCACCTGTAGATTCCGCCACATCTTCCACAACTACTCGCTTCTCCATAACAGGCAGATGTAACATAATTTAAAGAACTACTAGTGGTTCGAGATAAGACATAAGAAACCGTCAATTGTTTTATTTAGTCGTACAAGTTCTGGTCCATCTTAAGATTTCACATCAAGAAAAATTCTCGGAATTCGTAGGTGATCCTTGCAGCATATGCCGAGCTCTCGGCAATAACCGCGGTGCTCCCGCGGCGACGCAACGATTAGATTCTCCTGTTGCATATTGTATTCATCAAACGGGATCGCGTTTTCGCCAACGCTGTGGGAGCGAGTTTAGTGGGCTACAGGGCGGTATGAGCTCACAATAATCAGTCGCCACACGCTAGAGGACCCATCGGCGCGGTTGGGCCTGGGGCCAAGCGCCAACCATGACTCGGTATTTATTGGCCTTAGTCATTGTGCACAGTCATCTACGAGGCTCTGACAGGCATGCAATGAAGCTTGATGCATTACATAGTGAAATGTGACATCAATCAGAGACTGGCAGCTGATTACAGCTTCTAAAATCCAGCCTTTTCAAGTTTGTCGTGGAAGTCGAAGCTGTGAGGAGGACGGATTTGGCTTGTAGATACAGTTGCGGAAGTGAAACCCGGCAATTCATAGATGAAGTCATTTTGTATGGACAAAAGTAATTGGTTAATGCTCAGGTTTATAGTTCTTCCCAGTCAAATGCTCCTTCCCAAGCTGCGCCAACGCGGTAAATCATTTCTTCCTGGAACATCCCTCCAACTATTTGCATACCTACAGGCAACTTGATTGTCTCGTCATCTTCTGCTGGCAAGAATCCAACAGGGAGAGACATAGCTGGGTGTCCGCTAGCATTGAAACATACAGTGTTTACTGCTACACCCCTGCTCTTGTTCATCTGCTCGAGAGGTCCGGCATTAGGTGCAGCGTGCTTGTTTGCAACGTAAGGATTTGTGGGAGTAATGAGAACGTCGACATCCTTGAGAACAGCATCGTACTCATCTCGAAGACGGCGGTACAAATTCATCGCTTTCCCATACAGTGTTGGATGATTTTTCCAGACGTAAAGTCCCGATATCAGGGAGAATTTAGACGTAGAGAACATCTTGTCGAATTTTGTTTGATCCATTGGCGTGAGTTTCTCGGCCAAGTCCGTCATATACAACGCGCGTCTACCGCAAGCTTTGCCGAGATATCCTTGTTGAGAGGCGGTTGGTCTTAACGCACAGTTGACGATATGGCCGGCAAGAGTGTGAAGTGGCACGCTAACTTCCTTCACTTCCGCGCCGAGGGACTTAAAACGCTCTGCTGCCTCAAGAACTTTGGCCTTCACACGGGGATCAATGACCGCGAAGTCGAACCCTTCCCTAAGGATTCCAACCTTCAGTCCCTTGACGCCTTTGCCAAGGGATGCCGAGTAGTCAGGCAATTGGGCTGGCAGAGGTGCCGCGTATTGTCTATCGTCAATGTCATCTCGTCCAGCAATGACTTGAAGTACATTCGCATTCAAGGCTACGGTCTTAGTCATTGGTCCCGCCGTATCGTGAACCGGATCATGCGTAGCAACACCAGTCCAAGGAACTAATCCCCAGGTTGGCTTCATGCCAACTATTCCGCAATAGCTAGCGGGAAATCTAATCGAACCTCCTTGGTCGCCACCAATGCCAGCATCTACTTTTCCAGCCCCAACCAAGTGACCACAGCCACTAGATGATCCACCTGTAGTATAACCGACCGCATAGGGATTTTCGACGGGGCCGGTCGCCGCTGAAAATGAAGATGCGCACAGAGACATGTTTTCACAAACAGCTTTGCCCATTATTGTTCCGCCGGCTTCGAGTATTCTTGTTACCAAAGCTGGGGTAAAGAACGTCAGCATCATGCTATTCTTAGGGTGTAGGTTGGGCACATACTTGCATCAGTCTTGGGTGTGTAGTCGGTGAAAATGTCCGTGCCTAGCAGCATCGGAACATCTTTCACTGCAATGTTGTCTTTCAGACAAATAGTGACGCCGGACAGAGGCCCTCCCTTTTCGCCTTCAATTGTCGCCTTCCAGGCCCAGGCATTGCCTTCGTTCTTTTCTTGCGACGGTCGATGAACATTCCGGCGAGGATATTTCTCCAAGTCCACCACTGGAAAGTAGTCAGGCATTGACTCCACAATATCAATGGACTCCTGTACTGATGCGATGATCTCGTGCCATTGATCCAGGTGCGGTAAGTTCAAGCCAATGTCCGAAACGACTTCAGCAACCTTCTCGGCTGTCACCTTGGCCTTGTTGGCATCGGATGCTGCTGTAAGTGTTGCCATATTGGATCTGAAGAAAGGTGTAGCGCAGTTCGGATTGCTTAGATCCTTCGTCAACTCTTGTTCACCTCATCTCGCGAGAAAGAAGCTTAATTAATCGTGTCAGGTCGTTTTTAGCATTGCTGGCCAGACGCATCTTCGTCTCAACGCCGTTATAAGATCGCCCTTCTCCCGAGGGATGACAACGCTCAATTACCATTGACTTCTTGAGTCGGACGCGATGCGGTTTGGACTGGCAACTAAACCACAATATTAGGATCGAGAACGCCTTATACACGACTCGTGCGTGCCTTTTAGCGACCGTGTTTAGTGCGACGGCGGCGGTCGCGCGATCCGCGATCCATGAGTCGCTCTTTCGCCGAAACAGCGTCACATGATGCTGGTCATAGAGTGTCTCTTTCACTCGTTTCGCCGCCGCGCCGGTCTAGTGGAGCAGTCTGGATGCTGACTAGTACCTGTAATTCCTTATCAGACCCAGAAAAAGTTTGAGCCATGATAAGGACAACATCGATTATCATGAGAGACCATACTGAGCATGGGACGATTACTGCAATTGCAAGTGTAAATCGCGAGATACAAATGTAGTCAATGATCCTGCAGAGGATCATTTTCCTCGAGCACATTCAACAACGATCAGCGATAGGTGGTCAAGTTCCCCCTTTTGAACGAATTTCGTTGGACAGCTTTAAATCATGTCTGGCACTATTCGTCATTATCTCAAGCGACTTGAGGTTCGCCAGGCAAATGAAGAGGGCAGCAATGGCGATGTTTACTTGAGCAACCACGATCTGCTGCCCATTCCCAAGGAGAACCGAACTTGGGGGAAATGGACTTACAGTCTATTCTGGTTTGGCGAGTGCGCCAGTGTTACCAGCTGGACAGTAGCTTCAACTGGTGTGAAGGCGGGTCTATCTTGGTGGGAGGCATGGTAAGCTGCCTGCAATGTTTGAATTACAACATCTCCTTACTGACACTTGCTGTAAAGGATTTGTGTTATTCTCGGTCATCTCATCGTCGCTACCTTCATGGTCGCTGTCGGTCGCGCCGGGGCCGTCTACCATCTTGGCTTTCCAACGGTCGCCCGTTCCAGTTTCGGTATCTTCGGTAGTCTATGGCCCATCTTCAACAGAGATGCCATGACAATTATCTGGACTGGTGTGCAAGGCGTTACTGCTGGCAATTCCATTTATGTCATGTTGCATGCCATTTTTCCGACCATCGCAAACGTGCCGAACCCTTTCCCATCAGATGTGACTATGACTGGAGGACGTCTCATCGGGTACACCATCGGCTGGCTTCTCACACTGTTTTGTGCCTTCTTCCAAGTGCATAAGTTTCGAAACTTGATCATTGCCAAGTCAGGCATTATGATCGTGTGTCTTTTAGCGTTCTTCATTTGGTAAGTCTCCGTTATCATCATCACACAGTGACTAGCCACTAACAGCTTTCTCTTACAGGGCAATTGTCGAAGCCAAGGGCGTTGGTCCAGTCGTTCATCAAGGCGCCAAAATTCCCAAAGGAGGTTCACATGCCTGGATCTTCCTCGGGCAACTGTTCATCCAAGCCGCAAACTTTGTCACGTTCGCCACCAATAACTCCGACCTTACACGTTATGCTCGCAGGCCGAATGACGCCCTTTGGACACAGATCATTGGCATGCCTGTAGCCTTTGGAGTTGTTGGCTTCTTTGGCATCTTCGTTACCTCTAGCAGCCAGGTCATCTTTGGAGAAGTCATGTGGGATCCTAACGCCCTCCTGGATAAATTTCTTACAACCGATTACTCTCCAGGTCGCCGCGCTGCTGTTTTCTTCATTGGCGCTGGTTTCTCTTTTGCTCAGGTTACGACTCAGATCTTCGCGAACTTGATTGCGGCCGGAAACGACACTGCTGCCCTTCTGCCCCGCTATGTCAACATCAGGCGAGGTGCTATCATTTGCTTGGTCTTGTCCTTCGCCATCACGCCTTGGAATCTCTTGAAAACATCCTTCACCTTCACGAGCTACCTTGGATCATACCAAATCTTTCTGTCAAGCATCATCGGTGTAGTTCTCGCAGATTACTTCTATGTCCGTCGAGGCCGTCTCGTGGTCCCTGATCTCTTCTCTCGCGACCATCAAGGGTTGTATTGGTATACTGCGGGAGTTAACTGGAGGGGGTATGCTGCGTACGTCATCGGTATCATCCCCTGCCTGCCTGGATTTCTCTACCAGGTCGGCGTGAAGAGCATCCCTCTTGGTGCCCAGCGCCTTTATGTGTTCGCTATGCCGGTTGGTATCATCGTTGCAGCCTTGGCATACGCTGGGCTGTGCCATTTGAGCCCTCCTCCGGGTGGTTTGAGGAAGCAGTGGGGAGAGATTTTAGACGATGATTTGATATTAAATGGTATGATATCTAATGAAGGGAAGCTGGCCGATATAGAATCTAGCCACGGGAAGAGTAAAGGTGATGTTAATGTTTCCGATGCATGATTGCATTGCTTAGCTATATCAGTCTTGTGGATGGTAACGCAACAGGAGAAAGGTCACGATTGATAGAGTAACAATGATCGAAGCAAGTGATAACATGGATTGTAAACACAGACGCGTTTCTAAGAATTATGCATGGGAGTACAAAGAACAACACTCTACATGAACGCCGATCTGATCCCTTTTGTCAACCTGCCATTTGATGTATCCTGGATTCGTCACTGTCAGATAAGGACTGTTCAGATTACCGACGACCAGGATATTCAATGCGATGATAAGTCTTGTTGTAATTGTTGTTCTGACAGAATGGTAGATGGTACTCAGGTAAAGCACCCTGGCTTCCATCCTCCAAATCTGGCTGGTAGTGGTGTGGAGTCTTCTCAAGTGAGGGCATTCCCGTTAGTGACGATTCCACACCAGTCAAAGGAGCCCTGGGTGCATCGATCTGCGGGACCTAGAATTGTGATTAGAGTCGAAAGGCGACAAGAGAAGTTTGAGTTAAAAGACTTGCCTGACGCCGAGTCCTAGACTGGGACTTGGGTCGAGTAGTGTGAGCTGGATAGCTTGCCGAGTAATCGTTCTGCAATGATGATACTGGAGAAATATATGGCTCAGGTTGTAGCCTGGCGCTAACTGACCCCATTTCTTCATCCTCGTTACGTTGATAAGCGATGCTATGTGTCGACGGTAGTCCTGAATGTCTTCCAGCCATGCCTGCGAGGAATGCGATCGCACAGCAAAGCATGATGATTAAAATCCAAGCCGCGATGGGTGATAATGCTTTCTCGCGACGGACACCGTACACGATTGCTACCGTAAGTAAGGCAAAAGAAAGCACAACCAGTGATATGACATAGATCAACGGCGGTCTCGGATTCGGCTTCTTGGGTGTTTGCGAAGATGCCATCCCAGATGACAGGTCGGCGGAATGAACTTGAGCCGGAGGATATGGCGCATCAGGTCTCGGTGGTAAGAATCGATCGTTCGGATGCATCTTTGAGAATGTGGAGCAATGGTCAAAAACACAACTTTGATGAGAGTGAAATGTTGAATTGAGTGGGAAGAAACTTCTTGCCTCAGAATGTAATTAAATGACGCAGTAGATCAAATATATTGTAAGCTTACAGTTTGAAGTACTATTATTGCAAATGGGCAGACTAAGTGTGACAAAGAACTTCGTATCATGCAAGTTGACGGACGAAAAATTTGCATGTCTTTGAAAACCCATATCAGCGGTGAACAATCATCGTTGTGAGACCAATCACCATTGAACACGAGAGAGCCTCTATCTGATTCAAGGAAAAGAGACAAGAATTGTCTCTCCAAAAGAAATTGACAAGTCTGATCTTTTGTGAAAGGATAAGAGCTGTAAAGGGGAAAGCAAAGTATCAAAGCATAGTCACAGGGAAAATTAGTTTCAGAGAAGGAAACCAATGTTTTATGTCTTTAGCAAGTTGTAGATGCAACATTGAAACTCTTTATTCAATCTAATGGCAGTTTCCGAGAAACTGTACTAAGCATTCGGGATACGTCTACTCGCATCGAAGTGTCCACGGTTATCAAAACACAATGGACGTTGAGCTATGTATGGTATCTTGCGAAAATATTCACAAGATATCCTCTTTCCCAGACTCCCAGGACCAAGTACGTTCCAATGAATGAATCAAGCCATGGCGTTCTGGGGCCCACCTGAGAAAGTAAGTGATGTCTTTTGGGGCTAATGAAGACTTGGGGTCAAAAGTCCTGCAGACTTCGGCGGCGGTCAGGGGATTGAACTTCGTGAAGTCTCTGTAGTCAGCAAAGTCAACTGCCTTGTCTCGGTTCTCGCACTCTTGGTTGACCAGGGCTTTTTCATTCCAAGGCGCAGCGCTAGTCTGCGCAGCATCGCAGTAGAGTAGTAGCTTACGGGCTTCGGCGAAAAAGCCTAGAGAGCGTAGCTCTGTGTGTTCAACATCTGCTCGAAAAAGAAAATCTTCTCGGCAGACTCGCACAACAATTTCGGATCCCACACGGCAGGCAAATTTGATGGTCGACTTTCCTCCTGGCCGACGATATGCCCTCGGTTCCAGGGCTGCAACAGCATCTGTGCCGATGAGGGTGACCGGCGTGGGGACCATCGTCATATTCGAAGTTTGTAGTTGTATCGTTTGATTTGGACTTACCTGTCACTGGCTTGTAGTGTTTCGCAAACGTGCGCAAGTATGAATCCCAAGACATCACACAAAACGGATGACATTGAAATATTTATATTTCCAAATCTATTCGTCTAAACACCTACTTGGGCTCATTGTTGAATCTGTCTATCAACCTTTGTCCCGTGGAATAAGGCTTTTGTTGTCGTGGAGCCATCTCTTTGCAACTCTTTCATCTATCCTCAAACAATGCTCCTTTATCCCAAAACGCCTGCCGACCAATATGCATTTCCAACAATGAAAGATCATCCGAATCTTGGTGTCATTCTACGTATATGTGTCTCATCCTAAGAAAAGAAAAAGGGTTGTACCGAAATAAGTCTTGCCGCAAAGAGGACAAGACATCACCAACCAAACTTCTCAACAGCGATCCTGACATCTGCCCCCTTCCGGATGGCTTCGGCACATGTGTTCCGTACCATTCTATTCAAGCCATCCGGGCCGGAAACCACGACTGCAGCTTGGCCTCGAGCCGCATTGGACTTGCTGACCCACTTATTGACACAGCCAACAACATCTGGCCGGCCGGCCAATGCAGTGGGTTGCGGAATGACCAGCTCAAGCCCCGCGTCTACAAGCTCATCGAGGCGCTCTCGAGGCATCCAGCTAATGTGCTCCGGTGAGTGTATCACCCACAACAGATGCACTTTCTGACTGGCGCGGCTTTCCTCATCCATCAATAATGCCCACACCAGAGGGAAAGTGACAGCGATGCCCGATCCACCAGCTACGAGTATAGCGGTGTCTGCGGCTCGAAGCATCTCCAGAGCATGTGACGAGCCATATGGGCCGTCAAAGCGGACAGAAACACTCTGGTGGCGATGTGCATAAGACAACAGGTCGGAGGTGAAACCTGAATGTGCACGAATCAAGAGACTGAACCACGCATGTCTGTCTGGTTGAGCATCGTAGTAGCGACCTGGCGCAGCGGACGCAATGGTGAAAGGATGAGCTTGCAATGCGTGTGTTCGGCCCAGGGCAAGCACTGTAATGAAGACATGGTCGGTAGGACGCCAGCCGTACTTGATGTTATGTCTGAACCAGTCTGCAGGAGAGAAGGCTTGCCGTTTCAAGATTGTGGGCATGTCCCAGTTTGCTGACATTACAAAAGTCTCGCCATCTGGCAGGACTGTGAGATCTGCAGAGACCGTGGTACTCTTGAGTCCCAGACGCCATACCAGCCGGTCAACACAGAAGATCAAAAGCGACGCATTGATGTATGGTCTGCAGGTGAAGAAATGCATCCACAGGAATGCTAGTGCAAGGACTTGCAGTACTATATGCGAGGCGAGAAACAGCTCGTACCATCGCTGACGGAAGCTCCCAAGTGATGCGAAGTAGATGAGTTCGTAAGCGAATAACGCACCAAATCCCCAAAGAATAAGAGGATGGAATAGCCATTCCATAAAGGGCCCCTTGGCCAACCATTCTGGTTCCAAGACGACCCGCCATATAAACATGCCGATGAGATGTACCATTGCCACGAAGCACATGAATTCGCCAACGCGGCGGTGAAAAATATTGAGAGATTCATACGAGAGTCCTGTGAGCAGCTTGATGGGTTGGTTCTTAGCTGCAAGGAGGTACAGGAGGGGAAGGTTGACAATGAACACAAAGCCGGCTCTGTCCGCAAAGACAAAGAAAAACCTCCATTCCAGGGGAAGTAGATAGAAAGAGTAAAAGACGTTGAAACTAATCCAGCTAAGAATAAACAGTGAAGTGCCGTTTGAAGGAAGCACTCTGTTGATGAAGGGAAGTGGCTGAGGCTGGTATGCAAGCCACGATGCCAGCAAATTTGTGAGGGTTGCTCTAGTGTTGCGGGGGGCTGTCTTGATGGTGCGAGAACCTAGCAGAGGCATGCGTTCGACATCTACCTCACTCTGCTTTTGAGCATCATTTTGACTTGTTGGTTCACTAATGCTACTTGATGAGGAAGAGACAGCGACAACGACTCCATCATATTTTGGATCGTTCTCTCGGGGCTTGTCAGCCTCGTCAACCGCTTCGTGCTGTGCAGCCTTTCTCGATTCCCACCGTTGTGCGTCGCGCACAGTTTGACGAAAATGTAGCGCTGCTAGAAGGAAAAGGACGCCGAGAAGAACGAAGTTGTATGTAGCAACAATATCGCGACTGTCCAAGATGCCGGCGATCAGCTCGCGGAGGTAAGCGAGCTTCTTCGGGTCGGTAGGGCGCTCCCGGAGGCCCTGGACATCGACATTAGCGGCTGACAGGACATCTGTCTTGCCCTTCAGCAATGCATCCCGGAAAGCATCGCGAAGCCACTGCGTATCGTATCGTGCAGCGTCCATGGACGGCACGATGAGCGGGCAGCAGCTTGGCGAGAGCTGCGCATCTGGACCGAGGGATTGTTGAGGACGGAGGGAAGGGGTGGGGATGGAATCACGACACAGATTTTATCTGATGATCTGATTAGATAGCAAGGTGCGATAGCGTGCAAATCTCCGACATCGCGAGCGAGCTAGAGGGTTTAGTGTGCAGCACTAACCCGTTTCTAGAGCTTCAAGTCACGCTCCATCCTTGGGTTCGCAATATGATTCGAGACAAATGCGGCGTGGCAGCTCGTTTGAAGACCGCGGACTGTCCAGATGGTGGTGCCATGGAGGATAACAAAGTCAACCATCTCGGCGGTAAAGCGTCGGCATAATAATCTCGACCGAGATGTCCTTGGCACGGCAGTCCATTGTGCGTTTACGGTTCCGGTCAGGAATGTACGACCAAGAGCCGTTACTAGCTGTCGTTCGAGGCACATCTGTCTAGAAGCAAGCACTCTTCCTCAATCGTGGCCGCGTACCATTCAGTGCTGTACTGTACAGTTCAGAGATTCGCAAGCCTGAATTGCATCGCCATCTGTAGCCCGAGGCAGGCAAAGCCACTAACGTATCTAGCTCACGCGACCATGCATTCCAATGTGGTTTATGCCTCGGGGACATTGAACTATCTAAGGATCCCACGGCAACTGTATTTAGAATGACACATACAGCATGCTATGGTTCATCGACGACGTTCACGCATCGGAGGTGGCTTGACGGGTGTCTCTGGGTGCCGGTCCGGCGCAGCCACAGGCCGGCTCGGACTTTGCGGGGCTTGGCGGGCGGTGNNNNCTGCACCCCGCCGTGACGCAAGCCAGCCCCGACTCCGCCTCACCTACACGGACGATCGCCATAGAATACGTAACGGCCGCTCAAGGCACCAGTATGGTTTCCTTTTTAGAAGAAAAAAAAAAGGCGCGCCAATTATAAATATGTCGGTAGGCGTACCGGTTTACGGGAATAGAGAGCTATTTCACCCCATCCTCTGGTTCACTACTAAACAAACCCACTAAATATGTGTTTCGGGGTACGTGAGCACTTTCCATGCTGATGTATCGATGCATTAACGAAGCCGGGCCGGCAATAGTCTCGCAAGAAAGCCTCAAGGGATGAGCAATACTACTACGCTCCCCGCCCTGTCGATTGGTATGCCGAAGAAAAGGCCCGCGAGAAGGCAAGGAAGAAGCGGCGCCGAAGAAAGAACGGCATCATAGCCGTTTCAGCGGCACAAACAGCGACTTACGGTGGCGGTGGCTGTTAAGCAGGGAAAATCCGCCTCGGAATAGTGTATCGCACTCACAGTCTATGAAATTAGAGAATTGATGGCATGGCCATCTGATATTACGACATTGCTGTATCCTAGACCACCGGAGCGATGATTGGAAGCCGCTTTAGATAGCCAGCATGAACGTATATTGAACTTCGAGCCTAGGCATGTCCTGTACAATATCTTACCAACAGCGGATCAATGTCCGGTCTGGATGTCATACGGGGACGCCGACGGAGGAGATCCACCATATCAGATGATCAGCGAAGGCGGGTTAGAAGAGCATGTGTTCCTTGCCGAAGCAACAAGGTCAAATGTGACAGATCTACTCCGTGCTCACGATGTGTCACCCACAATTCGACGTGTTATGTCACAGATAATGACCAGGAGAAAGACCCTGGAGGACAGCTTGAGAAGGAACACTTATTGCGAGGCATCCTATCGTCGCAGAATATTCAGGTTCCATCAGATCTAGACGGTTTGCGAGACTTTGCCAAACAACTCCAGGGCGATAGATCAATTATCCACGCCGAGGCAATGTCAATACCAAGAAATCTCAAGCCTGATAAAGAGGACGTATACATGATTGTCAATGGCAATCCCCAAACTTATGTACATGATCAAGGACGTACTTGTAGGTGTATTTCCATGGAGAAGCTTAAACGACGTTATACGTAAGAATTCTGACCGCAGGTGCAGATTTCGATGGTGGATCGTCAGCTTGGGCTTTTTTGGGACTGTCCGCCAAACAGTTGAGACGCCTTCAAGTTCGTCTAACGGCGACAAGAAACCTGTGAGCTTGATTTGAATAATCCGCTTAAAGATTGGTACTGACTGTTGTAGGCCCATCGGAACTTTGCGCTCGATTCGCCCACTTATCGATTCAGAGACGTTTGACTTGGCTTATTAGGAGCTCTGCCCCCTCGACGTGTTCTAGATTTTCTCACGTCGACGTTCTTCAGATACTCGCAGTCAAATTACTTCGTTGTTCACCCGGCTATCTTCACTAGGAAGCTTGATGCCTTTTTCTTGAAGGAACTCACAAATTCAATGTTGAGATAGAGCAGAATACTCGCCGGCCAATAGAATTAGTGTGCACCTTGTTTATGGTCCTTGCCATTGGAAGTCAATTCGCAGATCTAGAGGCTAAATCAGACTCAAGCCGACATGACAACACGCAGATATTTGACAATCGCTTGAATCTCGACTTCTCAGAGATTTCGACCCCACAAGCGTAACCGAATCCCGGTTGGCAGCTATATAAAGTCTCGCGGCGTCTCCTTTTTGATATCGTATGTTCTTGCTCTATGACAAGTATTCAGGCATGCGCTTCAGGGCGTCTTTCGCATGGCTACAAGCGCACATGATGTAGCATACAATGTCTTCGGGTTAGCGGGACGCATGGCCGTAGCGATGGGATTGCACCTTGAGGTTAAAGCCGAGAAATTGCACGTGCACATTCGAGAGCTTCGTAACCGACTGTGGTGGAATCTCTATATTTACGAGCGCCAGTTTACTTTTCAAAATGGCCGTCCATTAATGGATGAAGATGACAAGATAGACACGCCTTTTCCGGTAGATATGCCGGATTTATGTACCCCACAATACGCAAACGCCATTCCAGGTGAAAAAGCTTTGGTCGAGCTCACGCAGATAATGGGTCGCATTGTCAAGATTCTTTACTCCAGGCCGACGAAGATGAAGGCTGGACAAGTCCTCGACATGAATACCTTTTTGGCGCTCCAGACGCGTTGGAGCAATGGAAGTTTAAGCTTCCAGAGAGTTTTCACGTATCACCTACCTGCACAAGGGGAACAATCCACCTCAATCTTACTTACGAACAAGCTGCCATGTTGCTCAGTCGAATTGCTCTCAGCCAAACTACAGTAATTGCAGACCCTGATGTCTCAGGCTCAAGTCAACACCCAGGGCAGAGTTTCTTAGAGAAGCAGCAAAGTATTGCGTCACTGCAGCCCTCAAAACTATTAAGCCTCTTCAACAACGACAGCTCTTATGCAAATTCTCTTACCAAGATCCTTTGTACTGTAGTACAGCTTTGCACGTCTTATTGCTTGGTTCAAGGCTTGAAAACCCAACAGAGAAGACGAAGCAAACAATGTGGGAGGGGATACTCATCCTGAGACAGCTAGCTGAAGGAAGCAAGACGGCAACTTCTTGCTGAGGCTTCATCATTGCTGGTTTCCAGGAAGTAGTCAAGAGTAACTCGCAAACCTCGCTCATGAGAGACTTCAATAGTCCACAAAATCGAGCTGAAGAGCATAAGCTATGGTAGGTGTGGGCCTCAAGCGGAAATGTTTCAGAGCCTCTCACAAATGATTTCTCGAACGACGATACACATGAACAAGCAGGACAAGTAGATGATAACACTTCTCTTTCAAACTACAGTCAACAGTTAAGTCATCGCAGAGTAAGCTAACCTAAGTTCCTTACTACCCGCCGTCTTTAAAGAGAGATCTCTAATGAATTTGGCGAGATAAAAGCTGACACTGATCTACAGGACAGTCTTATGTTTGAAAATGACATCCCGACCGGGGAAACCCACGATTCTCGACGGATTCAAGCCCACGTAGTCAGCCCTGACAATACCGCTGGTCCAGCTATAGATGATTGGCCTCAAAATGGGCAGGTGTTTTGGCTTTCCGACATGAACGACAGTTTTCACATTCTAGAAAAAGACGTGCTGACGAAGTTGGCGACGGATGGACTAAATATATGGGATCATCCAATAGATCATTCTACAATTGAGTGATGGAGACATATACCGGTCTGTAGTAGTTTCTCTAAGGTCTCTAAGAGTATCACTTGATATAACCAATTGAACACAAGTAGAGATATCCTAGGTAGTTTCAAGATTTGTCTTCTACGATATTCTACACGAGAATGGAGAGTGCAAATTCTTCTACGGAAGCGGACGAACTCGAGGATTAGCTGTACTCCGCTCTTAGATAGGAAGACGTGACAAGCTTTTACCTCATACCACTACAGCCACAAAGCTTAGGGCCAGTGCTGTTCATTTCTGTATGAGATGGCCGAAGAAGTCGTTGAGGAAGTAAGCCGACCGCTTGGCATACCTCTTCTTCTCAGGCGAGTTGAAGTCCACCCACGTGGCTCCGAAGCGATCCGTGTATCCTGCAGCCCACTCCCAATTATCTGTAAAGGTCCAGCCAAAGTATGACTTGACGATGACGCCCTCCTGAGACGCTTTTGCGATCTCTGTGAGATAGCTCTTGAAGAAGTCAATCCGGTGCGGGTCCTCTAGAATATCATCATCAGTCTGCGGCTTCCAGTCGTTCTCACCCTTAGCCGTAGTTCCGTTTTCTGTGATGAAGATGGGAGTCTCGTATCTACCCCATATCCACCGAAGTAGCTTTGCCCAGCCCCAGGGCGCCGTCCGCAGCCATGGAGTATCGCTCTCAATGCCGCGCTCTTGACCCGCCTTGTTGGTGTCGAAGATCTCTACGTTGCCCTTATGGTCATTGATGTCTGCAGGGCCGTCGCGGTGCTTGACGTAGAATGACGTATACGAGTTCATGCCATAGAACTCCGAGCTGCCTCTTACGAGCTTCTTTTCCTCCTCCGTGAAGCGCGGGAGGCGATCGCCAAGTTGTGCCCGCATCGACGCGGGATAGTCGACCTCTCCTTTTCCATAGAGAGGGTCAGCGAACCAGGCAATCTCGAATTCTTGTGCACGTTGTGCCGCCTCCACATCCTTTGGGTCGTTCTCGTCCCATGGCTCGTTCCAGTTGCCATGAAGCGTGATCATGATCTTGCCATTTTGTGTCGGCTGGAATTCTCTCTTATACATGTCGCACACGTAGCCGTGAGAGACTAACTCGGTGTGTGCCACAATGAAGGGCTCTGTGCTAGAGTCACCTTCCTCGTTTCGATCCCGATAGCTAGAGCGGCCGGGCGCATGCACACCAGCGGCATAACCAGCCAGAGTATAGACGCCGGGTTCATTGTATGTAATCCAATTCTTGACACGGTCCCCAAATCGCTCGAAGCAGACACGCGCATACCGAACGAAGTCGGGTGTATATTTTTCCTTGTCCAGCATGCCACCGTATCTATCTTCCAGAGCTTGGGGGGTATCCCAGTGGAACAGGGTGACGAAAGGCGTGATACCGTTTGCGAGTAGCTCGTCTATGAGTCTATTGTAGAAGGCGATGCCGGCCTCGTTGACTGGGTCGTCTTTGCCGCCGAGCGGGATGATACGGGACCAGGCGAGGGAGAAGCGATAGCCGGTGACGCCGTAGCTCTTCAAGCGAGCGACATCTTCCTTGTAGAAGTCGTAGGAGCGGCAAGCATCGTCGCAGGTGCTAGCATCCTTGACCTTGCCTGGCGTATGACCAAAAGTGTCCCAAATAGATACACCTTTGCCATCTTTATTCCAAGCGCCTTCGATCTGGGCGGCAGCGGTCGCAAAGCCCCAATGGAAGTCGGCGGGCAGGGAGCCCTTAAGGGAAGGATCGAAGTCGGCGACTGAGTAAGAGGAAGACATGTCGATGGTTAGCTGAGCTGTCTCGGGTGGTTTCGTCTCTTCAGTCTGGTTTCTGACTGCGGATGCTCCTAACAATACGAGATGGCTACGACAATAACATGGAACAGATGGAACAATGATGGGGCACGGATTAAGACTCGAAAAGACTCTGTGCACTTACGAGTGGGAAGATATCATCATTAGAGCTACTGCTGCTGTCGCTGCATCTTGGGCTTATGAACTCCTCGTGACATCGTAGCTTTGCTTCACTGGTGATTGATTGCCCCACGACACGAGCGCGCGAAGTGGGGGAAGCTTGATGCTGCTCAAGGAGAGAATTGCACCGACGGACGGATGCTTGCGCTCACTACGCTTGCCGATGTTGACCCGGAGAGACTACCGTTGCATAAGCTATGGTCATCCAACGGACATAAACTTGGTGTTACGCCCAACACCCGTCGGGTGATTCCATGCCCACTGGAACTTCCTGGAAGCTAGGGCCGACATTGCGGCACAGTAGGTGGAAAGCCTGCACAAATGATACACTGTCTGTGCTTCTACTGGCACCAGAACCAGCACACGCGCCAATTGTCGCTGAGTGAGTGGTCAAATGACTGCTGAACGTCATGCAAATCACAAGGCTACAACCTTGAAAAGAAGTCGTACTTCCTATCGGCTTAGTTGAAAGATACCTGTACTTGGACCTGAATCAGGTATGTACATCATCCGTGGCTGTTTAGGTCGGCTTGGCTTAGCTAAGGCAGGGGGAGGTAAGGCAATCAAACGTAGAGAGGATTTATGCTCTTCATAATTATGACTTCCGTGACAATACTTATGACCGCCATCAATTAAGTACAAAAATGTCTGTATCTGGACGTATCCTTCATGCCAAGGCGTCATCTGACTTTCGCATCGCAATCACTGCGCTGCTTGGTCTGCGTGTTCCTTGGCATATGCAAGGAGCTTAGGCATGAAGTCGTTAAGAACAACTAGGTCAACCCACTCGATGATCTCATCAATCTCGGTGCCGTCTGAGTTCAGTCTAAAGGTGAAGATGTACTGATTTTTGTAATTTCCGAGAGGTGTCTCTGCCGTCGACTTCAGATGAAGTACACCCGTACGGGCCTCCTCGTCGATGATGGGGTCCATGCCCTCCACCAGCTTGAGCTGGAAATTCTTCATTATTGCAAAGGCTGGAGCCATAAACGCCTTGTATTCCTCATTATTACGCACAGGCATCATCGGGGATGCTGGAATGGCGCGGTGTTGACAGCCAGCGCTGCGGTAGGCTATGGTACCCTCTGGTGTGTTGGTGTTGAAGGCATCGATATAACCCGTCAGGGTCTTGAGCATTTGCTCACGGAGAGAAGACATTGTGGCACTAAATAATATTGAAAAGCTTCTGAATCAAGGTGCTCCAGACTTGTATAACGACTGGTAATCAATGTGTGTATATGTATGGCTTTGGCCGCCAACATAGAGGACCGAGGTTCAGCCCCGAGGGAGGTTTCGGCAGAAATATTCTTGCCTCCTCAAGTTTTCTTACTCATGGCCCATGTCCTTTAAGGCGCATTTGCCGCTGATTAAGTAATGGCAAGTATTTCCGAAGCCGCCAGATCGTTCCTCCGTGGGTCCCATTCTATCAATAAGAGCAAAAGGAGCTACGAGTTAAGGCTCTCCTTGCTAGAGAAATAGTCTTCGCTGTTTGATTGGATCTTGGTAAAAAAGGATTCTCGCACAAGGCGGTCAGCACGGCGCAGGCAAAGATGGTCTACGGCGCAGACATGTGGCGACGTAAGCAGAATCCGTGGAACTCCGGAACCACCAGACTTGAAGACTACAGTGTTAGAGATCAATACATGGGGCTCGCACTTCCCCGTCTGCGTGATTGTGTGTGTGTGTACAATTAGACAAGTCTGGCAAACCTGAAAAACGCTTTCTCGTCCATGGAAAATCGTATCGCCACTTCTGAGGGTGACGGCAATCTTAACCAAGGTTGATGTCTAGATTCAGTCGACCCTGTCCTCAAAACCAAGCGTGGTTATCAGTGTTATTTTGCTAGTATCTCGTGCTGCCCAGTTTTTGTTCTGCCTATGTCGTTGGACGTGTTACATCCGTTATACTGCCCCACTCCAACCCATTTGTATAGTCACGTATTAACCTTGATGTTCTTTGTTGTACTCTAGATAGTCGAATTAGCTTTTCTGCTTCTATCTTACTGCTCAGTTCGAGTCTCTGTTCAAAGTTAGGTATTTCCCACGATTTGAATAATGCGAATTGGATCAAGTAGAATTCAACGAGTGCATAAACAAGTTAAACCGAAGGACTCCAAATAACATATACTTCAACGACGCTCTTGATTGTACTGACGAGGCATATTTCTACCTTTACTTGCTATTGACTCAATCGCCAGGGATCCTTGAGTTTAACGAAGAGGCCCCAGGATGGGCCATAGCATTACATATATGTTGGCCTCCTCCTCCATTAGCCTTGCAGACATGACAACAACCAAATTCTCTTCCTCCTGTAGATCTAAGAAGTGAAATGGTCATCCTGATATAGCTTCTTATATCCCACATGCTATGGTATATAGTCGATATGGCGACATCTTAAATTTCTGATCCATTTATCTACAACTAAAATAGTAATCAGGTCTACGTTTTATGACTACGCAAATCCGACTCATGAAGCCAATGTGTGTCTAGATCAAGGTTCGCATTTGAGGTCACATTGATCCTGATCAGGTAACAATTTCCGGGATCTTGAAGTCCGAGTCATTCTCGGATTGGCAAAGTTTTTTGCGGGCTTATGCCAAGACGTGATATTGAGGGTTTTGAGCATGGCTGATCTTCCAAATGGATTATAATACGCTGAGGCCCCGTAAATCTCATTATGGCGACTGCCTCAAGTCCTAGAGCGCACCTATTACCATTACTTGAATCATGAAGCCTGCCTTTGCTACACTCATAGCAACGCTAGCCCCCCTTGCTCTCGCTAGCCTCCCAGCAACCTTCCAGCTCCGGGTCTCGCAGAGTGGACAAATTCTAGGCTGCTTGGATGGCAATGGCTACTTCATAACAAACACTGCATCGTGCTATACATTCACGTCAAAGGCTATCGGTTCAAATCCGGATGGTCCACAAACTGTGACCGGCCTCGCACCCTGCGTGAATTCAAATGGCGTTCTACTCTGCAACCAATCAGGCAGTCGTGGCGCTGCGTTCATTGTGAGTAATTGGCATACGACTCAACTAGATACAAACAGGTCTAACTCTTGGGGAATGCTAGATGACGGACCTAGATCTCGAATTGGTGGGGACCGGAACGAGGTTCTCGTCCGATTCAATACCGGCTGCTTCAAGTCAGGCATTTGTCACTATTGATTATGTCTCAAGTGTACACTTCTCGCTGCAAGTCCGTACTATTTGAACCACGGAAGCGAACCTCATATCAAGTAAATAGAAGACGAGCCCGGCGCGGGGGGGGGGACAAAAGTAGGACTGAACCTTCTAAGATGAGACGATTCAAATCAGGATCTTCATTTTGAAATTTCGTGGTCGTGAGTGTGGAAATCACATTCTAATTAAATTTATTTCTATTTTGTATTTTATTCAAAATCCGATGTCCTGAAATAGAATCGCTGGTCTATCGAGACCGCAATTAGGCTTGGGGCAGACAGTCATCGTATGCACGTATCGTATCTTGCCTCCTTCCACACGGAATTCATGGCTATCAGGTTCATTGCTCATCGTCTCGAAGGTTAGCAGGACATTGACCGAGCCAACAGTCTCGTCAATAACATATCTCCTATTTGAGTTCGGTGGGTAGGTCCCACCTTCCGGTACCCCAACATTACAAGTGTCGTTTGCCAGCCCCTGACCTGTATACATACTGCCTTCCATTCGATCGCATGGAATACCCCAAGGAATAGTGACGGACTTGTTGCTCCAGACATCCAGATATGCGTCCGCAGCGGCTTGGATGATTTGGCGAGTGTCTTGTTTTGCTGGCTCGATACGGCTCCAGTTCTCAGAGAGAACATAATGTAGACTGTGAGATGCGTTAAACAGCCACGCATCCGCTCCGCTGACTATTGAGTCTATCTCGCTGACTTTGAGTGTTCCGTTACTACTGAAAATGTGCCGGATCTGTGTGCCAATAATGTAAGGCTCAACCGGGTTCGTCACGATTAACTCGGTGTAAGAGGCGCAGGCGATAGTGTCAAGTGTGATGCGTTGGTGGTCAACGTGTAGAGATTGACTGAGTATGCCGTCGTGGAATTGTCCGACTTGGTTGTTCTCCGTGTACGTTGCATTGTCGGCGAGGACTGTCTGCAGCCAGCCCGGTTTCCCAGTGCTTTGAGACGCCAGATAACGATCTGCTGTCTCTTGGAGTTCTGACCTGCTACATTCGGCACTTGCAGTAGTCCTGAGGAGGCTAAACATGACCGTAATGATAGTGAAGGTATTCATCGTCAATATACACTAAGATGGATGGCAAGCAACAGAAGCCCAGACTCTCAATCTTATCATGGGCTGTTTGTACCTTCTTTGAAGACACGTCCAAGAGCACTGTGGTGGGGCAGAATAATTTAATGTCCAATATTGCTTTCGTAATTATTATGCTGAAGTTAGCGAATTGCCGGACCACTGGCCATGACGAGCAGATCAGCCGGGCTCATAAACTCGGTAGCTTTCCTCATTCAACCGGTTCTCTCCAAGCTAAGCTCTTTATTATCGCTTTTCACATGAATACAGCTACCATAATAGTTACTAGAACATCAGGTAATGGCCGTCGAACCTTAATGCCTGAGTTAGTCGCTGCTGGACTCCTTTTGACTGTCGACGTCGACGTCGCCGTGGTCGCGATTGTAGTTGAGCTTCCCTTGCCTCCAATTACCGTTGAATTCTCTCCTAGACCTCCAGTAAGATTTTTTGAGTTTATGGACTGCACCATGCTCGGCATGAGATCGTACGGGCTCAAGACGTTCTTGCATTGTGAAGCATACGGGGCGTCATAGTCGACTGTAAATGTCGACACGGAAGCGTAGCAACCGCTGCTAAGCACATCTGTCTCTCCTGGAAGTTTGCAATCTCCATTGATACATTCACTCAGTCCGTCGGCAATGATGTTCTGCGTAGAGAATAGCCCTGATGCTGCGTTATACGTCGCTTTGTTGATAACGGCTCCGGTTGTCATGCGTGTCAGGATAAATGGTGGATTGACGCAGGAGTCATCCTTAAAAGAAGTAATGTATGGGATGTTCACAGATAATCCATAACCAAGTGGTAGAATACGTTGTCCCTTCGCTTTGTCTATCATTTCTTGTGCCAGATTAGCTGCTAAGCGCGCTGTGATAGTGGCCGGATCCTGAAAACCCGCCGCCGTCGTAATGTTGGTCCATTGATAAGAAGTCTGGACAGGATACGCCGCTGAGTATGCAATAGCCGGAATACCGCGTTCTATGGCTGCATAAGTTGCACCAATTGTGCCGGAAAGGCTGTAGAAGAACGGCCCAAGGTTCAAGCCGTAATTAGGGCCAGAGAGAACGAGATCAGGCTCACTGAAGTTTGCATAATTCGGAAAGACATAGTCTAAAGCAACAAACACCTGTGCAGCAGGAGTACCATCATAGTACCAGATATGATTGTCGAAGGGATCCTGACCAAGTGATGGCGATCCAGGTTTGATTAGACCTACACTGCTAGTAAGCAAACTTTGCTAGCGTGTCTATGGGTATACCGTGCAACCCACCAAATTCCGAGCCCGATGGGAGTATTGAATTGCTGGTAAAGACCACACGACCGCCCATACCAGACTTATCGGTGGCTGATGCGACGATAAAGCAGTCATGGCCTCGGGCAACCATCTGTTTGTAAAGCTCCCGAATATTGGATGTCCCAAAACCATCATCATTCTACTAGTCATGACTAGTTTAGTTCTGCCAGGTCGTTGCGTTTCCTTGCGGACATACCGTTATTAAGATGTTTAGGCCTGTGACCCTTGATATCAGGGAAACAGCCACGATCGTGATATACCGGTAATGCATCGCCGTATGCGCGTTGCCAATCCGGCAATTTGTAATTGAGGGCGATATGCGGGGAATCGTGGCAATTGCTCTATGATCTCATAGCTACCTAGTAGTGAATCACTGAAAGTGGATACGAAAATCACTGAATGCTGCGCAACTGGGCAAGTTTGATATTATGACTCTTGGGAGAGTAGTGGCAAGCTGCAAAATTTGGTGCCGGAAAAGGACTAATGGGGGAACGAGACAGGCGCAACCAGGAATACTTAAAGTTCTGTATTATCATCCTACAAACCGACTGTTGCGCACCCGTGGACGGCGCAACTTTCATGTGCATGAATGTGGGTATATGTCGAACTTTTTGCCCACGTGCAGCTTCCGAGCATGTTCATTGCCCGGATAGGGTCATTCGCTGCCGTACATAAGCTACAAAGACAAATTGCGTGTTCATAGGCTGAGCTATCACTTGCAATAACCTTAAGACAGTTACTCGACTTTGCGCAAATATCTTACTTATGATGCATGTAAGTCCGGTGATTATACTCAGATCTGATATATACTTTGTGACGCATACTATTCCAAGTCTCAAACCCCACTGTTGCACCGCAAACCAATTCATGCACTACTTCTTTGGCTGAATCGCCTGCGGAAAGTAGAAAACTTCATTCGGGTCTAACGCAGCCTTAATGGTTTGCAGTCTTGGTACGTTCTGTCTCCAGTAGACATCTTGGGCATAAGTCCTGTTCATTGTCGGGTCCGCATAGTTGATATACATGCCCCACTGGCTCGAGTTGAGGGTGTTCGTCATGGCATCGACCCAGCCATTTAGGAAGCTTAGTCCATTTGCCGGATATCCTCCGAAATAGGAACGATCGTAGAATTCGTAAAGGAATAGCTTGTCACGATGCGCGTATGCGGTTGAGTCGCCTGCTTGGTTCGCGATGTACGCGTTTTTGCCGCCATGCATATCGATAATGACATACCACGAACGACTATTAGACTTCGCAGTGTTGAACCAATAATTCGCAAAGCCGGTCATAGCCGTAGCTGGAAGAGCCGTGGTTGCGAGCGACTTGGAAAAGAAGTTTTCTTGCTACATCTCAATAAGCTCAAGTTCAAATTTACAGGGTTGCTAGGCCTTACGTGATTATATGGCACGGAAACGTCGATCGTCTCCCCGTTGGCATACGCATTGAAGCCACCCATCCAATCAGTAGTTTGCAGGCCCGACAAAGATGCTCCATTGCCGATGGCCGCGAGAAGTGGTGCAGCTGCTGTTTGCAGTGTGGAGGAGTCGCCGTACCAAAGCCCCTGGATTTGTGCAGTGTAACTATTAATGAATATTCGCATGTTCATGTCGGCGGGCATCGTGTCTTGAACATATTTCTGCAAAGCGGTCCAGCCACTCACAGTACCCGCAATACTATTCCAGGGAAGATTGATGCTGAATACAGTAATACTTGAAGGTGGCGCAAATGTGTTGAATTTAAAGGATGTTACTGCACCAAAAGACGACCCTGCACCCCTTAGTGCCCAAAATAAGTCGGCATTCTGAGTTGCTGAGCAATCTGCAACAGTTGAATTAGCAAGGACAACGGTTGCGCCCGTCATCCAATCAAGGGCGAGGCCATATTTGTGGGAGCTGAAGCCAAAGCCTCCATGTAAAGAATGACCAGCAACCCCAACTCTGGTATTTACGATTAGCCATTTTCACAAGCCTTTCCGAGAGGAGTATTACATACCCTGCACAGGTACCATGACTAAATGCTCGCTTTCCTTGTGTCCACAGGCCTGTCAAAACATGTCCTAGGCGTGCCCCTGCCTGCACGGTCGCTACGTTGGTGGCTGTGTCAAGTGTGACTTGGTACATGCGGTCCATCTCTAGCACTAGGTGACCGTCTTCGCCGCCGAGACCGTATGACGCATAACTGTGCCCTCCGCCCTTGGGGCTCACCTTGATTCCTGCTTTGACCGCGCATGATACTGCAGCTTGAACCTGCGCAACGCTGGTTGGGACCGCAATTGCTGCAGGGGTATATGGTAATCTCTGATTGAATGGGGCAGCATCAGCGTTCCAATCATTTGAGCCTTTGGTGTCTGTGGGCACTGCTGCCGACTTCAGACAGTCATCCAATGCGGCCCTCTTCTGTAAGTCTGCGATTGAATTCGCAGATGCCCAGCTTGCCAAGAAGAAGGCTGTTGTAGCAGCCAATTGTCTCATATTGATCAAGTTTTAGCAGGCTCTTGTACAGCCTGTGAAACCCCAAGTGATCAACAGCAATATTATGCTGGTGTATATTCCGGCCTCAGAAGGGTATATGATCGGATCTTGGCTACATTCTTGGCCAGGGATTTATAGTCTTGGTGAAGTCGCAGAAGTACACCTTACCGCAAGACCCCAGACCGTGGATGGGGGAACCAGTAACTTGGGACAACGGACGTGAAAAGCCGTATTCATTAAACAATACAGTAATATTGCAGGATGTGTGGCTTCATCATGTATGGGCTAAGAATATTGCTGTGGTCAACTGCAAAGCATTTGACGTGTACCACAGAATGGCTACCCTTCCCCGGAAACTAGCACGGTGCATGGTGAGCCTGGACCTTTCCATACACCAGGTGCAGAAAGACAACTCTCGACGAGCATCTTAATGTGTGTATCTCGCTGCAATTGTGGCTGAGGACTGCTAAGTGACTGGCCCGGGTGTATCTCATCAAATAGAGCGGCATCGATTACGGCAGCCAAGGGAGCCTCTTCTATGGTCACTGAGAGCTCGGATAACAGATCAGGATCATATCTCGGAATTTGAGCCTAGTCGGATCCATGCTAGGTAATTTGGATGATATGGATGTGTTGATAAGATTAACAAAGGGAATGTTCCCAGGCTGTACGGATTTAGCCGTACCAGTATAAGCGACTATCTACGGAAAGTTCATCTTACAGCGGCATCTGACGGCATTAGCGGATTCGCCGTTACATGAGACTTGGAACAAAATGAGATAGATATGTTCGCCACGACTTTCGACAAGAGTATTAACAGACAGGTAATATTTGGTGAGAAATGGTGTGACATAGCTCTCAAGTAGACCCTCCTGTTCGTTGTGTAAAATGATTCCATCGTACGCGCCGAATTCGTTGACATGTTTCGGAGGTCTAATATCGGTGACAACAAGCTGTGGAAAGGCAAACGATAAGGGATGCTGTTTTCAGACTATGTAATAATATCTGCCAACTCATAGCAAGATTAGTGTGACTTGAGACAAAGAGAAACGTTCCAACATTCTACCAAATGAGTGAAATAGTATTCTGTGACATTGCTGTCCTGGCCTAATTAAATCAGATAGGTGAATTCAATCTGAAGATCATGTCTATAAGTGAAATGATATCTAATTATCATGGTTCTCTAATAGTCTTTCGTTATAATCAGATCCTCGATTTCCTTGTACCTCGTCCCCCAAATCCCCAGCCAATTTGGCTAGCAACATAGATACTGGTATCTAGGTCATCTGCCCAGTACCAAACAAGTCCAGGGTTTTTCTGGAAGGGCCTCCCAGCCATAATCACATCTATGGGTGTGTCTTCCGTGAGGAGGTTCTCCGCTTGCTTTCCATCGTTAATATTTCCAACGGCACTGATAAACATTTTATCGCCCACAGCTTTCTTGATTTCCTTTGCAAACGGTGCCTGATAGCCCGGTCCACCTTTAACCTTCTGCAAAGGGGAATTGCCACCACTGGACACATCCAGAAGGTCCACCCCTCGTTCTGCCAGCAGTGGCGCCAGCTTCGCGGCATCCTTGACTGTCCAGCTCCCACTATCGAAGCCTTCGACTTCCTCGAGCCAATCCGTCGCGCTTATTCGAACGAACAGGGGCATGTCTTCTGGTATTGCCTGTCGAATGCCCTCAGCAACTTCTAAGGTAAGCCTCACGCGGTTCTCGAAGCTGCCTCCGTATTGATCAGTGCGCTTATTGCTGATCGGCGAGAGGAATTCGTAAAGGAGATATCCGTGGGCATTATGAATCTCAATAACGTCGAAGCCTGCTTGTACAGCGCGTTGGGCGCCGCGAATGAAGTCGGCTTTCAGCTCCTCGATCTCAGCCAGAGTTAGTTCTCTGGGAGTGGCAAGCGCATCACTAAAAGGAATTGCTGACGGGCCCACGACATCGTCAGGCCATCCCCTCACATCTTTGGTAGCTAATGCGCTGGAAGATAGAAACGGTGCGACTGTGCTGGCCTTTCGTCCGGCATGTGCCAATTGGATTCCAATCTTTTGGCCTTGCGAGTGGGCAAACTCTACATGTGGCTTGAGCGAGAAGACGTGAGAGTCGAGGTAGATTCCCGAGTCTTCGGGTGTGATTCGGCCATTGGCTTGTACAGCAGTTGCCTCCACTATCGTCAAACCTGGCCCTCTCTGGATGATCCCGCCATAATGCGTGGTATGCCACGGGGTATGGAAGCCGTCGAGAGCACTATACTGACACATCGGGCTGACCATGATGCGGTTTTGAAATTCCACCCCACGAATCTTCAGCGGCGTGAAAAGCTTTGGGAGAGGCTTTCCACTCGGTTGAGGATTCAGGGCCGTGCCCGCTGGAGGATCCTGTATGGGTGTGAAATAGGGGGCATCTGGTGCAGCTTTGTTCTCAAGGCCAAGGATCCCACCATCTTTCAATTGCTGCTTCTTCATTGGCACCGAATGATGTGCGTGACTAGCCTCAGTTCCCTTGTGTTCTGTTGCCATTACTGCAAGTGAATGACACGGGAGGACTCCCTAAAGTCTCCAATTGTAATGTACTGTACGGCTTGACGATGGTCAATGTTGTTTGCAGGGGTCGTGCGGCGTCGTTGGATCGTGCCGTTTTAAGGTGCTGACAATGATTTGTTAGGCTCGACTCAACACCGTATCTCGAGATTGACCTTTAAATGGCTTCAAGTTGCTTTATCTGGGGAGACCATCGCTCCACTGTATCCTTACAAATCGAATTGCGAGCAAAAGTGCTTTTACTAATGAGTGGGGGTTTACTTTATCCCGCGTTGGGGATTTTTGGGAATTTAATACCGAGGTTCAATGCGCCATCTGTTGCGCGGGTTTTTAGTGTGACTCATGGTAAATGACTAGGGCCAGCTCGACACGAATATACATGGATTTTCATCAACAACAAGGCTACAGTATGTACTTAAATAATGAAGTCTTAGGATGGCTCACCCGGTAATGCCCTCCCTTATCTCTGCGACTATCCATCAAAGCCGTTTTGCCATTTATTTTACACCAGAACTTACGAGAATCAGTCACCACAGCCTCACTTAGCTTGAGACTTGAATTGTGTTTTTGTGTTTAGAGCTAATGACAGCGTTTCGTTAACGTGGAGTTTTATATAACTAGAACCGTAGCTTAGAGATGTCCAGAATGGCTCAGAAATTCTCTAATCTATCCGTTTGTTGAAAGCCTTTCTGGGAGGGGTTACTCGTGATATATCCTGAACAAAACCGTTGATTCGATTTCTTCTCTGTAGGTATTGGAAAAAAGGAGATTTGCTGTTCTTGATCAACGGTGGAGGCGTAAAATTTCAAAATCGGACAGAATTTCACAGCTGCCATCACGTGGCTCTTCTACCATGGTTGTCCTCCCGGAACAGGTAGCTCAATAGGTGAACCAGTCGTGCCTGCCTCTGGTAAAAGTATCGCTTCGTAACTCACGTTCCGCACAGGTTTCTCTATCCTCACTTCCTTCATTGGGAACGCATATCTCACGAGCTTATTCAACCCATCAGGTGTCATTCATATCCAGGTCTACTACCACATGAGTCTTCTCTGCACCGGATACCTCGCAATTCTCGTACGACGTCTCTCCAACCCGACTGCTTCGCCACCAAATATTAATTGGCGCGAGAATTTGATGCGTCACTCAAGCCTGAGGCACACTTTCAACTCACACAGCATACGCTTTCTGCGTGGCATGAGAGCGAGCCTTCCCCTCACCACTTCTAGCTCGATAAAGCCCAAACTATCACTGGCCATGACTCAACCCGCGCAAGAAACCATGGCCGATATCCACGGCGATGACGAATTTCAGCCTTGTTTGCTGTTCTTCTACGGCTCCTTGATGGACACAGATGTGCTCAGAATGGTCGCGGGATTGGAAGCTACCCCTGTCTTGCAAGACGCCTCGATCGAGGGCTTCAAGATGAAGATGTGGTGAGCACCAACAATATCACTTGTTGTTTCCAACTTTGAAGGGACTTATCGAGACAAACACTGACTTGATTAGGGGCGGCACTTACCCGACACTTCTTCCTCAGACAACCGGAGAGAGCACTGACAGGATAACGGGCAAAGCCTGGAAAGCAACTGCAGAGAGCCAAATCAACAACCTCCAACACTACGAAACGAGCGCGTACAAGATCACCACCTGCAAGATTCAACTCGAGGGAGGCGAAGTTGTCGACGGCAAAACTTTCAGCTGGTCTGGGATTCATGGCGATAATGAGTTGGAGGATGGCACTTTCGATTTGGAAGTCTACCAAAAGACTGTGAAGTCGTTCATGTTTGGCATCTGATTGGAGGTTGCAGGGGATCACTGTCAACATACGGGGAGAGCCAGGGAGACCCAGGTATTTGTGCTAGAGACTAGAAGAACAAGAATCACGACATCCGTTAAGACGGGCTAAAAACCACTCTGGTTCATATTAAGCGAATCCTGTTTTTGCTTCGTGCTCCCTTTTAAGTTCTTGACGGGAGGGATACATATGCATCATTGGCCTCAAATGATCACTGATCACGGGTTGCATGGGTACCGTAGACAGCCCTACGCTAGGACTTCTCTAGGTGTTCTGACCAAATCAGTTTGCTGACACCCCGCACAGCGCGCCACTTACATAGGACGATTAGCTGCCTAGGACTTCTGGCCAGCCTCGCGATATTAAGCATTGTTGACTTTATTTTGCAAAAGCACTCTATCTTGGGGATCAATTTTTTATAGTACTCAAATAGAAACATGTTCCTACTTCATATATAAGAGCCTGAGGATGACGCTCTTGCGCTCACCATTCGGTTGGAGGATTACATTGGCGAAATACCGCCTTACGCTATCCTCTCGCATCGATGGGGCCTGCCAGTAGACGAAGTAACATTCCAAGACATGATGGGCAATATTGAGTCCGCAAAACAGAAGAAAGGTTATAAGAAGGTTGAAAGTTGTTGCATGCAGACGCTAGAGTATGGCTTGAACTTTGCGTGGATTGATACCTGCTGTATAGACAAGTCGAGCAGTGCTGAGCTTTCAGAAGCTATCAATAGATTCGGTCATGGTATCGAGATGCGAGGATCTGTTTTGCATATCTAAATGATGTTCCCTATGACAGCGTTCGCGCATTGCCAGAGCTGGGTTCTCCTTTTCGTCGAAGTGCATGGTTCGATAGAGGTTGGACATTGCAAGAGTTGATCGCACCGCACGACGTCATCTTCTTCCCTGAACAATGGGGGCCGCGATCTTTAGGCGACAAGAACTCTCTAGCAGACATCATAACTTCAATAACAGGGATACGGAAGGAAATCTTACGAAACCGATCTCTGATGAGTTTAGCCAGCATTGCTGAAAGGATGTCCTGGGCGTCACGACGTCGAACTACCAGATTAGAAGACGAGGCTTACTCACTCATGGGAATCTTCGATGTCAACATGGCAACAATATATGGCGAAGGTAGAAAGGCTTTCATGAGACTCCAAGAGGAAATAATGCGAACCTCTACCGATCAGACAATCTTTGCATGGTCAGACGAGAGCAGTGCCTTTGGGATGTTGGCGACATCTCCTCACAACTTCAAAGGATCGGCAAACTATCATCCAATGAAGTTCAATGATTATTCTGAGCGGTTCCATTTGCGCAATTCCACTGCCGCCGAGCCCTTGGAAGACGACTTGATTGGGGGTACTGATATGCTATACTCCATGACCAATTTCGGGCTCCAGATATCCCTCCCTTTAGTAAGGTTGCCGTCCAAGTTTCAAGACTACTATCTTGCATTCCTTGCCTGCAGTTATGGGGACAATGAGGAATCGACGATGATATTTTTGAAACACAGAGAAGGCAGGCCGAAAAATCATCTTCGTCGGGTTTGCTTTAGTGGAAATTCCATTATCCATCGCCCAACCCCCAAGGCGCAGTACCCTTCTCGTCTTTCTTCAAGGCTTGTATGGATTTCCGACGGGGGCATATCACACAAACTTGATTTGAAGCCTCCCCCCAACGCCACCCCTCCATGTCGCTTGATCAATCTCCTTATCGTATCACGCATCCACTCTCTGGACTCTATGACAACGCCGAGAAAGCTTCAAGCTGCATGCGATTTGTATCCACGAGGTTTATGGCATGATAAAGATTACCATACATATGCACGCTTTGGTCCCGACGAGTATGTTACCTTAACATTTGACCATACGTATGACAAATCCATGAAAGCAGCAAGCCTGGCTTTTGTCTTTGGCCTGCACGATAATCGAATATGGTATAATTTGGATGCGGATGTGCCACTCGAGCCGGCCGAGATTCTGCATGAGGACTATGATATGTTCCAATTTGGAAAGGGATGGAGTGATACTACACACAATATCGAATTCTGGGAGCGTGGCTCTCAGCGACAATGGCCTGCGACACGTAGAGCATCGATTCACGAACATAGTCTTCATAGACTGCGTCCTACATTCACAGATGATGGCGGCCTTGTTCAAAACTTCGAGTTGTTGCTCTTTCGAATTGGACTGGGTGAATATCCAGGGCATTAGATATGGTCACAGTCAGACTGAAGCAAATTTTAGTCACGTCCGAATTGATTTCTACCACGAGCTATGCTATATAGAACTATGGCAAGTCCAGCAGCAGGGCTAGAAGTTTCGGGTATATGGGTGATCTATTCACAAGTGGCTTAGTATTGGGGATTGTAGATAAAGTGAAGATTAACTTACCCCAGACCAGTGACGGGGTCCCAACCTGGTGCAGCTAGGAAGCCTGTAGAATCGCAAGCAGGGTTGGATCCTTCTGTAATGTCGTGGAATACCTCTGGATGGGCATACTGCAAATAGATTGAGATTAGTAATGCGGCCATCTTAGATAGGAGCCTAGACCTACCAGTGTCGGATTGACAAAGCCAAGTGAGCCTTTGCCAATAGCAATGCGCTCTTCGTTGATTCTCGTCAGAATAGCTGCCCACACAGGCGCCGACAGTGAGGTTCCGCCGACGCGTCCCCAAGCACCACCGCCGCGAATGACAAAGCGATCTCCAATAGCGCCGACATCCGGGTATCCTCGGCCGCCGATCTTATAGACACCATCACCAACAGTGCTGAAGTTAGTGCCGGGATCCGTGTAACCAGTGAAAGTCAAAGTGACACTGTCAAAGTACTTGTCCACGGCATCCTTCTGGTACTCTGGAGTGTCAAAATAATTGGAAAATCCACCACCGGAGGCAAACCGAGTCGTGGCGACTTCGTTCAGCTTGCACTTGGGACCAGTGGGTGTCGGGTCATCGAATTGAGTCGAGCCAACCGAGAGCACATACGGGCACGAGGCGTCTGAAGCTGGGTAGAAAACTTTACTATCCGGCCCAGCACAGCCATTCTCGTAACCAAAGTCTCCGGGGTAGGAGCCAACGCCGTAGTCGCCGGACGAGATGACGACGGTGACACCCTGAAGGCCAAGCTTCATGATCTCACTGCATTGACGCTTCTGATAATAGTCTGGAAGATCGGCCTCTCCACCGCCGTACGAAATGGAAATGACGTTTGTTGGCTCATACACGCCGCATTGCAGCTCGCCTTTGTAGCCGCCTGGGTTCGGGTCGGGGTAACTCGGGTCTAGACACTCAGGCTCCACGCAGTTGCCAGTCTCGCCATACGCCGAGTAAGTGCAGTACGATCCATCAAGCGCATCGTAGAATGTGTTCCAGAAGCCAAGGTAAGGAGTCAGCAGATCCGTCTGATTGATTTCATAGTATTGGTCGTCAGTTTGGAATAGGATCGTTTTCTGTGGCCAGATGAGTGGCCAAGCGGCTTCAAAATCGAGATCTGACTCGATACCTGCATCTTCGACGGTCGGAGATGCTCCAATGGCTCCATCGATGAGCTTGTCGATGGGGTATGTGCCGTTCGGAATCTCAGGGTAGAGTGTGCTCCAGTATACATCGAGATCGTTCTGGGAGTAGTGATCATTCAGACTCTCAAAAACACCCAGCTCGTTACCAGGAGCGGCCTTATCGCCCTTAGGGATGCGATACTGGTTGCGAATGCACTGGTTAGTGACATATGTATCGCAATTGGTGATGTTCAATGGTGGTAAGGTGCCGGCTTCCGAGATTGGGACCATGCCTGTATTCATGGACGTCACACCACGCTTCTCCAAAGCGGCAGCTTCTTGACGGCGCTTGAGCTTTGCAACCTTGCCGGGGTCTGCGCGAAGTCTGATTCCAGGAGTGATGTAGTCAATATGCTTTTGGACGTCATTCGGAATGTGATAGTCTTCGGCGGCAATGTTCTCTGTGCCAGTGCTTACATGCTCCCATACAAAGTACTCGGTGTATAGAAGGTTTTCTGCCTCAGAGACGGTAGCATCGAATTGAATCCACTGAAGAAATTAGACGACGTTGTCAAGCTCCTCTGCACATTCACGTACCTGTTTGTTCACAGACTGCGTGATGCGCTTGGAGTCGATGCCGGCAGCTACAAGCCAGTCTCTAACAACCTCAACGCTTTCCTTCGGTGGCGCAAAGAAGTCAATGACTTCACGGGACGTCATTCGCTTGCCGAAATTGGTGGACTTTGGGTCGGACCTGTTAGAGAAAGCAGGAGGTCAGCGGTGATACCTGGGAGAGATCCGTTAATCGTGACTTGCCGGTCCATGAGGAGATCGTGCCCAAGAGCCAGGTTTGGCTGTTTGAGTCCAATCCGCATGGGCAGCACGGCAGTGCTGACCATTCGCTTCGTGCGGGTCCATGCTCGCGACCAGTGAGGCATCTGGCGTTCGTGCAGGATGTGGGAAGCTGGCACTTCGCGCCTGGTCACAGCAGAACCGCTCTGTCCGGGCGTTTCAAGCGCCAATGCAGCATCAATTGCAAGCCCTCCGGCCAGAAGGGCCGTCAAGCTACGAAACAGCATTTTTGGAGCTGCGATTGAGCTTTTTAAAATTGGACGACAACACTGCAACAGCTCGCAATCACAAGCACGACAACCCAAAGAGCTACCTGACTTGAGCAAGAAAGCCAAGAAGAGTAGAACAACAATAGCTCCCTGGACGCGGAGCTATATACCAATGCGACCTCTCGGCGTACATCTCCTGTATGCACGGACGAGGGAGGTCCTGGAGGGCCATAATTAGACATCCAGGCACAACGCACAGAGGTTGGGTGGTCCATGGCAACCTCGAGGATTCTGGGGTGGCTCATTAGATCACGATAGCCCGCTGAGCTTCCCTACCAGGCAAAGCTCCAACGCTGCTGGCCGGGATGGCAGATATTAGGGTAAGGCACCAGGCGACCGGGGAACCCACAGGGCACAGCAAGGTCCTTGTGTATAGGGTTTTTGCACTGGTCGAGCCGTCATCGCACCGTTCCACCTTCCCCCGTTGCACGCAAGGCGGTCGCCCAGGCCGCCTTGGGGAAAGCTTGGTGTGCTTGTCTTTGGGATGGCCAGTCACAACGACGCATGGTGCATAAAGAAGCATTGCCCCGGAACAGGCCTGGAAGCTTGTGTGAGTGTGGCGCACCGTAGCGCTGGGTTAGTACATCATGCACCTGGGCCGTGGAGCACCGCCTACTGTGTTAGGAAGGTCGATGTTCAGTGGGATTGGATGAGATAGCGATTGGCGGCTTTGTCCAGATCACTGTCTTGCTTCAATGTCTTCGATCTGTTCGCCTGGATGCATATCGAATCCACCAACAATACTCGGCCTCTTCTCCTTCTATTTTTGTGGCCCCAAGTAAGTGCAATTCTCCGGAAAGTGTCATTAGGATATCTCAGCAAGGTCTTGTGTTCATGCGAAGGAACGGCTCAATAAATGACAAAAGCATAGCCGCTCTCCATGCTCGGCTCGGTCAGCTCAGACCTTAGCTAGCGGCGGCATGCTATTTGGCATTAAGGCGAGCCCCCAGTGGACTTGTGTGTCGCAATATTTTCAGGCACAGAATTCGAACGAAACAGCTTGTTATCTTCATCGTCTATCAGGGGTAATCTCACGTCATCCAAGTAGAAACGCCATTGCATAATCTACTTGTTAAGTCACAGCAATCTCGACAAGCTATGTGACTAAGATCCTAAATCGCCTTGTTATTCCTGATAATAGCTGGTGACTAACCCAGCTTGCCAGCCTTTTTCATGGTGGCCTTTTGGTCACTCGCAAGTAAAAATCGTTTGCCACCCAAAACGCCGCGTCGAACAGTTTCATGGGTTTGACAGGGTTGACAACTGCGAAGTCATATCGCCTGAGAAGCTGAGAGACTGTTGGAATCAAAACAATGACAGGCACAAGTCAATGACAAGATGGCATCAAACGGACCTACCTCAACAAATATCTTATTCAACTCCATCGCCGCAATTACCTTTCCTAGGCACTGGAACTTGCCATGGCCAAAGGCTAGGTCGATTGTCGCTGCCATTTCCTTGTACATCGCTTCATCCTTGGCCGCCTCAATCCACCGATCCGGCCGGAAAACATCGGCGTCTGGACCAAAATTTCCCTTGTCTCTCATCATTTGCTGAATGTTAATGCCCATCTGGGTGCCCCCCGGTAGGTGATACCCATGAATCTCTGATCCGCCCTCTGGGACTTCCTTGTAGTTATGACCCGTCGATGGCGGAAACATCCGCAAGCCTTCCTTAATGACGGCCTGCAGATATGGGAGCTGGTACGCCTCGGCGTCAGTGACAGGCGAGCTTATGCGACCTGCTGTAACCGCGCTGTCGATCTCGCGCTGCAAACTCCGCAGTGCCGCCGGGGTTGTCATCAGGCAAAGCATGATCATCCGAATGGCGGTCGCCGTCGAGTCGGAGCCCGCGATCATCTCCAGAAGTACCTCGGCCATTAACTCCTTACGTGTAAGCCCATTCCGGATATGCGCCTGCATCATGTCATTCCCGGGTTCGGCATCCGGCTCAAAACGCTGATCGACAAGTTTTCTCGCGAAGCTATCATGCCTGTTGTCAGCCACGGTTCCTCGCATGACACGAGGGCGGACCAGTCTATCGTACCCCATCAGTGGACCAAGCCCATACTCATCGCCCACTTTAGGCATTGCCTTGCTCAGCGGCCAAGTGCGCATTACCCGACTGAGCCACGGCATGTTTAATATTATAGCTAGCACGGGAAAGAAGGCATCGTTCGTCTCAACGTATTTGTACATATCCTTATCGTTAGCAAGAAACCCAATGGCCTCGCCAAAGCCAACATCGCTAATGACATCGAGCGCAAAGTATTGCGAACGATGGGAGAATTCGATAGGTCGGAACTCGGACGGCGTCGAAAGGTATTTGCGCTCGATGAGGTCTACAAATTCAGTGACATGACGGTCAACGACTGGCTCGAAGCCAGCGCCTTCTTTGCCAGAATACTGTTCATTGCGCACGCAATAGTTAGAAACAGCAGAGCGATGAGATGAAGAGAGAAGGTAGGTTTGTGACAGTCATAATCAAATACGAACACCAGGGGCGAGCTTAGCCTTTAAGTCCTTCCGCAAATCATCATCGCGCATAGAAAAGAGGCTATCTTGATCGGGCAGGATCCGGGACGGCTCGTACCATGGACCCTTTATAAACTCCGAACGGACGCCGTTGATCCTTCGGTAGGTGTCCGCATCGCCGAACATGACCTCATTCGGCCCAACCCGGATGAGAGGGCCTAAAAGCAACAAAAACCCCTTCAGTTAGCAATAGATGGGTCGTCCTATCGCAACTCTGACTCACATACCGTACTTATCTCCGTAGTCTTTAAGAATAAAGCTCATCCGGTCGCTGCCGGCAAGCTTATTCATTGGGTAAATGGACAGTGAGTGCCAGAACGGTCCGGGCACATGTCTCAAACGACACCAGGACCGATACTCCCATACGGCGAGCAATGAGACGATGCAAACGACACCGGCCACTGTTATATTACCCGTAGTAGCCTCCAAATTGATGACAAACTTCCCAAAATCCATCATCATTCACTCCAATGCTTATGCGGCTCAACAATCACAAGAACGAGCAATATTGCTGCTATTGTTGGTTTGATGGTGAAACTCAAGCAACATGAGGGCAGGCTATCCTGAGGTGGGGGAGATCCTGATTAGCATCTTTGCTTTGTACGAAATATGTTGCAAGCCAGACAACAGTTGCGCTTCCCTCCGCTTCTCTCGCGTGTGTGCCAGACAGTAATTATGGTCCGACCTGCATGAGGAGCTCTCCTCGGCGCTTGCTCCTGCTTCTTGCTTCTGGATCACCCTTCACCTGTCAGGACGTCACGGCCCGCGCGCATCTGGCGGCATACCCTGCTTTCCGAGTTCCCCGCTGCATCTTGTCTGGAATGCACCTCCCGAGGTCCAGTTCCAGTTGATAAACGAGCCAATGAGCAAGTGTCAACCACCTTCCATGTGTTGCTCAGCATTGGCAATAAGCAAAGTTCTTGTAGACATAACCCCTCATCGCAAACGCTGTTCAACACATTCAATTATTTTACACTAATTTGCTATCACAGATTGTTCGCATGAAACCTCGCAAAAATGTACTGTTATATCTATGCTATCTATGGTAAGAGAGCAGCTATTATAGGAAGTTATAACATACGTGAGAAGTTAGGTAGAGATAAGTTGTAAATTTAACACGAGAGATGTACAGATTAAGATCTGAGGAAGATGCTCAAGATTGCCATTGCTCAGTTACATAATGCTAATGACATAACGGTAGCATTCATAGGTCTGAAAATTAGATGTGACCATGAACGAGGCAATTAGAATGCTTCTACTCTCAACCAAAAAGATGTAATTGCATTACTTTCCTAGTGATATACACCTTTCCAAGGCCGAGCTTGACAGTTGTTGACATCTATCGGTAGATATTTGTCGTTAAGATCGAAAATTAGGATGCCACTTAGTCTAAGTAATTCCATTTTGCCAGCCAGGAGTCGCGAAAGTCGATGTGTGAGGAAGAGGACCGCCAAATGTCGCTGGAACAAATTCGACAAATGAGGGATGCCCAAAAGAGGCGCAGGGCACCTGTATTTGCACTGCCACTGTCTCTCAGCAGCAAGAGGCATGCAAGTTGCGCATATTATAGAAGGCACTTCCCATTCCCCGAGCCTTGCTGTCAATCCCATTTCTTTCAGACCCATGGCTTTGGGTCAAATCGAACAATGGATCCATTATCAATCATCAGTGGAATTGTAGGGATAACCACGGCGGGCACGACGCTGGCCTCAGTCTTGTATGACATCATTCACAATATACGCGACGCTCCACGAGAAATGGTTGATATTGCACGGGGTGTTCGCGAACTCTCGTTCATTCTCAAAGAACTTCGTCGTACCCTCAAGCGGGGAAAGGATTTCTTTCGGCAAAGACTCTTGAAATCAATTCGATCTACACTCAATAGGATACAAGATGTCCATGAAGAGGTGGAAACATTGCTTGTCCACAGTGGTAGAAGTCTGGCAAAGATTAAATGGCTATTTAGGAAATCTAAAGCAGCAAACCTACTTGCAAAGATTGAAAGTCATAAGCCAACAGTACAGTTATTTGCCACCACAATGCTACTAGCTGTCGAAGAACGAAAGAATTCAAGGCAATGACTCAAGCTACTACTTTCCCTTATGGCAAGAGCTGACAGACTGGTATTAGAAGCCCACCAGGTGAGAAAGACGACAGCGATGCCAAAGAAGAGCGACGTATGCTTCGAAAAGAAGCCGAAACTCTAGTGTTGGTCACAGAACAGACTATTCAAGGTCTGCTACCTCACAAGACAACCGAAGACATAGGAACTCAGACTGAGGAGAGCTCGGATATAATTGTCAATGGGAGGAAGGAAACAGAGACCTGCAGCAAGACAAGACCCAATAATAAAGTCGAGAAGTGGGATAGTTCGGTGGATGATACCGCACGTTGGCTATATGATCTCGTCTTCGGGAACGATCAAGAGCAGCGCTCGCTAAGCACGCTTTCGATTTCAGATGTGCTCACCACAAGTAGCCAAACTCCTAAACCGATTGTCATGGACAAACTTCTTTCCTTGTGGACATACTTGAAACCCATCGAGATTCAAACAACCAGAATCAGTAACATACCAGTCACCCCTTGGGAAAAACGACTTAGCGAGCATGCAAAACTCATCGAGTCGAATGCTACGGAAGATGAACATGTCATAAATGATCCACCCTCCTCCTTCGAACACACCGGCACTTCGACACCAGAAGCCTTGAGCGAAACAGAAGCCTATCCGAAGCGGAAAACCCGATCTAAATCTCAAAATCCTCACTATGAAGCTACTGGAATTCAACGTACAGCACCATTCTCACCACCTCTCATACCTTCATTCCGGAAATCATACGCTTCACCCGGCAAAACAGTGCCGGGACCTCGCGTCGCGTCGCCATATAGCTCGTTAGGTCGATCATCGACAATGTGGCCAGGTTATAGCCGTGACAAGGGCCCGCAAGTTACAGCTTGGAGACCAAACCTTAGAGAACATGCAGATCCATACCCTCGAAGAAACACTTACGCTCCTTACCCAGAGAGTGATATCGACAAGGCGCTTCAAGAAAATAATGGTCATCATAAGGACAAATCCACTGCGCAACCTAATGTGAAGGTCTACTATGTCGATAAAGATGATTTCAACATTGGGCCTAAATACAGCCGAGATAGTTCTGGTAGCAAAGAAGCAAAGCAGCATTTTGTGAATCCAACGGCCGGAAACATGTTCAATAAGCCAGGGGTTTATTCAAAGGATGATGTTCCACGAGTTGCAGGGGACGAAAATGACTTGAGTACTTCAATCGGCAGAGATCAACGTCTCCCGAGGGCTCAACCCAATGTGAAAGTCTACTATGTCGATCGGGAAGTTGATCCACGATTCACGAATAAGATGAACACGGCTTCCTCAAATGGTCCAGGTAACGGAGACACGACAGGTCCACCAAATGCAAAAGTTGGCTACGTGGATCAACCCTATATGGGTCCAGCTGCTCCCGTGAACGGAGGGCTCCGGAAGGTCAAGGTTGCCCCACAGTATGGACCAGAGGAGGTGGCGTACACAGCGAGACCATTTGCCGAGGACGACTTCAAATATGGTGACATCGGAGATCGCGGTTTTAGAAATGAGGACATTAGGTATTCACATGCATATTGACCTTTAACATGATATTCGGACAAATGTGTGGCTTGCTGCACATGGAGATAAGACTGTATCCTAGCGATTTAAATTAGACGAGGGATTGGAGCAATCGAGATCAAATTTGAAGACACATGCAGTTATGCAGTCGGGCTCTGTATACATAACGGTCTTGACGTGCTAAATCATTTGACTTTTGATGTTTTACGAAGCTTTCGATGAGGATTTGACCTATTGCTTCGGGTGATAACTCATTGCTTTCAAATTACGTGAACCCCCTTACAGGTCTTTGATCAATAAGTGACGGTTTGAACATAGCCTCTTGCGCCAAAGATCGCGTTCTGGATGCAGTTCGTGGGGGACCCAACCGTTATGAGCGGCACATGTAGCGGGTCCGATGCGCCGAAATTTGTAGTTCTGGATATCACCACCGCAATTTTCTTTATTGCCCCTGCGGCTGAAAGTACAACCCGGCCGGATAAGCCGCTTCAAGGCGCTTGACCTCAGTCGCCTTCATTCACAGTTGAGAACATAAGAGGCTCTCACCGCCAACATTGATTATGCATCGGCTTGTCGCAGCGCTAGCCGTTATTAACAGTAAGATGTCGACCAACACAACAACCATGGGTAGGTCGGGCCCGAAGTCCCGCATGCAGAGTGCCCCGGTGAGCGGCTTACGGTATTGTGCAGAGAGGAGTGGTACAGAATCCACTGGATGCCTAGGCGCAGTTGGTTCCAAGGCTAAAGCCGGCCCCCGAATCATGCATGTCATGATCCCGTGCCGTACTAGTCACCGTGCATCCGTAAATCCGTTGGATGTGAATCGAGTGATCTTACGTGTGTACGGCATCAACTCACGGATACCAAGGGGGAAATATTCAGGGCGTGAGATATAAATACAATGATGCTCATCTTAGTCAACATGGATCTCCTGACATTTCGAGCAAGCATCTTTCGCATCACAGCCCCTACAATATGACTTCTCCTTTGGATCCACAACCTACCGTGTACTCTCATATCAACGGCCCCCAACAGGAGCTCTTTGATAGATTTGCTGTCTCGGAAATCTGTAAAGGCTGGTCGGTGTATCGCGACGCGTCGGAGTGGAGCAACTACAGAGACTTATTCACTGAAGATGCCCATGTATGGACAAGTAAGTGCCAGCCGATACACCCACCCAAACAAGCTTCAAGCAATAACAAGTAATTCCACAGCATGGACCGGTGGTTTGCATATTGATGACTTCATCAAGGCCAGCAAAGCTGGGAAAGCGAGAGGAGACTTTATCATGCACCGCGAATGCGGTACTCTTGTCGACCTCAATCCAGCTACCAACCGAGCTGTCGGCAAGATGAAGACCACGATCACACAGCGCTTCCAGCATGAAGGAGTGCCTTTCGATGTGGACTGTGACAACGAGTTTGTCTTCTTCTGCCTGCGGACCGAACATGGCTGGAAGGCGCGGTTCTTCAAAGTATTTTATGCCAGGGACAAGTTAGTCATGGTCGGTCCTCCTACTCCTGACGCGGTCGAGAAACTTGCCAGACTATTCTCGAAAGAGGAATTGGCTAAGTATCCAGAGGGTTATCAATACCTAGCTGTTGCACAACATAATATTGGTCATCCGATTGAGAAGAAGCTACCAACATGGAGAAACGATTATTATCAGAAGATGTATGACTGTATGCAGCAGTGGCTTGAAGGTAAAGATACCAATCTTTTCTGGTAAGAGTCCAACCGGTGTTCGCGGTCCATAGAAGCTATTACTGTAGATGTACACATTGTGTCACCAATAGAGTTGTTGTTCAACAAGGTTCTTATCCCAGTACTTGAGCTTAATAAGGACTGAACGAATCCCTAAATCACGTGAGAAGTCTCCCGGAGGGACTTCTGTTACTTTTTCATGTCGACAAAATCATAGCTATTATCTATACGTATGATTGTCAAGTGTGAGGACGAGAATCCGACCCCGGTCATCTTAAGGGTTGTTGTTGGTGAAATCTAGTCTTGTTACACGGCTGTCAAGTAAACCCGCAAACGGTGGTGTTGAATTCACAAACTTGCATGCATTGAACCTGGTGGTTGACCAACCTATGTATACAAGTGGAATTGTAATGACGGCGGAGTTCCGGTGAATTCTATGGATGACCTTGCTTCTTCCAGTAATATTTCCAGTCTCAGAATAAGTTTGTCCAATTAGAGACTCGGCATTCCGGGCGTGGATATACCGGCGTTATCCCGCAAATATTACGATCACCAAGAGTCGATGGGATCAACCTCTGTCGCTTTGGGTGAGACTTTGAGCAAGTGGTGTCGAAGCCTGTTACTAATGGTGGTACGTTCGACTTAATACAAAGGAGAGGAATGCTGCAGCCTTCAGATCTCGCAATGCCAGTTCTTTATATCCATTCAGTTTTAAGCCGTCCCCGACATGATTTCGGTCTACCAAATATTCATTGCTGCCATTCCATTGGTCTGTGCATATCACATCATCGCCAGTGTTGTAGCATGGTACCGACTCCGCGAGTTCCCCGGACCGTTACTGGCAGCAATATCATACTTCCCGATGCTTAGACGCTCACGCTCTGGACGAGCCCACATCGAATATCATGATATAACCAAGAGATATGGTTCCATAGTCAGGATTGGACCCAACGATCTTTTGACTTCTAATCCAGAGCTTATCCGCCGAATGTCAGCAGCACGCTCTACGTATGCTCGCAGCACCTGGTACCGTGCTATGCGCCTCGATCCCTACCATGACACAATGGGCAGTGTCCGAGATGTCGATATCCACGATGCTTTGAAAACCAAGACAGCTGCTGGCTATGCTGGGAAAGAGAACCCAGCCTTGGAGTCTGGTATCGACTCGCAAGTAAAGGCCCTCGTCAATTTGTTGAAGAAAAAATACCTGTCTAGCAGCGAAAAATTGCGGCCAGCTGATTTTGGCAAGATTGGCCAGTACTTTACGCTTGACACCCTCACATCTGTGGCGTTTGGTGAACCATTTGGATTTCTCACTAAAGATGGAGACGTCCACCAGTATATCAAGACGACCGAGGACTTGGTCAACTTGATCCCAACCTTTGCCGAGATCCCATGGCTGCAGAGAATCTTTCTATCTGATTGGATGCTGCGCTTGATTGGGCCAAAGGAGACAGATGATAAAGGTGTTGGGAAGTTAATGGGGTATGCAACGCTATATTCTTATAAACTTCTTCTTGGCACTAATCACCTGCGTAGGGTGGCGAAGGTTATGGTGACCGAGCGATTTGGACCCGATGCAAAAGATCACAAGGACATGCTTGTTAGTTGAGCCCACCGACAGCACCCACCAAAGACATACTTATATGAATCTCTAGGGGTCATTTGTTCGCCATGGCCTGAATCAGCGTGAAGCACAAACCGAGGCCCTCCTTCAGATCATTGCTGGTTCAGATACTACAGCCACCGCCATCCGATCAACAATGCTCCACATCGTAACATCACCTAGAGTGTATTCGACATTGAAAAAGGAGATTGAAGATGGAATCGCAGATCAAAAGATCTCTAGTCCTATCGCTAACCAGGAGGCTCTAAGACTTCCATATCTCCAAGTAAGCTTTATGCGTTTGACACATTGTTCAATGCTTACAAGAGAAAGGCTGTCATATGGGAAGGTCTTCGAGTCCACCCTCCGTTCACTGGCTTACTGATGAAAGAGGCTGGTCCGAAAGGAGACACATTCGAAGGGAGATATATTCCTCCTGGGACCCGAGTTGCTCACAATACATGGGCTACAACCCACGACAAAACCGTGTTCGGCATCGATGCCGATGTTTTTCGCCCAGAAAGATGGATTGAAGCGGACTCCTCTGCTAGAAGCAAAATGCAGAAGCAGACTGAGTTGGTGTTTGGGTACGGAAGATGGGGTTGCGCAGGGAAGACGATTGCCTTTATGGAGTTGAACAAGGTCTATGTCGAGGTACGTGCTGCTTAGCAACTGGCTGCCTTGAAATTGCCATGTCATACAAGCAACTGATCTCTGTCCTCTAGCTTCTTCGAAAGTTTGACCTCGAGATCTTAGATCCTGAAAACCCCTGGCGAAGTAGAAACTACGGATTGTTTCTTCAAGATGAAATGTGGATTCGTGTGCTCGAACGCGAACCACCGAAATAGGATCCAATACATTCTCATTCATTGTTGGTTCAAACTGACATCGATACAGCCTAGAAAACCAGCATTCATCTCGGCACTACTGATGATAATCACTATATCTTGTTAAATTATGGCATTATATGACACCACAATGTGAAGAAAGGGAAAAGGAGCCGGAAGCAATCACTACAAAGCAGATAGAATGTCAGTGGTAGACATGTTATGCAATGTTCGTACTCACGAGCCATAGGGACGCCGAACTTATGGAGGCTTGCCATCTCAAGTTAGTTCTGATAGCAGCATAGTGATCAGTCTATTAATGTTGGTCACCTAACCAGGAATGGGCTCGCCAATCCTAAGTCCTGTGCATGGCGGTCTAGCAATTCAATTTCCAAGCTTGATGGACTAGACTGTCGGTAGGATGTAATCTTACTGCCTGATAAGACTGAATCTGCCTGCCCGTCAGACCTATCTCATGTAAGCCGGGATAAAACTGGAAGGATGATGCTAGAGCTGCGGACTAAACAGGCCCTAGCCAATCGCTTTCACCTCATAAGATAAACTAGGGTTTGAAGGGGAGTACCTAGATAGTCAAGAATCCTTTCTTGGCACAGCAAGATCGCCTAGGAATTGTGGAAACGATTTAGGCGCAAATACGCCGCACATTAAACAAACCACACTTCCATGACTTGCATTTACAACGCTTTACTTAGCCAGCATGATGACTTCAAACATTGTCTCTTAAGACCAAGAGTAATTGCCACTGAAAGGGAGCATTGGACACTATGGCCGCCCAGCCAGCAACCACCTCAGATGGGCCCGACTCCCAGCCCCTGATCGTGATGGCCGCAATGCCTGAAGTCGGCCACACCTTGCCCCTGCTCCAAATCGCCTCACACCTCGTCTCGCGCTCTTTGCAAGTCTTCTTCGTCGGCGGGCCTCAATTCGAGGCGCAGATCCGCGCAACTGGCGCGACTTACTACGAGTGTCCAAACTTCGTGACACGCGAGCTGGGGCTGAAGCTGCGCGCCGTCGGGGATCCCAAGGCGCGGCACACCTTTGCGGTGAAGCACGTCTTTGTCGACTCGATGCCCGTGCGCATGGCTGCGCTGACGCGCTGTCTTGAGAACGTGCGGGCACGGTATCCTAATCGCAGCGTGGTGATTTTCAATGAGATCATGTTCCTTGGGACGTTGCCGTATCAGCTCGGCGCGCCACCGCCGAGAGGATATGATCGGTTTCCGAGGGTGATTAACTTCCATACGTCAATCATTGTCACGGGCAGCTTGGAGGTCCCGCCATTTTTGTCAAATCTGGAATATGACCCCAGCCCTGAGGGGCACGAGCGGAATCGACTGATATACGAGGAGCAAGAGCCGGGCCATCGGGAGATCGAGGCGCACGCGAACAAGGTCGTCAAGTCTCTTGGAGCCACGAGAGATATAGGCGGTGAATTCTTCATGGTCTGTATCACGACCGGCGAAGTCACGCTTCTGCCGTACAGCCCGAGTCTGGAGTATCCGCGCACGAACATGTCCGAAAAGTTTGAATTCAGCGGCGGCATGCCTCTCAAGGCAATCGATCCGACTTTCAAATATCCAGCCTGGTGGAGCGAGATTTTGGCGAACGCCGAGCTACCTCGTGAATCAAGTGAAAGAAAGCGAATTATCTTCGTAACGCAGGGAACGGTTAACAACAAGCCAGACCAACTCATCCAGCCGGCTATTCGCGGTCTAGCGGACAATCAGGAAGCCATCATCGTGGCTACACTCGGGAAGCGAGACGCATCTCTTCCAGAAGACTTTGACGTACCTTCAAATGCTCGGGTGATAGACTACCTGCCATATGATGCGATCCTACCGCACACGGACGTCTTCGTATTCAACGGAGGGTTTGGTGGATATATGCACGGCATCATGAACGGCATACCGATGGTCATGGCTGGGATCTCGGAGGACAAGGCAGAAGTGGCGATGAGAGCGGAGTGGGCAGGCGTGGCAGTCAATTTGAGAACGGCCACACCGACAGAAAATGCTGTGCGAGAAGGCGTTGAGAAACTGCTAACTGACCATAAATACAAGGCGCGGGTCGCAGAGATAAGAAGGGAGAACATAACTCTGGATTTCATGAAGCATATAGATGCCTGGATTAAGAAATTGGCGTAATGATGACACGCTCTAATTGAAATAATGCACGATTCCTGAGCACCAAAGAGTTATTTGTCAAGCAAATCAATTTCTGTCATGATAGAGCAATGCAGACTGGCTTTTGGCAATATCATTGCGGATAGCATTACAATTTCCCTGCGCATTCGAACTTGCGAACGCCGAATGATACCATATACCCTCAGACTAAAGCAGCAGAAGCTTCTTAGTAGGCTACCATAGTGCTCAAACCGTCCAACTCGCGATCCCAATTCCTATGCTGAGCAATGGAGAAGAAGAACTGCTCCAAGAAGCCTGTTGCGCCTTTGGCAATGCTGATGGCCTCGCCAAAGCTTGAAGGGGAGACGCTTTGCAGTGTGACAACACCATAACTCTCAACGGCATTGGATCCACTGGAGATTTGTACAGCAGGTAGAGCAAAAGCCGTGTTCAATAGCTGTACAGCCTCGCCTGTACCACCGATGGCCTTGAGATGACCGAATGCTTCTCGAATCCAGTGTAGCGCACGACCATTCTTGGACAATGTGTCAATCGACTGCTTCCCGCCAGGAACAAATATCGCATCAACCATTGTGGACCGGAAGCCCTCAAGGTGATGATCAGGAATGACGCCCTTGCCCTTTTGCGACGACTGGCCTGCAGCAAAGATCTCATTACGTTTGGGTCCAATAACAATAGGAGTAGCTTGGGCAGCCGCGAGCGCGGTCTTTACTGCACCGAAGGAGACAGGGTCATATCCATCGGCAATGATAATGGCAACACGGCGAGAGATGATACTGGGCTTTTCGGGTGGGAAGTCAAATTGTGATAGGGCCTTGGCCTTTTGGCCGGCATTTTGTCGACTAGCCTTCTGTGGAGCCTCACCGCCAACCATATCTGCGACAGTCTGTGCTAGACCCAGGTCAATATCCGTCAAGCGCTGTGTCATTCGCTCGTAGACAACAGGGTCCTCGCAGTGGTCGAGCTCGAAGCTCAATGCATCGGCGACATGCTTTTGCTCGATAGGTGACAAGCTGTTGAAGAAAAGCTGTGCCTGTGCGAAATGCTCCTTGAACTTCTTGCTCTTGGTGCGTTGCTTGATGCCAGCAATCTTCTGCGCGTAGTCAAGATATGCACCCTCTTCACGAGTAGCGGGCGGGTTCACGGAGTAGCGGTTGGGCCAGTAGTTGACTGTTCCCTTGTGAATTGTGTGTCGCATAGCGCCGTCGCGGTTGAAGTTCATGACAGGGCACACAGGTCTGTTGATGGGCAGCTCCTGCCAGTTCGTTCCAAGTCGTGACAGCTGGGTGTCGTGATAGGAGAAGTTTCGGCCCTGCAGCAGAGGGTCATCGGAGAACCCAATGCCAGGAACGACATGGCTAGTGCAGAACGCGACCTGCTCAGTCTGTGTGAAGTACTCGTCGACGTTCCTGTTGAGCTCTAGCTCACCGATGTACCGAGTAGGTACAAGGTCCTCGGGCCACACCTTGGTAGCGTCGAGAATGTCGAAGTCGAAATCATGCTCCCGGGCCTCAGGGATAACTTGGATGCCAAATTTCCATTTCGGGAATGCACCATTGTCAATTGCCTCGCCAAGATCCTTTCGGTGGAAGTCTGGGTCCTGCCCAGCAAGCTTCAGAGCCTCGTCCCAGACGAGCGAATGAACTCCTAGCACAGGAGTCCAGACAAACTTGACAAAGGAGCGTTCTCCCTTTGCATTGACTAGGGTAAAGGTGTTGACGCCGAACCCCTGAATCATGCGGTATGAGCGAGGAATGCCACGGTCCGACATGGCCCACATGTACATATGTGTAGCCTCGGAATGATTGAATACGAAGTCCCAGAAGTTGTTGTGTGCAGTCTGTGCCTGGGGGACCTCGTTGTTCGGCTCTGGCTTTCCGGCATGGATGAGATCTGGAAACTTCATAGCATCCTGGATGAAGAAGATTGGAATGTTGTTGCCCACAATATCCCAATTGCCTTCTTGCGTGTAGAACTTGACAGCAAACCCGCGGACATCTCTTACAGTATCAGCGCTACCACGGCTGCCGAGGACGGTCGAGAAGCGGACGAAGATGGGAGTTTCGCGGGACGTATCGGTGAGAACGGGGGCAAAGGTGACGTCCTCGGCGCTCTCAAATAGCGTGAAGCGACCGAAGGCACCTGCTCCTCGGGCATGGACGACACGCTCGGGGATTCGCTCATGGTCAAAGCGGTGAATCTTGACAAGTAGGCGTTAGCATATTGGCGACCAAACAAGTTGTATGTCATGTGGATCAATGTACCTTCTCCCGACCGAACGGGTCCTCCAGCAGCGACGGACCGGTGTGGTCCTCGTTGGTGATGCTCAGCCAGTGATCAGTATTCTCCTGCTTGACGCCATAGTCGGATGTGATGCGTGTGTCCTTGGTCGGCTCCTTGGTGCTGGCCTGAAGGTCGGCGAGCTTGTCGCCTTGGGAACCCATGATGATCTGCTGTGCTTTCTTCACAGTATCGGGAATGATAGAGGCCATCAACGTCAACGTCGCGACTCGATATGGGATGGGCGGAGGATCGAAGTGGGTTATGTAGGGCAGGACGATATGCGGCTGCAACGGGAGGTGGGCAGGTGGAATAGCAGCTCATATAGTTGGTCGAGGGAGACGGCGATAGCTCGGAGCTCTGTTCTCTAGTCTAGTGTGTGAAGGAAAGGATATTCGTTCATGGGTCGGTCAGGGGTGCTGCTACTGCTACTGTCACTGACGTCAACGATTGTTTGACATCACGCCGCGGATGAGGGGCATTGAGGGGCATCGCAGCCCATTGAAGGGAGGCGCCACCCGCCATTGGACCTCCGGGAAGCTTTTGGGAGCTGGACTCCAGGAACGGCATCCCCTCACGAATCAGGCAAAGCTTTTAGTGGATTACGCAGGTAAGCGCAAATCACCCGGCAATTGGCAAAGGGGGGAAGAGAGGCGTCTCCCAGCTAGACTACCGGTAGCACAAAAGAAAAGTCAGCATCAAGCGGCGTCTTGGAGAAATCGATGATGAGGTCGAATGTGGATGGAGGCGACGGAATCTTGATGTAATCTCTCCCGTCAACGTCAACCACGCGGAGAGGAGGCTCCGGCCCCGCTATACGCCCTGCCTTAGCTCTACTTAGCACTGCTGTCCACGGCATCTCCCCGCTAATCCACCCCACTAAAAGTTTGGAGTGCCACCACCAGCACCACTGGTGCACGAGCCATCATGACATTCACACCAAGCCTGATTGGCCCTCTCCTTCCAACCTCGACCGGCATGGCACACACCCTGGCTCCGGTATGTGGGAGGCAGAAGCCGAGAACTATAGAAACTATCTATCAAGAGTGTTCTCGAACTGTGTAAGGTGAATGAGAATGATATGTTCCGCTCTAATTCGGAATAACCTTGAACTGAAAGCAAGGTGATGATGAGAAAGCCAGCTTTGTAAATCCTTCACTCCACGTTCGTCGCTATTCCCATGGCAGATTTTGTAATACGCGCCGGTTGGCATGGAAATACCAACAGTCGCGTGATGTATTCAATTCTGTTCTCTTCGACGGCAACCTAAGGCTTTGAGGATGATTCGGACTAGATTGGCATGGTATTCGCGATTCTCATCTTTCAGAAGTTAGTACAATCGGACTTCATTTGCAATCCAGAATTCATGCTAGAGACTCACCATCACTGCGAGAGGCGGCCTCTCTCCTCAGATCTCCAGCGCCAAGTCGTATATAATTCATGTGCTGAATCTTTAGAGGTATAAGCGCTTTCAATTTGGTCTCAAGGTCTTGTTCTCTGATCTCGGTACAGAGAGAGACTTTGATGGCGAATTGGCGAGCACATTCAAGCTGCTCAAGCGTTGGCTGGATGATATGAGGCCAAACACAGCCATTGCTACTTGGGTAGAGTTTGATGATAGGAAGCGCCTTGTAGCCAGGTTTTGTGTAGATATCTGCGTCCCGGCTCTGGAGAAAGATGACTTCCACTGCACGTGGAAAGTGCCTAAAAACTTCCCCAAGAAATCCCAACGTCATAATATATCGAAACGAGCCCCGCTCATCTAGGAGCTCAAGCTCAACAGCTACTCGCCGGACGCTCCTTAGCCCTTTTGCTTCTCGAAGAGCGTTGCCCATGTTCTTATCAAAGGCTTTATCAATAAAGCAAGATATCAGAGCTGCAATTCCACCAAAAGCCTCCACCTGTGGCATCTTTGAATATGAATGTGCAAGTGTCGATAGCACTTGATCTAGAGAGTATGCAGACTCTTGTAAAGCTTAGCTGACCTGGATTACCCCAGAGGCGACACCTGCGGCCGCCTTTCCTTCCCTGGTATTTAACTTGTAGGAATCTGTCCTCATACCCGGATATGATCAACTTCCAGATCATGATTTGGATCTCATTTGGGAGGGCTTGGAAGGAAGTGGTCGGAGAGACTGGGACGGTAGGTACGTCCCCTGCGACTGGTTCCATCACATCTGTAATCCTGGTCGGAGAGGACAGGTTGCTTGGACTCGGTTGCTCCAGTCTGAGGCTTTCGTGCCTTCGGGTTTCTAGAACTTTGATAATGTCGAGGCGAGGGAAGGGAAATTGAGGACAAGAAAGAAGGTTCTCAAAATGGACACGAGATGGCGATCAAAGAGGGCTGGTATTAGACCTTTATGATTATCCTGATAGGTCGAAGCTTCCCATGCTCGAGTGTAGCTGCCTCTCTACGGAGATGGCGTCTTCCATGTGAGGGAAAAGCAGTGGAGAAGGTGGTAATTCCTAGAGATGTCAGATCCGTGTGCGGAAGAAGGAGAGGAGTGGAGGTGAAAGAACGCACTCAACGATTGCCTTTGGAGAAGAAGGTTTCTTGGCAAGGGGGGGGGGGAGTATGTTGATCGAGAGTGTCAAAAGCGTTTGACGACGGCAATGGAAATTAAGCAATGAATCAGGAGGGAGATGTATCTTCTCTGATTGCTAGATTTACGATTTGCAGTATCGAAGCCGGCTGGGCGACCTTGGTAGGTTGAGTTTATTACGCAGGGATGATGATGAGTCGAAGCCTTATTAACTTGGCGGCTAACTACTAGTTCCGCCGTGAGGCATTGAATTGCTGAGTGTATATCTACGATAGGATTTAATTGGAACTTTCGGGACAGCGCTCGGGACCTCTTGTTCTCGGGACATGCAAATGGACACCTTCTTAGACCATCCGGGAAACCATGGATATTGATACATCTTGCCAGATAGATCGAGCTACGGGGAGTAGCGCTTTTTTCTGATTGAATCTCAAGCAACATGCCACAGTACAAGATGATTATGGCCTCCAGACTTGCTCAGGAAACTGGACTTTCAATCAATACCTAATTCATACTGGATTTGATGATCGTGGCCCCATGTTCTGCAACACCGTACACAGCCGCTTGAACATTCGCCCGCGGTATCAATGGGATTATGCTAGAATCGCAGACGCGAAGGTTCTCCGTGCCATAGACGAGGAGCTGGGGGTCGACAACGCCGCCCATCTCTCGAGGCATCATAGAACAGGTGCCCACGTAATGCTGAGCACCCACTGCGGCATTTCGCACATACTCTCTGCCATTTTCGAGATCCGCAAAAAACCCTGTTGAAGCGGCTGGAGGATTGCGGTTTCCACCTGGTTTGAGTTGGCTCACAAGCGGCTCAGATGCGAACAGTGTTTCCACCTGGCGCAGATTACGAGCGAACACCTCCACGTCAAGCGGATGCGACAGATATTTAGGATTGATAATCACACCATCTGGTGAGGAGGCTGACTTGGACGTGATGTGTGTCGAGCCTCGAGACAGCGAATGTGTACTCAAAAGGGCAACGGAGAAATAGTTGCCATTACCGCCAGGCGGAGGTGCTCTCGAGCCGTCGGGGGCCAGTCCTGCCCATCCAGGAGCCGTAATATAGCAACCCGATGCTTCATCTGTAGAATATAAAACGGAGCGGATGAAGTCTTTGTGTGCCTTGTCGAAAGGCGTAGTCAACGATCCATCGCGAATGTTCGCATCCAGGGTCTGGCCGATCAACTCATCGAGGTCCCTCTTGCCTTCTTCTGTTTGAATCCCCGGGAACGGAAGTTGCGCAGTCACCGACGTATTACTCGTGGCGAGTGGACCAGATTGCTTCTCGTAGGCGGCGGCTGCCGCGGCGAGAGCGGCAGGCTCCTGACGTATCAGGGGATCTATCGTGTTGAGACCCTCTTTGACTTCAAAGCTCACCGTGACCATGACATGATTCTGCAGATTCTCGCCAACATTTGGGTTGGCAACAACGACGTCAATACCCAAGTTTTTCAGAAGCTTTGCCGATCCAATACCAGACTTCTCAAGCAACATCGGCGAATTGATACCGCCTGCGGCTAGAATGACCTCCTTCCCAGCGGTGACGGTTATCACCTCGCTGTCCTTGACAAATTGAACGCTCTCGGCTATAGCTTTACCGGAATCTGACTGTTTGAAATTGATCCTTTCCACTGCCGCTTGCGTTATAACAGTTAGATTAGCACGATCATTTATAGGCGTTAGATACGCGTTCAAGGCGTAGCTTCGCAACTTGGTCGCTGGGTGGATGTTTTCAGGGTTGATGATCAAGCCGTTTGCTTTCCCAGTGAAAAGATCACCCGTAACGGAGATGCCGAGGCCATTGAGGGTATTTTTCCAAATTTCAAACCATTGGTTATCAGACTGGTCAGGATAGGAAATCTGGAGTGCACCATCTGACACTTGCTTCGTCTTGTCTGTCAATGAAAAGGACTTCATCATCGATTTGGAAAAGCTCGGCCACTCCCAGCCTGGGTTTCCCAGCTTGGCCCAACCTGTAATATTTGATTCCGGCGGCGGCGTGAAGATGAGTCCATTGATAGCACTGCTGCCACCAAGAACCCGGCCCTGTGATGCATGCATAATACGGCCGGCGAGAGCATCCTAGGTTGAAATTATCAGCAGGTAGTAATGCTCATTGAAAGATGAGTGAAATAATGAGGCCGATTGCCTTGTTCAGGTTGTGGGATCTTACCTGGGGTGTTGTGGTAAAAGCCCAGTCTGAAGACGTCTTGGCCAAAGCAGACCACATTCCAGGAACGTTGACTCGCGGGTCATCTTTCTGATCTGCGCCGGCCTCAATAACTAGCACTTTGAGTGCCGGATCTTCTGTTAGACGGTTGGCAAGCACCAGCCCTGCTGTGCCGCCGCCAATGATAATGAAATCATATTCATAGGAACCCATTGCGGACCAATCATCCAGTGAGTGAGAACGACGACTTTGGAGTAGACAATTGGTTTGATTTGTAGAGTGATGGCCTGATGAGAAGCCTCTGTACAGGGTTGTTGAAATTGTCGGCCTCTTTGGAGATGGCCACGTTAGAAAACCTATTGAAATGTGAGAAAAGCTCGATGATTGTCAAAACTTTAAGGATTGATCACAGCGATTGCCACTTTATACTTCGACGAAATGTATGCCTTATAAGGGCAATAATTTGCTTACTCCCGGCACAGCCGGTGAATCATGGCGACAGGTCCTGCAGGAAGAGACCAGGAAGCATAGCAGGGTTCCACCTCATTGCAGCATGATTTGCCGCACAACGGTTCCACCATGATAGGATCAAGGTACAGTAAACGAGTAATCGCGGGAAGGATCACTGTAGTGGAGAGCTAATATTATAAGAGGCATTGCTTACAGCAGCTTGGGATTTTGGCCATTATTATACCTTAGTACACATAAGGTGCCGGGAAGTACCGAATCGCATGCCGAACAGTCGATGCCGGATGTCACGAAACGTCAATGAACATTTGTAAATAACATCGCGAGATTTCAGAGACTTAGTTGTACAAGGAGAGGGCTATCCTTCCAGCAGCACAATCTGCAACGAAATTCCACGTGTCTATTAACTCTGGACCACTTCTATGTGCTTCTAGATAATCCGCGAACTACATGGATATACGGATCAGGGTGCAGATTGACATACATTATAGCCGGCCTTGACAAAGGAGATATTTAAAGATAACTTGAAAATGTGAGGAGGCTTTCAATAAGCACTGCAATGTTACAACAATGATAACTGAAATTCATGCTCATAATTGAAAAGAAGTGAAGTGACATCTCCCAATATCGCTCAAACCCCGGTTTCCCACGTCAAACACGAAACGAACGTACTCTTCGTATAGATGCTGGACTCCCTGGAAATATCTTCCTTTGAATGACGAGTCGTCGGCTTTTACATCTTGCTGCATGTACCCTACCAGCACGCGCAGTAGGCTATCATCTCAATCGTAAAATCAACCTAATTAGGCTAAGCTCCACCGTTGAAGCTGGCACCCCAGCCAGCCTCTATGCCTTGGGCGGGCATCCTGGACGATCTAAACCTCCCAGCTTTGCGGACAACATAACCTTGTCGCACACCGCTCTCCAGTTTGCACTAATCTTCAATCTGTTTCACTTTTCTCGGATTATGGCGCCATTGTATCTAATAAGTTTTGGACTCAAAAGGTCTTCGGAGGTGTCTGAGATGATCTATTTATACATGAGGTACCATTAGCCCTACAGGGCACATGCCACCTCGGAAACCGCCTCACTACCTAACTAGGTTTCTAGGTAAATTAACGAGCACCATGTCAATTAAGCGCATTATAAGAAAAGCGTAGAGCGACCTTTGGTCGAGATAATAGATAAGACTCTGTCAGATTTCTAAGATGCCAGTTCTTGTCGAACCTCTGGATCCTTTATTGCATGTATCTGTTTATGAGTCTTTTGTCACCATCGAGTCAAGATCACAATTCTGGGCTTCACTTGCCCTGCACTGTTGAAAGGCGCAAAAAGTTGCCACGACCTACAAGAGGGTCAAATGCAAAGCCTATTAGGCAATAGTCCTATGCCTTCATATCCATATTTACTCGGCGAGGAAAGGCACCCCCAATTATATTTTTCTTGCTCAGAGGCAGATTCACCGATGGGCTGTAGATCTTGTCACAGTCGGTTAGAAGCATTCAGTTCGCCGCTTCCCAACAGTCGGCCCTACATTCAGTCAAAACACAACAATCAACCTAATTATGATGATGTCATGGTAGTCTTTCTTCGGTCATTCTTTCGGCACTGTCTATGACAACAAGAATCTAGCCTCAACAATTTTACCGCGCGTTACCAATTCTGAGCGCTAGCTAAGCCGCCAGCGAAGAAATTGTGGTAACGGACAAGGTCTCCGCGATGAGCCGTGAGGAAAAGTCGGTGCAAAGCTTACATATGGTACAGTACAGTATTCCAAGTCCTAATCAGCATCCCATGCCGCAAAAGATAGCTTAGGATCGGTCGGTTGCGGATGCAAGCAGCCGCAGTCTAGGTTTGTCAACACCAAAGACTCATATCGGGCCGATGTATCGTAGAACCGAGGACTACGATGCTAGATGTTAGACTTATTTCCGAACCAGGTTAAGCGATCCCCAGATGTGGCGCAACTGTTCGATGTCAACAAGCGCGAATGACCAAATCGTGGGGTATCAAACCCCGCAAGCATCATGTGATGGGGCCTGATCGATTATCTCAACCATTATACCTAGGAGCTTGTGTAAACAACGCCGACACTAAGTCGGTTGCACGATTTATATCCGAGTGTGAGTGAGTATATAGGTGCTCAAATCTGCCAATTGAATGGACATTGGATGATCTGGCTCGTAGGAAGATAGGTGAGATTGACGAAAAACTCGCCGCGCGAATCATCGTAGTTATGAAGTCCGCAATCGTCATAGGAACCCTGCTCGCTGCCCTCGGGGAGGGGTTGTGCGGGCCGGCCAAGGGTCCGAACTTGACCGTCCGAACGAAAACCGGCACCTATACAGGCGCCGTAAATCCCGATTACAGTGCAGTCCGAGAATTTCGCAACATCCCTTATGCTCAACCCCCCGTTGGCAAGCTTCGATTCCTCCCGCCCCAGCCTCTACCACCTTCCACAAAGCATCATTACTCTACACGATATCCTCCTTCTTGTCCCCAGTTTGTGGCAAGTGGCGTCAGTTTCTGGAATCTGTATACACCTTACTTGTTGGTTGATAATGGTAGTCAGAATCACACTACCGGACTGAGTCTCCAAACCGGATCTGAAGATTGTCTTAGCCTAGCAATTTGGACGCCAAGTAGAGTGGCAAAGAATGCAAAGCTACCTGTTGCCTTTTTCATGACAGGAGGGGGCTTCTCAACCGGCGGCATTGAAATACCAGGTCAGATCCCAGCCTCATGGGTCAACCGCACCCAGGGCCACATTGTTGTAACTATCAACTATCGAGTCAATATCTTCGGCTTTCCAAATGCTGCTGCCTTAGATGTACCGAATGTTGCTCTTCTAGATCAGAGACTGGCTCTTGAATGGGTTGCCGAAAACATTGCATCATTTGGGGGCGATCCAGATTCGATAACACTCTGGGGCCAGTCCGCAGGTTCTCAAAGTGTTGACTATCACAACTATGCTTTCTGGGACAACCCTATCGTAAAGGGCTCATTTTCGCAGTCGGGAACTGCCCTGAAGTCGCTTCCGTCAAAAGACTACACGCACACAAACTTTACCTTTGTTGCTAAGAGCTTAGGCTGCGACTTTCCGAGCGAGCCCGACGCAGAGCTCGAGTGCATGCAGCAGGTTCCAATGGCTGAGATTGAGAACTTTGTAGGGCAGTATAAGAGCAAACCAAGTATCAATTTCGGCCCGATTGCCGACGAGGTCTACATATTCTCTAATTACTCTGCGAGAGCTGCAGCCGGAAAAATATCACCAAATCCAGCCATCTTTTCGGATTGTGCGAACAATGGCGCCAGTCTGACAGCCTGGCCTACATCGAATGTGACTGAAGGACCATACCAAGCAGCGGTCGACGCTGGCAACCTATCCGGATGGGTGTGTCCGACTGCTAACACCAGTCTCTTACGCGCTGCTGCGAACCTAACCACCTATCGCTACCAATATGCTGGTGCCTGGCCTAATCAGAATCCATACAGCTGGCTTGGCGCGTATCATGCTGCGGACTTGGTTATGAACTTTGGAACTTATGGCTATAGTGTGACAAACTCGACCGAGGGGCCATCGGCACTCGAAGTCGAGACTAGCGAAGCAATGCAAGACTATCTAATGGCTTTCATGAAAGATCCAGTAGATGGACCTCCGGCGATGGGCTGGCTGCCGTATACATATGGTGGCAATGTTATTCGATTTGGTGCTGGTGGTGTTGCTGTGCAAAATGCAAGTGGTTATGACATTGATGGACCTTGCTATGGAAATGGTACATATAATTCGTTCCCATAGATTAATAATAACAATTCTATCCGCTCGTCGGAAGCTTCACACCCTCAATAGGACTACTACATTCATGTCTGTTGTGACTTTAAGTGACACTGAAACCGAGCTTGCCTAATTAACGAAGGTTGCCTGCATATCACTGGGAGGATACCTAGTGATCGAAATTGTGCCCATCTCAGAGACGAGGACCTGTTGTCAGCGCACCGGCCTTATGTCTCTCGCTTAAAACAAATAGTCAGAATCGTGTAAGCTGGTTCGGCGTGACATTGTCTCACTGGTGATTCGCGAATTTGATGCGTAGAGCCATTACTCTCATTACCTCTCACCGAAATCCCTTGCTTCTCGTGCATGAGTGAATGGCTACGGCCTGGAAAATGACCGAGAATCGAAGCACTCTGGGAAGAAGTCTGGTCTAACAATGATCAAGCCGGAGTTTGCAAAGATAGCACTCGGATTATTTGATGCCGGATCTGGCGGCCGAGGCTAGCGTCATCTTGGCTGGTTGATTGCCCACAGGTGAACAAGGAAGCAGTGCATTAGCCCCTGGCAACTGGGAGCTGAGACCGCTGGAAAGAGTAACAGAGCGCGCTAAGACCCGCCATCATCGAGCCGCTATCGTGGTTGAGCCCCAACCCTCTGGCGCTGTGGGGGGACCTGCAGCCACTAACGGCTTAACGTGTAATTGGAACCTGCGGCCCTTGCCTGGTCGTATCCACCGATCTACGATGATCGACTCCCGTGCAGTCCTGGGAAACGCTTGAACTTTTTGATCAGCATCCCTATCCGTGGGCCAGTCCTCGCCGTTGCCATTAGACACATGTAGTGCGTCGTGATATCCATTGTTGCTTTTGTTCCAGTGGATCTTGCTGCACAGCTACTGCACAGTAAGTGGGATCTAACTAAGAACATGGTATTGAGATAGACAGACCGTGCAGTGAAGCTGTGTTGCGGGTCTGAAGGACTCAATAGTTTGCACTTGGTGATGTCAGAGCGCTCTCTCTGACCCAGACATGATCATAGAAATACGAATCGCAATGCGTTTATATACTATGTGCTAGGCACCCGGTTCTGGTTGGGAGACGTGTGGAGGTCTTGCATCAACAACCTATTATTCCTAAAGATGGCGATCTGGGCAAGCTTCGTATCTATTGCGCTCGCGCTCTTTGCTGCCGAGATCAACGCTGCGCCTGTATCTGAGGCACAGAAGTTGGCAGACCCCAGTTATGGCCCAATTCCTGGTCAATCTTCTCTCTACAGCACCTACTACGAGGTGCCACCAGTATTTCCGGGAAATATTACCGATCCGATACTGCCTACTAAGAAAGGGCCTCCGGGTGTGGATGATGTGACTTGGCAAAATCTCCTTTCAGCAGAATGGATTATCTACTCTTTCTACCAGCAAGGTGTGGAGGCATTCAACGCCTCCTCATTTGTTGCAGCCGGCTATCCAAACAACACCTATCAGCGTATTATGGAGATTCGCAACAACGAGAATGGCCATCTCCGCATTTTTCAAAATCAAATCTCCTCGACCTCGGTCAAGCCAGGCGCCTGCAAATACCAATTTCCATTCTATGACCCAACTTCCTTCCTGGCTCTCACTACTGTCTTGGAGGTGTCGAGCATGTCGTTCCTCACTGGCCTAGTGCAGCAGGCCAAGATTGACATGGCCAAGGGTTCGATGTTGGCGATTGCGGAGACAGAAACTCGCCATGAGGTCTGGACTCTGCTTGAGATCTGGAAGACCAATCCATTCGCGGGGCCATCAGATACCGTCTTCCCCTATGCAAACGAGATCTTGGACACAACCAACTCCTTCATCGTTCCGGGAAGTTGCCCACCAGAGAATCTCGAGTATCCCTCGCCACGACAGCATCTACCAGCACTCAGTGCTGCGGAAGGCACAAAGTCGCTCGAGCCTGGCGCAACGATCTCGCTGAACTTCACCGATGCGACGAACCAACCGAGCTTCTGCGCCGACAAGCAATATTATGCTGTCTTCTTCCACGCTGTCTCAAATATCAGTGTGCCGATTGACACATCCTGCTGGCCTGAGAAAGCCATAAACGTCACTATTCCGGCAGAGTTCGAGAAGGACAAGGGTGTTGTCATCGCTGTTGTCGCAGATACTCCTGGAGCTCCTACAAAGGAAACTGTAGTTGCAGGTCCAGGAATAATATTAGAGCAGCCTGCCGCGTTGGCAGTTGCACTACTCTAATGTCTCGTTGTTCATAAGTATATATTGAAGTAAAAACATGCCATATAATAGTCGCGTCATAATGTTTCTTACACGCATATAATGCTTATTATGTAGAATGGGACGGGTGATTAAGCATCTATAATAGGAGTCAGGAGAGTTGTATAGACATAATACGAGCGCGCTGTTGAATGATACGTCATCTTGAATTTGATATGTTCATTATATATACATATGACTACCTAGACATACCTTTTCACACATGTTTAGATCCTCCCTCTTCGGAGGAACTTGTTGGGGATGTCGACATGCTTCGCACGGAGGTACTCGCAGATATTTTTACCTAGTGTATCGTACTCGCTTGTGGAATTGAAGCCCCGATCGAGATGGTCTCGGAAGAGGAAGTGGACGGCTCGAATGCCGGGAATCTCAAATCGCTCAACCTTCTTGCCCTTGTTGCTGCCTTCGAGAAGCTGGTTGATCTTCTCAATGGTCAAGATGCTCCTCAGCCAATCCCATTCGTCGTCGTGACGGACGTATAGACCGCAGTTGGCGTCACTAGCCTTGTCACCAGAGCGGCCGCCAACAACCCAGCCGAGAGGGCCCCTGGTGGTTGGCCCAAATGTGGAAAGGTCGACAGGGTTCTCGGTCTCGTAACTCTTCTGATCCCGGGGATAGTCGGTCCGTACGTTCTTCTGGACAGGAATATCCAGAGCCTTGTCTTGCCAGGGAAGGACCACAGAGTGCTTGACCTCAGCTTGAGGTAGCAGTGTCACGTAATACTCGTAGAACGGCTTGCCCTCACTCTGCCTCTGATCGTTGCCCAGACTGGCTCCCGGGCAACTTTGTAGGAAGTTTTCCATGCACCATCGGTTGAATCCTGGTACGTCGAGTGTGAACTTGTCCACGAGCTCTTTCCTCTTGGTCTGTACGAAGATTCTAAAATCGACAGTTGAGACCTCTTGGTTCCTCGGGTTTTCTGGCGAATAGCCGTTGAGCGAAAATTTCAGACAGGTGAGATCCTTGATAGCATCGCCGATTGAGTAACGAATTTGCCTCTCGGTCCATTCCGCCTTGTCCTCGAGGTCGAGACCGCAGAGATAGTAATGGAATTCTGCTTGGTAACCGCCGAATGCCGTGATGCCGACCTTTGTTGTGGAGGGAGCAGGCTGACCCTTGACTCCCGTTACGAGCACGCGGTCCTTACCCTGCTGTGTCATGACAACACCCTCTAGGTTGGCAGTGACATCAGAGCCATAGTACAGCGGTCCTTGGATCTCGTAAAGAAGCTGAGATGAAACAGTTCCGACGGAGATCTACCTGAATGTAAGTCGCAGCCTCTCTGATTGATAATTATGCTACATACCTGACCGCCTGTCCCTTCCTCCTTTGTAATAATGCAAGAGCCATCGGCATTCACCTCTGCAATAGGAAAGCCGATGTTCTCGCAGCCATCCATCAATGACTTGAACCCAGAGTAGTAGCCACCGCAGACGTAGGCAGAGCACTCGATCAGATGGCCGCATACAAGCGAGCCAGCGATCTGGTCAAGGTCGGTTTCCCGATCCCATCCGTGCCACCACATCGAAGCACCAATGGTAGGGGCAGCATCGGCAACTCTTCCTGCAATGACAATGTCACAACCTTGGCGAAGGGCTTCCGCAATTCCAGCTCCACCGAGATAGCATCTAAGGTTCAATCAGTATTTAAAGCCAACATCATGGGCTTTCTGACCGAAACTTACTGTGCGCAGATGATGTCGTGGCCCCACTCCTTCAACGGTTTGCCTGTCATCAAGCTAACAAACTCCTCTCCGTTGGCATAGAGCCTCTTGACGGTTTCTGTGACTTCGTCTCCGCTAACCCAGCCGACCTTCAGGTCGAGTCCCTGCTTCTTCACCTCGTCCTGGACAATCCTGGCAAGCATTTCCGTGTCACTCGCACCGGCATTGACAGCCAGCTTGATGTTCTTTGCCTGCATGTGCGGTAGCGCCGGGGCCAGATTCTCCATAAAGGTAGGGTCGAAGAGTCCGGCGACATTCTCCTGGAGCTTGCCCTCAGCCCGAAGACGGTCGTTCTCAGTTTTCTGTGCGCCGTGGAGAGTCATGGTGCACTCGGACAGCCAGTCACCGATGATGCAGTCGATCTCGCAGTTCTTGGCCAGATCGCCAATGGCTCGCTGGCGATCTGAGAAACCGCCGGACGAGCCGGCGATGCGGATAGGACGCTTGACGGAAGGCATTGCGGCGATGCTAGAGATACTTCTTCGACAACGATATCTCAAAGTAGATTTGTCCAAGAAGCTGGCCAAGAGGCTCCCGCTCTCCCACCTAGAGGGTGAGGCTCTCCTTATATGTATCCATCGCAGGAGGAAGTCATTAAGCGTCTGAATATCTTCTAGTGCGCCCGAAACCCCGATGTGCCGTTGCTTGAGGCCTGCGGTATCCGGAGACAGTTTAATAGTGGGGCTTTGAGCATCCTGTGAGCATCTCAAAACCGTACTAAAACCGTCCTGTGAGCTGTACCCCGCGTAGGGCTGAGGGGCGGCAGCTTTCCAGCAGCGGGAAACGATTTCCAGGGGCTGTTTAGCCAATGGTGCACCGCGAGATCCTTAGTAATCTTCGCTCCTGAATTCTGAAGAGAAGTATCTTTGTAGCAGTGGCACCGCTCACAGGAACTGCTTGCGGGGTATGGATAGGAGTATTAGACCCGATTAGTATGGCCGCTACCGGACAATCGGCTGCTCGGAGACGGACCTCGAAGAGCGGCGGGGCTCACGCAACTTGGCACGTTCCGTCTTCCTCTTCGCTGCCGGCTTTGGTTGGATTGCGTACATCTATAGGACGGCAATGCGTCCGGGACTCCGAGGAGCCGACTCCATGACCAGCCCGAAGAGGCGAAAGAACGACGACGAGCAGGAGCCTCCCGATACGGAAGAACCGGCCTCCCTGGCCAGTGTAGAAAGCTACCCTCGGAAACGGATATCTGTCGCTGTGAGTCCCGCTGAGAGGCTTGACTGTGGCACAAAGTGCGGCTCTGCTTCGGCCATCTAACGGTTGCCAGTGTGAACTATGTCGATACCGGAAAACAGTATGCTACTCCTGCTGGTCGGTGCCTCCACGCACTCATAATATGTTTAGAAATGTGACGCCGCTCGACCATCGTGCGGATTTTGCTCAGACTTGCGTGTTCAATGCAAATATCGAGACCCGCCACGGGCATCTCAAAGAACTTCACGCAAGCGGGCCGGGAAACATGATGCAATTGTCGAAACCGAGCCTGATAATGGCAGCTCAGACCTCGCAGATCGATTGTTCCAGTTAGAACAGCGAGTGCTGACACTGGAAGGCCAGGGGCTACCGAAAGCTTCTGAAAGTCCAGCTGGGCAGCCAGCCTCATCGTCATCACTGGCGGCGACAGACGTCAGCCACACAATATTGCACGGCGATCATGGACGCCCGCTTTCAAGTAGTGTCGAGCGACATGAGTGGAATCCGCGGACACTGGACTGGCGAGGGCCTCCCGGCCTAGCTGGCTTTCGAAAAGGCGTAGAAGAAGCCTTCACAGCGCTCCCTAGTTTGATATCGTTCATTTCGCCGCCGTATATACATACCAACAGCTGGGACGACTCCGCAGAATTCTATCGGGAGCAAATCGACTGCGGACAAGATCTTCACCAGGACACGAATCGACTACTTGAGTTGATCCCGGATACTAGCCAGCGCACCATCCGTCGATTACAGCAAAGCTTTGTAGAGAACTTTCTTGGGTGGACGCCGATATTTGAGCCTGCTACTATGGTCGCAGCAGTAACGAGGGCATGTCAGCAAGCCTTTCCAGCTGACGAAACCTCCACATGCCTTACCATGTTCATCTTCGCTCTTGGAGCGGTCACTCTTGACACCGCTTGGCACACTCCCTCTATTCCGGCTGGACTTGACTATTACGCCCATGCTAGCAGATTTCTTGAACGATTCTCCATGCTAAGTGGTGATATTACCGTATTTCATTGCCGCATCCTTCAAGCTACATACCTAAAACTTGCTATGCGACCACTACAAGCGTGGAATGCAGTCGCTCAGGCCATGCAAGATTGTATGCATGTGCTTCGCGCAGCTCCGTCATCCTCTCTTAATGAGACCATCGGGGAGGAGTGGATCCGGTCATTTTGGGCATGCTCTGTCATTGTTGAGTGAGGATATCTATCTTCCCATCTTTAACCTTCAATGCTGAAACCAATTGTGAAAAGTGAACTCGAACCGGCAATGAAGATGCATCCAATCGGCCACAGAGTCTTCCATGATGTTATTCGTCTACCGCGATTTGACAATGAAGATCTTGGATTCTATTATTTTCTAGCACAAATTAGCTTGAGAAAGCTTTTGACGGATACTCTGGATGTTGTTGGATATAAAGGCGAGTTCACCCTCCCGTGTCTGATACTAAGTTGTTACTGACAGCTGGAACAGCGGGAAAGGTCATCTACGCTCCTATCATTACGACCGAACTGAGACAGCAAGCACATGAGTGGTATAGTCACTTGCCGGCTGCTATTAGCTTCCCTATTGATGACACACCGTTATTCGACCCTCGCAAGTCGTTTCTTCGATTGCAGTACCTGATTATGTTCATCGTTCTTGATTGGGCGTCTGTGCTGAGAGTGCTTGAATTTCACGACAGACACCAAGACCCTGCATATCCTCAGGGCGAGTTGCCAGATAGCACGAGATATGAGGCAGCAGAGTGCATCAAGTATTGCTGCCTCTATCTTGGTGTTGCCGAAGAGCAACTTGCTGGCCGGAAGCTCGGCACACATGTATCAGTCTGGAGGTAAGCTGCGCACCACTGCTTTGATCAAGATGGCGTATTGTTAACATGCTCTCAGCTGCTTCGTATTAGTGTGCACTCTGATCATCACATATAGATCTCCAGCATTATCGTTTATACCGGAGACCCAAGATGAGAAAGGCATCACCGACGCCATGAACATCATTCAGCCTTGGGACAGCATCTCGTTTGTCCGACGTGGGATAGCTAGAATGGAGAGCATGATGGAAACTGCGGGTATCCTCAGTTTTGCACAAAAGGGGGCGGACTCGGGGTCAGCTTAAGCTAAACGTCTAATTCCTTGTTCAAAATAGATACTAAGCTAAATTTAAATGCACCATACCCGTGATAGGGCGACATTTGTGAATCTCCTTTCCCACATCTACTTTTGTACGATCACTAAACATGGACAGCGGGTGAAAAGCCTGAGCTGTCAGCAACTAGCTGCCTGGCATTCATGAAATTTAGGGGGCGGGAACAGTCGGATCCACTGATGGTGGTAATTAGCAGCCTACATAGGTAGATGTCCTAAACGAACGTTATATCGTCACTGCACATACGCTTTGGCGACGCTGCTTCTATCTCTCGTGTGCAAGCATAGAAGTTGTAAATCACAAATTGAGAGGGCGAGATTACAGAGTGTCTGCTTCAATTGGCTCTGTGTTCTAAATGTCGCATGGAATTCCGAAGTAATATTTGGCTAGTCGCCGCCACTTGATCCCAAAGTGATAAACGCGTGAAATTGCGTGATTGACCAACCCCTCACGCAATCGCGCCTAGAAATCCAGCCCATCAAAAGTCGACCGAAAAAGCTGACCACAGTAGGGAGGGCCTCACTTTTCACGCCCAGAAGTCGAGCAATTGAAAATTCGATCCTCCCGTACGATCTGGATAATCGCCGTCGTTGACTGGAGACGCAAGGATGCCTAGGTTATACGAGGTTGATGCGGATGCGGACACACTTATCGTTCTGTCAACGCCAAGCACCGCATTTGCGCCATGGAGTGAAGTTGCGACAACGGCGTCGCGCAATGGCTTGACGGCCACTCCCAGAAAAACCTTCACACCTGATACGAGAGATTTATCGTCAGAATTCCGTCTCAAAGTGTCTTCTAAACACTTAAGCTTAGCATCATCACACTTCAAAAACCAATTCAAATGGAAGTGGACAGATCCCGATGCTGCACAGCCCGATGGAAGAGTTCACATACAGCTCGATGGCTTCGACCCAACGGCAGTCACCATCGTGATGAACATTATCCACGGACGGTCGCGTAGGGTGCCTAAAATCATTGATATCGAAACTCTTGCCAAAGTGGCTGTCTTTGTGGAGAAATTCCAATTTCACGAGGCAGTAGACATATATATCGATAACTGGCTTGGGCAACTGGAGAAGTCACTCCCCACGGAATACAACAGGGACCTCGTTCTCTGGATATTTGTTGCTTATGTATTCCATCGATCAGACGTGTTTGAGACAGCCACGCGCATAGCGATCTCACAGAGCGATGGTCCGATCAAGACTTTGGGTCTACCTATACGCGGGAAGATTATTAGTAAGTCAATGCTTTAGCAAAGCTTCGAACATCAGCGTCTGACATATGCACTAGAATCAATAGAGGACCAAAGACAGGACTTGGTTGGTCAAGCATTATCAGTGGTCAATAATGCGCTCGAGGATCTCCGTGATGGCAAAGCTGCATGCCCCTCAGGCTGTGATTCGTTCTTGCTGGGCGAGTTGATCAAAACGCTCCATAGAAGGAATCTCGCCTGGCCTCAGCCGTCACGGCCATTTGTCGGTGTCGGTCTTGCAAGCATCAACCAGGCCATCCACGAAGTGCAGTCCAAGTCATGGGTGTCTCAACCGCGGCCATGGTCACCAACACCCAACCCGAGGGAACAGTCGAGAAAAAGAAAGAATCCGAATGCTCTGCCAACGCCGGATCCAACACCTGTTACATCGCCGGAGCCTGGAACCTTACACAACCACTTTGAAATGCATGGATGTACAGCCAACGATTTCGTCAATCTTTCGCCTGAACTTGGAGCTTTGGAGACTGGATTAAAAGGGCTAGAATTGGAAAGTAGTCTTGGTTATTATTTGTATTGATGTTGGAGGTTGAAAAGCACCCTAAGATGTTGTAGCAGGAGTGGTTGTGAGGACGAAGATGCATGCGGCTCTTTCACTTGTGTACATGACATCAGAAATGTTCTATCAATACCTATTCCATCGCAAATGCCCCGACGATGCGCCGTTTCCAACCTACATTTCTGTCTATTTCTAGTCAAGTGCACAGGTAAAGGAACGTCACAAGAGCAGCGGAACGTCGGCGCCAGTGTGGCCCGTTGCCGTCGGTGTTAACTAGCCCACAATAGCCTCGCCGGCATCCATTTTTGGGGCGTCTCTATTTGAGAGGCGACCCACTCGCTGGAAAGTTGGCCAATCATATCACAGAATTGCCGAACCGGCCAGTGAAGAGTGATGGGTTTCTCGATATGAGACAAAGGGATGACCCGTCAAGCGGGAATGATGGATCACGACTCGAATTACATTTACGCTTTGCTAATCAGGCATTCAACCCATGCAATTTCCCCGGAGATAGGATTATCTCCTGCACCCCAACGCTCGTGAGATACATTGTTCAAAGCATACAAAAGCTGTATTAAACATGTCATCGATACAGGTACCATATTAACGGCTTGTTTGTTATATCCTTCGTTTTCTCCGTGGCCGCCAGTGTAGGCGCACAAGTACTTAAATACCTATACGTTCTGAAAAGATATTTGTCGAAAACTCATCTTGCATTGAATGTTGCAAAGGCTGCTTAACCCATCCACACGTTTGATATCCAAGAACAAAATGCTTTCCAAATCCGTACCCGTTCGCAAGCTTGGAAAGAATGGCCCTATAGTCCCGGCACTTGGATATGGGCTAATGGGAATGTCCTATTCTTACGGAACACCCCCTAGCGATGAAGAGCGATTCAAGGTCCTCGATCGTGCAGTAGAGCTTGGTGCAACTTTCTGGGACAGCGCAGAGTGAGGATTTAAATCCATATTGGTCACACAGGAGAAGACTAATTATTGTGAAGTATGTACGGAGATAGCCATACACTACTGAATAAATGGTTCAAGCGCACCGGCAAGCGAAACGAGATCTTCCTTGCAACCAAGTCAGCATATGTCATTAAAGACGGCACCTTCACGCTTAATAGCTCTGGAGATTACCTCAAAGATGCATGCTACAAAGACCTTGCAGATTTGGGACTTGAATATGTGGATCTGTGTAAGTATTTGGACAAATGGAATGCTTGGCGTTATTCCGACCAGCGGTACTAAGAAGAAGTTAGAAGCTGACCCCATTTACAGTCTACTGCCATGGCTCCAACCCTGCCACACCTATCGAGGATACAATGAGAGGTCTAAAAGCTCTGAAGGAGTATGCAACCTAGGTAAACATCGTGTCTATCGCTAACGATATATCAGACAGGGCAAGACAAAATACATAGGTCTATGTGAAATCACTTCCAACACACTTCGACGAGCTGTCAAGATTGCCCCAGTGGATGTTGTCCAAGTCGAATACTCTCCATTTGTTCGCCATATCGAGGGCCCAGAGGGTACTGATTTGCTTGCGACTTGTCGTGAACTTGGCATCAGCATTGTTTGCTTCTCACCTTTGGGCCGTGGTCTTCTCACTGGCACAGTAACAAAGGAAACACTCACCCAAGAAGGGGATTATCGATCCGTCTCACAACCTCGATTCCAGGGCGAGAACTTCGATGCGAACGTCAGATTGGTAGCCCAATTTAAGGCTATTGCGGAGAGGAAAGGGTGTACGAGCTCGCAGCTGGCTCTAGCATGGCTTCTAAAGCAAGGGAACGATATCATCCCCATTCCGGGAACTAAGAAGATCAAATATTTAGAAGAAAACTGGGGAGCACTCGACGTCAAACTAAGTGACGATGATGAAAAGGAGATCCGGAAGTTCCTTGAAGAGGCGAAGGTTGCTGGGGGCCGCGTCCCGGAACAGTACGAGCATTTGTTGCTTGTGGACACGAGGGAGGAATCTTAAGTAGACTTCGATCAAACCTCAAAAGCTCTATATCGTACCCTACTACTCTCTGTCCGTACAAGATATTGCAGGCCTTGATCGATCGAATAGGCAGGCGCACCACGAAAGTGAGTTAAGTCGTGTGGCTCTTCTGTTATGCGCCAGTGATCTCGATACCAATGGCGAGGTGTAGCAAAAAGAGCGTGACCATAAGTTTACATGTGGATACGGCATGCTTGCCTTTGGAATCACGGACAGTGCTCAGGGCTTACAGAGAATAGCAGACTATACAAAAGTCCCGAGAACCGGAATAAGCTACGATGTTTGGGCTTGCCATGAAGACGATTGGTACACAGGATGGCGTCTTGTCATCATTGCCAACCTGCCCTTACCCAGACGGACATGGATCCCTAGAGTGCTTTCTAGTGTTCGAGGATGTGGCAGATATTCTCCGCCAATCCGAGCAGCCGTGGCTAGTATTCGGGCATGACCTGCATGGAATTTCAGGGCCAATGTCACGACCACCAGGTTGGGTGCGCTAGACTGTGGGGGATATAGCATGTAGCTTGACTGCCTCGGGGTAATTCGGTGCGCAGAACTGCACTACACGTACTTTTGCATGGACTTGACAGCGTCTACCTGAAGGATTTATGAGGGGTTTGGGGTCGTTTGGGGTGCGCTTGTCCTGGATTGTTAGTGTGTCTGGCGATCCCCAATTAAACCGCTGAATGAATTACTGTGATGGAACTCGTTAACAACGAGACTAGTCGACCCCACAATGTCACTTCTCCAGATACTCGGGGTACGTTTGCTCCGGATAATATCTTGGCTTTAAGGGCATTAACTGGGGATGAAGGAGACTTTAAAATGGCCGGCACAGCGCGTCGTCTCCGAACTGGTAGATCTAGATTTGGGATTGCCGATAGCGACATAACTACAGCGCCATGGGGGTTTCAGCCACTTTCTGCGCCCTACTGTTGCCAGCTCTGGTAATAGGACTTATCGATAGGCAAGTCATGTTTATACCATGCGATGTACTTTCATCCAATAGGATTGAAACTGACGGACTTCAAGGCGCCCCATCGTATCTCAGTTTAATGTCGTCCGCACAAATCTGATTGACAACGAAACGACGCCATTGCAGGTTGGAAATGGCAATTTTGCTTTCAATGTCGACAATACTGGCATGCAGGTAAAGCACACTCTGTTCAAACCGCATCTGAGGCTTAATAAGGCTCATCTTCTACCAGACATTCCTCCCGTTCAACACTCTTTCGAGTTGGGCCTGGCATAACGATTCCTTACCCACGGATGGGTTCGTGATACTAGGATCGGAGCATCCGCTAAGCTAACAGTTTATGCAGCGAGAAGATTAGCGACTACCACGGCACACCGATGTTGACGCATGGGAGAAATGTCTCTTATGACAATCCCGATCCAAACTTGCCACAGGCTTCACAATGGCTGATTGGCAATCCGAACCGAATCAATCTAGGTCGTATTGGGCTCAAATATAATAACAGGACTCTCGCAGCCTCGCAAATACAAGATCCCACCCAAGAACTTGATCTTTGGAACGGGATCATAATTTCAACCTTCACAGTCAATGGCCAGGAGGTAAAGGTGACAACACAGGGCGACTTTGGATCTGATGGAGTCACTTTCCAAATTGACTCTTCATTAGTCTCCTCAGGGGAGTTAGAGGTTGAGCTAGACTTCCCGTATCCACCAATCCACTCTACAAAATACAAATATGAGGTCTTTGCGGGAGTCTACGACTTCCCGTTGAATCATACAACGACTATTGTTAGCACCCGCAAGGGGGCTAGCACCGCGCATATTTACCATGAGCTACAGGAGACAAAGTATTTCGTCAATCTCAGATGGCCATGTAGTTCTCATCTCTCATTGTCGAGAAACGAGCCACAAGGATCAGCTGCCATTACTGCCCATCGGTACACATTATCACCATCCTCTAGGGCTACCACTACATCTTCCACTATTGTCTTCACTGCACATTTCTCTCCAGACAAAAGGGTACCCGACCTACCGGCTTCGATCCAAGAGCAAAACAAAGTTGACTGGAACGATTATTGGAGTGAAGGTGGTTTTGTCGATCTCACAGCATCTACGAACCCAAATGCAACGGAACTACAAAGACGAATCATCCTCTCACAATATCATGTTCGCGTCAATAGCGCTGCAAAGGGTCAATCGCCGCAAGAGAGCGGACTTATGAACAATGGGTGGTATGGTGAGTCATGATGTTCTTTGAAACACTGTGTCGGTCCTTACTCACCCGGCTTCCTTCAGGTAAGTTTCATATGGAGATGGTCATCTGGCATAATGCGCACTGGGCGACTTGGGGTCGACAGAAGCATTTCGATAATGTCTTCCCTGAGCTCTACGAGAGACTGTTACCGTCATCTCTTGCGAGAGCAAAGGCAATGGGATGGGAGGGAGCCAGGTAAGCCTTTGACCTCAAGCTACAAACCGACTGAAGCCTACGCGTTATTAATACGGAGCAAATCAGATGGCCGAAAATGACAGAGCTTATCACCGGTGTCAGCTCTCCTGGGGGCATCAATGCTCTGCTGATGTGGCAACAGGTCAGTTCTGCTACAGAACATTTGACTTAACTATGCTAACTTTCCTAGCCCCACATCATGTATCTTGCAGGACTTGCCTACCAAGCATCCCCGACACGTCAAACCCTTGAACGATGGGACCCCCTATTGACAGCCAGTGCTGATTACATGGCTTCTTACGCCTGGAAAAACGACACTTCGGGACATTATGATCTCGGCCCACCGTAAGAAACAAACGATCAACCCAAGAGATGAAGGATATGCTGATATGTAGGGCAGTGCCTACGGCGTGACTGAAAACACACCACCGACTGAGTCTTTAAATTTGGCCTATGAGGTGAGTCTGTCTGACAAGTTGCTTAAACATGAAGTCTCACACTGGACACAGATTGCGTATTGGAGGTACGGCCTCGACGTGGCCCGTGAGTGGAAGAAAAAGCTAGGTCAGCCCGTACCTGAGAAATGGACGACGGTCGCCGGGAGCCTAGCGCCTCCACCCCAAGTTGATGGCCTTTACTGCGTTTACGAGGGGTTAAACAGCTCGTGGTGGGAAAATCCTTCCCTTAATGGAGATCCGCGAAGTTTGATCATGCTCCAAGGCATTCTTCCAGATACTCCAGCCGTTGATCCCGCTATTGCTTTGAAAACCGCCGATAAAGTCTGGGAGGTCTGGACCGATGATAAGATTCGCGGTTGGGGCAGACCAGTCTTGGCTATAAACTCTGCAAGAATTGGGAATCCGAAGAGAGCCATTTATCATCTGACTGCATATGATTATTGGCAGTTCGATGACGCAGGTTTGTTCAAGTTAAGCACAACTCGCAAAGACTAGATCGCTAATCGTTTTTTCTTTTAGGATTTGCCGTTCGCGGTGGCGATGGTAAGTTCCAATGTACTATGTTTTTATTTGGGATCTTACTAACTCTCCACAGGAGGAACACCGCCACCGTTCATGCCTGGAAATGCTGGCTTTCTCTATGCAGGTGAGACGAGACACAGTTGATAATGTTATTTGTCAAACTAATGGATATAAATAGTGGCATACATGGCTGCCGGATGGCAGGGGTCGACAGGCGATGCACCGGGGTTTCCCAAGGATGGGAGCTGGGTGGTGAAACATGAGGACTTGCGTAAGGCTCTCTAGAATTCAATAGACAATCTCAAAGTTCAACAATCATGATCTCATTATAATTTGCTGGTCTTCATTTCAGGCTCACGATGCCCTATACATTCTCTACTCTCCACGCTTTAGACCATGTTGAGGAGCAGATACCTCACGCCCGCATAAGCTTCCTCTCCGCTGGGAACAATCTGCGAAGCCGGAAGAACAAATCCATAGTTTCCGGTGTCGCGTAGCTCGGATGTAAACGTATAATCAGCCTTGACCACATCATTAACATAGTCAACGCTACTTCCAGTTGCCTGATAGATTGTGGAGCAAATGGGCCCATATTTGAAAGAGGTACCATGAACAGCTTTGATAGCTGCGACTGCTCCTTTAGCAAGCGCTTGAAGCTCAGTGTTCTTCGCTGCCACTGCTGTGCAAGAATATCCATAAGCTGTAGAATGAGGTTAGTCATTTATTTTGGTGCAGATCCCATCCTTGACTTACGAGTCATGAACAGCTGTGAGTATGAGTGGTAGTCGATGTACAGTTTGAGGCCTTGCGCAGTTTTGATGCTTTGAAGATAAGAGGAGAGAGCCTGGGTCTCTGGTGCATCTCCCTGAGATGTTCCTTTAAAGTCTTCAGCACACGGGTTGGTAGATGCCCCTCCCGAGACAGACCACATGTACGGCCAATTGCGATTGATGTCGTGACCAATGCAAGTGCTACCGGAAGTGCTCTGCCTATTTTTGCGCCACATACGATCTGTGGTCTGCGTATAGAGGAACCCTGTGACTGTTAGAACGGGGTAGTGGCCTGATATAAAAAGCTGCACCTACCATCTGGATTCACCACTGGAAATATATAAAAGTCGTATTTATCCACAAATCCTTTGATCTCGGTTGACGATGCATAATTTGTTAGGAGGTTATAAGCAAAATACTCAACGACCTATAATTAAGTACATTAGTTTGATGAGCTATCCTTCAACCCAGGTGCAGGACTGACCATAGTTCCAATCCATTCTCGAGCGTGTACGGTTCCGTGAAACACGATAGCTGGCTTGACACCTTTCCCGGAGCTTCCATAGATGTGAATACCGGTGATGGCGTTCCCGTTCAAGGATTTTCCAGACGTAACGACTTCAGAGTTGGAAGGATATGCCGCTTGCAGGTCTTTTAGCCATTGAAGATGATCTGCATACGCATGGTACGAGTTGAACCAGGTGGCATTTACAGCAGCAGCTATTGCGTGTTAGATACGGTTCTATCAATTGAATCTCCCATCATCACTCACCAGCATATGCAGCATAGTTAGACTCTTCTGCAATGGATGCACCCAAATCTTCGTGCATCGTTACGGCCCCCATCCCTGCAATTTCCGTGTTGAAAGCCTCGATTTGGGATGGGGGCACCATAATGTCGGCAAAAGCCCCAGCCTTTGGTGCACCTTTCCAAGTCTTCAATTGTAGCTTGTTGACAATCTCCGTGACTTTAGAAGCGTCAGTGCCAACTGGTATCCGTACTACCTTGAAGCCATCATATGATACGGCGCGTGGCTCCACCGCCGCGGCTGACGCTACGGCAGCAAGCGCAAGATAGGTGACGATTAACCTCATAGTGAGTATTGAGCGACAAATAGGTGGTGTGCCGCAGAAAAGACTGTCAATCCAACGTTCTGCCAAGTTAATATACGCCTCCAACGCACACTCGTGCGAAGATCTCTGCTGACATTAATGCTCCCAGGAACCTTCCTAATTAGGCACTTGAATGAGGCCAGCTGGCGGTTGCATCAATGACTTCGAAAACTAGCAGGGCTTTGTAACATCGACCGTAGGCCTGCCGAATAAACGTGAAGCGGTATAGCATAAACTCAGCAGCCAAGAGCCGAGATCGACAGCCCTCTTCGATAAGGGCCACCCCACTCCCGGGAGAATCCCCAGATGGTCTATGTCAGATGCCGGACAGGGATGTAATCCCACCCCTGCCAGTGAGGCACCTACCAAATTGGGGTCTAGATTGAGTTCTAAATCCTACATAGCGCGGTCGAGAGCATTACAAAAGGGAGCTGCCCTTGGGTTGTGCTGCGTGATAATATAATGTATGTGACGTACAGACGCCACGTCTTTTATCAGTCCTGGTTTTCTCCGATGCCTCTCTCAAGGACTGCAGGTTTGGTGCGGGATTATATAACATCCTTGAACGATGCGAATAACCGTAGAGCTTAATCTGAGACGCCTGGGCTGTTTTCTGGCTAGCAAATCACAGCCAAATAGGGCGAGAGTGATGGTTCCCCTGGTAATTACCCGTGTGCTGGTGTACCAAGGGTTCATCCACCAATATACATAATACCAACATAATGAATTATAGAGATTGTGACTGTTTGCTTCCTTTCCTGAATCTTTGGGTACAATTTTAGAGTTTACCTCAGGTTTATACCATTCGTAATCGACTTCTGATTGCGCTCAACGGCATTGTGACCATACTGTTTTGCCTATGCTTGAGCATTACCAATAAATCTAAGTCCACTGACGAGATGAGAGTCAGTATAGTTCAGAACGTATTGTGATCTACATTTCAGCTGTTCTCATATCAGACTCCTTATAGGCCTTTACAGCCAATATTGCTCCCACGCTTCTTTCCATCTCTTGGTTTTGAGCTCAGTCAACCAGTCATTGAATGCAATCTTCTCGCCGTTGATTGTCATGACCCCAGAAGAGAGTCCGCCCCATCCGTCAACTGGAGCTTTTACGTACTGGTGGCCTTTGGCGCAGGTGACTCTCCAATCTGGCTTCGCGTCCTCGTCGCCCCTTTCTACGGCTAGCTTGTGTTGGTAACATTCCTCACATAGGTTCAACTCAGTGCAATAGTAACAAAGATACACTGGCCCGTCTGTCTGAAAGTTGTTGACCATTTTTTGGCATCTTTTGCATCGGAGAGGCTCCGAAAACAGAAGGTCCCCATCCGACTTGATGACGTCTGGCTCTGATGGAGCAATAGAGTGCGGAGTGTCACCATTGACGTCTTCATTGTTTAGGGGTTCTTCGGTAACAATATTGGCTTCAGGCGCAGGTGGCCTAGGGATAGTCTCTAGAACAATAACATCAGTATGGTCTTTTCTACCAGGATTCATGATAAACGCAAATGATATCGCGAGAAGCATGGCTCACCTTCTGGTTCCTTATCCTCTGTAGGACTGGAATTGTTGGCCCCGTCTTCTCCAGGAGGCGTCGGTGGTCGGTCTGTGTCATCTTGTTGCTCGAAACCAGGGTCCCCATTCATTAAATCTTGTCGATGTATCTCCTGGTCCAGGACATAGAGTTGACAAGTGGCCGCAATCTCCGCATCTCGATCAAGCCCCAGACCGCGCAAGCAAGATAGAACCTTGGCCAGAGTTCTCAAACTAATACTGTCATTCCAACCAGTTGTGTCCACCAGCCCGTTATAACAACCTTCGAAGGTTGCCTCTAGGGCTCGCTGAAATTCGATACTCGGGCCTAGCTTCTTCGTCATCAGTGCGAGTGGTACGGTTGTCTGAGACTGTGTTGCATCAAACTCGTTTCCCATGGCCTCCGAGACATGCGCAACAAGAGTTTTCATCTCATCATACGCTTTCGTCTTCATCGTAGGGTCGGCCGTGTTGCGAAAGTCTTCGGTCAAGATATCTGCTAGCATGAAACAAGCCTCTGATCGTTGTGCGGAAGTGCTTTGCTCGTTCTCAATGACTTGATTCAGGAGGACCTTTGCTTGCGCACAATGCTCTGGCTTTTGTAGGACTCTCCAACGATATTCGGCTTCGAACAAACGCCAGGCAGAGCCCCACATGCTAATTGTGAGATCTCTATCATCATTGAATTCCGAGTAGAGAGAGAGCACATATTCGTCGTCTCCATTTCCGCCCCCAGCTCTCTGAATCAAGTCATGTCGGTCTTCAAGTCTCGGCCAGAATAGGAACTCTTGTCGTTGTTCCCTTGTCAAATCTTTGAGGAAAGCGACCGCTTTCGCCCACTCCTCCTTTTTGACGAGATACTCTAAGATCCTATGTAAATGCTCTTCCCATATACTGATTTTCTGTTCTTGCGCTTCTCTGAACACCCTCAGAGCCTCGTCGATTTTATCCTCCAGTACAAACACGGCCGAAAGATATCCATATGTTTCACAGATAGATGCCTTGCAGTCGTCGGTTGCTTTGTCTTTCTCCGACAGACTCGGCCAGAGTGCAATGGCATGCTCGTAAGCCTCCCTAGACTCAGAAAGTCTCGTCTTTTGTAACTCTGCGTCGTCGTCCGAACGATGCTCTGCTTGAAAAATCTTTCCCTCTCCTATGCTGACGTACGTGTGGAAACAAGACAGATCATCTTGATAGTCTTGAGCTAATTGGAGTGCTTTATCCAAGGACTCTAAGCCTTCATTGGTAAAATCACCATATTTGAGTGCCATACCAATTGATCGATAGGCTTGTGGGGTTTTTGCGATATCCCAAAAAGCATTCGCGACAATCGAAATCGATTTTGCCGAAAATACATGATGGTCCTTTTCGAACTCCTCGAAATAATCTCGCAAGTCCCTGTTCTGCTCCAATTCGGGTAGATCCTTTCCTGACAAGAGCGCTTGATGTGCATAGCGGAAAGATAGATCAGCGCGAAATTGAGAATCAGCACTGAAGAACCAAGTATTGATATGACCCCGAGCCAGAGTGATGAAAACACGGGATGGTGTCTGGATGAAAGGCCGCATCCAATCTGTGACAGTCGAAGGGCAAATGCCCGAAGAAAGCCTGATGGCTTTTGTTGCCCACTTTCTCAGCATCTCCAGATCGCTTTGGCGAAGCGCATCGTCGCCGTACGCAAACACTCCTGGATTATCCGAGTAAGATCCCAGGGAGTAATAACCGTGGTTTTCAACGTTTGCTAAGGCGTTGTCTTTATTGCTGAGGATGGCATGAATGCTGGTGATCACGCTCGATGCTTCAATATCATCCAGATCATCAATATCAATGTCCCTTAGATGGTTCAACCATTGTTGCGCAGCATAGGTCACGAGATTTAAGTAGGAGTTCTTGGCATCTTTCGCACCTTCGTCGCATAGAATGCGGGCTAGTACTTCAAGAATTATGGCATTGCCCGATGATGGACTACTTCGTAATCCAGAGTGATCGACTTTCTTCTCACGGAAGTAAGCTCTGAGCAATGGTTCTTGAAACCCTAACCAAGCGCTAAGATCGTCTACACTGTCGGCGTTTTCGTCATCTTTGTTGTCATCCACTTCGTCGTGGCTATCGTGTTCATTCTCACTAGTGTCAGACTTCGCATCCTCTTCTTCAGACCATGTTGAAAGTCGCAGTAGTCGAGAAGATTTGTTGTCCAGCTCTTCATCAACATTGATCGTCTGTTCCGATGCAATAATGGATACAAGCTTTTTGGCCATGCCCAGAAGAAGCTGCTCCTTGCTGTATGCTAACCAGGCAAAGAACTTGCGGAGCGCTTGGCGTTCTTGATCGGAACGGTGTTTCCAGCACTCTTCTAGCATTTGTTCGTAGAGCGACCGTGTATTTTCAGGAAGATTGTCCAGCTCCTTCCAAATGGGTCCCTCCCGTCCGATGGCATTGAAACGTCGTAGCATATGCTCAATGTATCGGAGGTCTAAAGAGTCAGCAATAGCATGTCACAAGCATCTCGATCGCGGAACTCACTGTCCGACTTCTGTCTTAGCTTTAAGGCAATCCGTTGTCGTAGCTTAGGGGTAAGCTTGCGTAGTCTAGAGAAGTTCTTGATTTGGTACGAGACAATAATTCGGATGTCTCTGAATATTCGTTCTTTAACCAAATCTAAGCGTCTGTACTCGGCAGTTGGTGCTTCCGTGAAGACATCTGCGGGAGTTGTGGTAATGATGATTTGAATTCTGGCTCCAGTTTCCGCTATTTTGTTAATAAAGCGTCGTATATCACTTTTCTCCTCTTCTTCAGCCTCTTCTATGCCATCAAGAACGATTATCATTCGACGGTCTGATTTACTTGAGAATTTTGAGAAGAAGAGCACTTCCTCAAGTCTCTCGTTGTCGTTAGTATTGAAATATGTTTGATTGGCCCAGTCGCGCTGACGTGACATATCAGTCAAGATATCCTCACGGTATCGTGTATCTTGCTCAGCCGCCTGGACGGCGCAAGCACACAAGACTGTAGTGTAGTTGTTGGCCCAGCGAGTTGCCTCTTTGAAATAAAAGTGGGCAATTGACGAAGTCGGTTCGTAGTTCAGCTCTCTTCGCAGAGTCTCGATAATGAATCCGGTGAGTGTCGACTTTCCCATTCCGGCTTCTCCAGTGATCCATAGTAGCCTGATCTTGTCCTCAACAATCGCCGTAAAGCCGTCTTCGGACGGGAGCCAATCAAAAGTGCCCGGAGCGTAACTACGACGACTTTCCTTGTATGAGTTCTCCCAATTGACGGCATGGCAGTTCCTGAGCCGTTGTCGAACTTCATTCAGTGCAGTCGACTTCCTGGCCCCCGAGTCAACAAGCCCATCCTTTGGTGCGCCCTTGCCTCCCCCTTCGCGCTCACGTAGACGCTTGTTGAGTGTAGTAAAGTTGCTTTGAAGGAACTCCTTGAGGGCCTCGCTATTATTACCCATATCTCGAACAGCTGCTAGCGTTTCTTGAGAGGTCAGGGCAGCGTCCCTGGCAAAACCCTTGGTCTCTATGACCAAGAAGTTGGTCTGCTCAAAGCGTTGGTCGAGTCCTGCGCCAAGAGCCCTCACATCACGGCTGGTCTCAATAGTCTGGGCTAGAGTAGCCATCATGGTCGCCTGTTCTAGCCGCTGCAGGTGCTTGTGCAGAGTCTCATAAGCGCTTTTCAGATTCGGGTCACCATTGTCAACGAGATTCTTAGCCCATCTCACGAACCGTCCTTTAATTCTGTACTTTCTCGCAATGGCGCATATCCCAAGCAGCGATACAAACACGCGCATCAAGACAGCTTTGAAGTTCTTGCTATCCGGCAACTTGCTTTCCAGAATCTGCAATCTCTCCAGGAAAGCGTTCATGATATCAAAGAAAGATTCAATCATATCATAGTCATCGCTGACTGCCTTTGACGCGCTCATCACGTACGTGAAAGCCGTCAGGATCGCGGATGCAGGTGGAAACGCCACGCTTGCCGCATTTGCGACATGGCCAGCAACACCCACGATGATATCGGAATTGTGCGAAACCAAGGCACGCAGCTTATCGACCTTGGTTTTGTCATGGCGATACTGTGAGAAGACATCCAGCTGATATTTCTGCTCGGTTCGGATGGCGGAAACGGTCCATTTTCCAGGATCAAGAAGCCTGAGATCGGGTCCTCTCTCCTTTTCACTACCACTGTCTCTAGCGTAATCTTCTAGTGCTTGATTCCAAAGTCCTCCAATGTCGGTGCCATCCTCCTCATTGAGAATGCTTCCCATTTTAGGGTTCCAATGGCAAAATCAACCGCTCAAAAGAATGAAAATTGAAACTGACAGCGCGACAAGTTTGACAAGCAAATCGAAGCAGAGATGATCGCCGCGCAAGTGAAGGAAATGAGATTTCGACGTTTCAATTTGAAGGATTCTGGGCACGGAGCTCATGTCTCCACCCTCAGGGCTGAGCGCCCGAGAGCTGAATCTCCAGGATGTGTTCGCCAATAACAATGCCTGTTCATCCCCATCCAGAGCTGGGTCACTATGCTTTGTAAGGCGCTCACATGGGATACCAAAAACGGCGCAATTTTCCCTTTCCAGAAATACATGACGACCCAAGAGACGCGTATCATGCGCTTTCTTGACTGGCTCGCGGTGACTTCATTGGTAGGGCATATCACCGGTCCAGGGAGTATGTGACCCCTGAGCATCTATCGTCTCAGACTGGACAGCAGCTATTTGGATTGTTTTCTTGTTTCCTTGAAGCGGATCAGGCAAGTATTGATGTGCTGTCCTGATCGCAAATTATTTCTCGGTCGGCTCACTGATCCTCGCTAGACTGGGGTCTGTGTTTTGGTCTACGTGTATTTCTAGCGCGTTTGGCGATCGAACCCACAAAAGTCTGTGCCGCTTCGCATCAAACAAGAATCATCTTGGCCCCCACCACTCGCTCTTCATTGTTGCTACTCAGTTGCTCTACAGCTTCTTTGGCTCCATGGCAGTATGCTTCTCCCACAAAATTGTAACTCATCGCCTTGCCAATAGCTTCGTCTTGCTCCACCGGCCGAAGGACGCATGCTATATCTAAACCCCACAAGACTGTTATAACATCTCCTTCTTCCAGGTGATGGTTTCCAAGGCCAATGAAGCCAGTGTCAGTGATGAACCACCTTCTCTCGCAGTACCTCTGTCTTGTGTATTCGAGCCAATAGGGATCTAACCCGTACTTTTCCATGTACGGCATGACCTTCGTTTGTCGAGTTTTCTCCTCCTCGGGCGTTGACCTTGGCATCTTCATGACATCAACCATGTCAACCAAAATCTCACCAAATTGCTGCGGCGTCGTCCCTTTTTCTTCGAACCCGTGATGAAGTCTGCCTCCTTGAAGCGACATGGCCCAGGCTGTATCGATATCATCGCCATCAGCGTTCGTGGGCCCGTACAACGTCGTCGAGAACCTCTCCTCATATACGCGTCGACAAAGGTCTCGCTCCTCGCGAAGATCCATGAGCAAGCCGCCTATGTGATGATGCTCGCTTCGATGGACCACTTTGCCAATGATATGACCTTCAACATGTAGTTCGTGTTCCTCCCCTGGCTCCGGCACGACATACTCGTGGGTGTTCTTGAATCCGGCAACTCTTTCCGAGTCCGGCAAGGGGCCGCCCACATCTGAAGTGTCGGTGATGCGCCAATCCGGCACCCATGACGGCACCCGGACTCGTTGCTATGCGGTACCGCCCCAAGCAAGATGTTCAGGGCTCCCGAATAAGCTGACTCCGCTTCAATGAAGCCTCGAGTCGTATCTCGAAAGACCTCCAGCGTAGACTTCTCATAATCCGGTCGAAGCAACGGCGAGTTCAGCTTGTATTCAAGAGTACTAATCCCAAGCAGGGCGAACACCTTATCCCGGGGATCCCCTGCAAGACGACGGCGGAATGTGCTCAGCAGCTCCTCGAAAGCCCACCGATATGTTGGTCGGACCACCTGCCCGAAGAGGGGTGCGAGAAACTCGCTTCCGGCCCGAGATCGCCAAGCTAAATTCATTGCACAAGCATGGCCAATTCCATCAATAGTCCTCGTACTGTCGTACTTCTCGCAAATTGATCCACACTTGTACCTATACCATGCCGCCGCAGCTTTGACATGGTGCCACTCGATGGAATGACTGCCGCAAATAAGCCAAGCTTCTCGAGCAGGAAGCACCTCCTGCACTACCCAAATTCGCTCGAACCATGAACGATCGTAGAAGGCTGAGAAGGCTGTCCATGCTGCGTCGTTATCAAACGGAACACCGAGTTTCTCAGAGTCTGCCTGTGTGAGATTCTCCAGCGTCTCGACCTTGCGTCTCTCTTCGCCGTTTTCGTAATCGCGGAAGACATCGTCTCCGAATCCCTTAGTAAGGCCGGCCACGCGTTTGATCCAATCCACGGCTAGCGCAGTGTCACCTCGCTCCGGCCCGATCCAGGCTAACACGCTCTGGGCTCCTGTATAGCACGTTAGTTTTGAGTGGACAACATCAGGTTAGAAGAGCACCTACGGTCGTATATAAGGGTCATTTTGCTGACTTGAGCGGCCTTCTCCTCGGCGTCTTTCTGGTTGATGCAGATCTGGTCGACCCAGAGGTATTCGTTTGGATTTGCACGGAGGCTCATGTCAAGCGCCTCTGCCAGGTTGTGCGTAATCTGCAGCACTTTCCCATTGCATGTTAACGGAACGGTTGAGAAGCTGTCGCCCCATGTGTAGGATAAAGCAGTATACTTGGCTGGGGCTTCTTTTGGCTGCTGCTCGCTGCTTAGTTCAAATTCATCTAGTTGGCACTGTAGTTGTCCGCTATCAGAGCGTGTTAGCTTGAGCAGCCTGATGCTGTCCTGGCGTGCCAGGGGTTCGTATTTAAAGACGTCCATCTTGAAGTGATTCAAGGAAAGTCTAATTGTGAATTTGAAGGAACAATGTCTCTATGATCTTGGGCTCATATATGTTCGAGTTGAACAGGACTCGTGTTCAGCATTTCTGCAGTGTTGCCTTTGCCTTGGAAGGATGAGCATCGTGGGCTGTCGTTGGCAGCACCACAGCCACACTCTCCACCCAAAGCTGCTGCCTACCATATGGACGTTGACAGCTGAAACATGGAAGTCGCCACATTTCACATCTCAGTCGCATAAATCAATACTAGATAGCAACTATCAAAGCATAATATCTAACTTTTAAATTGATATTTGGAGATGATTTTACAGTGGAGAGCGGGTTGATATATCTCCAGGGGAAAAGTCGGCATATCAAGTCCTTGAGACAACTTAGGCTACTAGATAGTTATACATCCCGGGGAAAGTGAAGGTTAATAACTAAATAAGGGTATGAAATGCTTTATCCAACTCCAAACCATGCAGCTCCCGCCTGTATCATCTATGCTAGCAAAATGATACATTAGACACGCCATACACTAACTGTATAGCCAAAGTCCATAATACAAGAGACAGCGAGCTCAAGTGCTTCTCTCCGCACGAGCACACACCTGTCCCTCCTCTATCGTAAAGTTCATCCAGTACATGAAGCAGCCCCGACGCCTGTGCCAGGGCAAGAGAAGACCAATCCGGATGCGCCATGGTTCGCATCGCATCGCAAAGGGTTGAAGTCCAAAAGGGCGCGCGGGGACCTCATATGCGGATCTGCTACGAGCCGTCAGCCCAGCACGATCCAGGCGTCGGAGTTCTGCCGTCTGATCCTGCCCCTCTCCTCCTCCTCACTCTCCTCCTCGTCTGTGCTGGTGGAAGCTGCGTCGCGTGCTCCTCGTTCGGGAGCGTCATTATCGTCGCATATCTGGTTCAAAAATGCCCAGTCGTCATCCTCGTCGGAAATATCAGAAATCAAATCAGGTGCCTGGTTGTCAAGTGTGTGTAAATCATGCAAGGAAATAGCGGGAGAGAAAAGGGAATGCTCGAGCTCGTAAACAATCTGCAGGGGCGTCGCTGTTGTGTCAGCGGCTGTTAATCCAAAAGCGTGTGTCTCGGTGTCGTTGGCGGTGTAGAGTTCCTCCTCGTCAGGGGAAATCAGAAAGCGCGCCAGGGCCTCGTCGTCCCCTAGCGCAGCGAAGGACAGGTTCAGGGGCAAGTCGCGAGCCTGCCCGTGGGCATGGTCGGACTTCCTCTTCCTGCCTCGCTTGGTGGCCCTCATGTTGAGAGTGTATGCCGGCTCGTCATGGACGATGGCGTCGAGGTTGAACCCCGAACCGCGCTCGTGCTCGTCGTCATACAGGAGACCTAGACGGTACAGTTCAGCATCATCGATGGTGACGCGTCTCTTGACAGTCCTCGCATCACGGAACGCCTCCTGGCGCTCCAGCGACGGAGGCCTTCGCCTGTGGCCATCACTGGGGAGCGGGACGCTACTGTGGGCTAAGTCCCGGCCCTCCTCGTCCTCGCCCTCCCATCCCCGGCGGGCCTGGTTGTGCAGGTAGGAGCGGCGGACAAGAGCGTCCTTCCCAGCCGGTGCTGAGCGGTGATATGCTGCGAGGGCGGCGAGTTGATATGGGCGCAGCTCGCGAGGCTTGGGATAGCTCAATATCTGGGCAGACTCATAACGCAGACGCCACAAGTCCGCTTTGTCTTTCTCAAGCCGGGAACTGGGTTTCTCATGGGCCGGGCCCGGTGGCAGGTGCCGGTGCTCGGCGAGGTGTGCAAGCTCGGAAGCTGAGTCGTGAAGTGCTAAACCCATTATGCCGTCTTTATATGGTGAATCTAATGAAGTGTCTTGTCTGTTTGATGTGATGATCTGTTCTATTCTGTTCTGCAGAATGCTACTGCGCTCTTGCGGCCAAATTGATGACAAGTGTGACGAATCGAGCTTGCCGGTGCGCCAATGCGCTGGTTGTCACACTCTAGCTTGAGACAGACGGGGGGTTCCTTTTGGTGAGCTCTTCAGCATTCAAGTTGCGAAGGGCCTCGAACAAAGGAGAAGTATCGATTTATACAGGCATCTCTGCCTACCTCGCCGAGGATGCGCTGATTGGCCACATCCCCAGAGCGAGGGAGTCATCGACAGCCACCTTGACGGGAAGGCCTCCTGATCGCCCGGCGCTGTCGCCTATTGGGTGCATCACCGCCAGGTGACTCACCTTCGCCGCGTAAATGCTGAAGAGCACCGTGGCGCAGTCGCCCGCCTAGAAAGCCCGCTCTAATTAACGTCCCCCCACCAAAAGCCTAAAGGTATCCAGCAAAGCCGAGCAAGGCAGATAGACGTCACATAATGCGTGGGATGTTATGGCTAGAATAGAATATTGGCTAAGATGGACATGGAGGATTTGATGCAATTCAGTCGAGCTTCCAAATTCGGACATTGTCATCGACCGCAGTGAATATCCCCAGCTCTTAGCTCTGCATTGACCAATAAGACAAGGAGAAACAAAGGAACTGCAACTGAAGAGTCATTGATCCCAACTCCAAACTCCAACTCGCTCAAGGAAAGTCACGGCTTTTCACGGTCGGCCTTCAATGACCGTAGGGGCATTGCTGACTTAAAACTCCGCTGTAGCGGCTTGTCCGGGCGTATCAGCCCCTATGGGGAAGCACTACCAGGTACCTTCGCTTCACAGCCCCAGTCTCAATCGAATTCAGCGACCAGGAGGCTTCAATTTCGAGACTGCATTGGCGAGGCTTTTCCTCGAACTCAAGAAGCTCTAAATTCTATCTAGAGAGAAACGTTTGCCAGCGGTGATGTCAATACTGTTTTGCTTCGTCCAAGAGACAGTAGCGATGCGATGAATGATATTGAACACTTAACGTACAAGTACGGCGATGGATTTCCCCGGATATCACGTGCGTTAACTCCACAAGTAAGTCCAGCAACTACCTTGGTTAGTGGCTGGGCTAGTTATGTCGTAAAAGTTGGGGATCGGTAATGCGAGGCGATGAGTGGAAATGCACATTGACAGTTGCTTTGGGGTCTCATCCAATGAAGGCATCTCTGTATTTAATATACTGCACCCGCTACATAACACACTCGGCGCGCGCGCAGGCCTGTACAGGGCCGGCTTGCGGTTCTATGCCTTGGCCGCCCAGGCATTGGACCAATTTACCGGTAATCCATCCGGACATCGACCCTTGGCCCCGCGGCCGCCAGGGGGCAGCTTCCCATTTGATACATTGGCCGATACCATTGAGACTGGAGGTGGTGCCGTGAACGAGAGGGACCAAGGTAGCAGACGGCCAACGAAGCGCACTCGAGTTGCACGTCAACATTGTAGACAATCGAAGGTACGCATTATTACATCTCAACTGCATGTCGAAGACCATCTGCGTGCATTTCCCGCTGCCCAAATAAATTACCTGTCTGACATATGAATATCTAGCTACGTTGCGGGGGCTCCAATGGCGGAACCCAGCCATGCCGGCGGTGCTCGGAGCTCAGCCGGCCATGCGTGTTTGATACACGATACAAACGCGTGAGCAAGAGAACGTAATGCGACTCCATCGTCATTGATCCTGCATGAAAGTCCATCCTCGTTCTTCAGTTGCTGACTCCCACTTCATAGAACATTGAACGATCTGGCCGACCACGTCGAGATGCTCAAAGCCGCTGGAGGCCTGACGAGACGAGAGAACTCTGGCCCATCACCTACCACGGCTCGTCGGGCTAGCCAATTGGCCTCTCCGGACTCGCAGACATCCCCAACATCGATGCCGGGAGTGTCTGAAGGCACAGAGCAAGAAGAGCCTCGGCCAATACTGTCCTTGACACTGACTATGCTTCCGGCCCGGGGCTCTCTTTGGATGGACAAATGCCGTCGAGTATCGAGCCCCTGTCTGATAAGGTCCTGGACTTGGTGCTCAAGAAGATCAAAACCGATCATACACCTGGAAATCCTTTAGACTCTTCGACCACTATGGGTGCCCTTGTTGACCAGAAGGCGGTGGATCGAGTCAAAAAATACTTTGAGATTGGTAAGAGTGAAGGAGCAAAGTTGGTTACGGGAGGCCATGCCCCAGAGTTGACAGGTCCAATGTCAGAAGGCTTCTTCTGGTCTCCTACTATATTCGCGGACGTTAAACAGAGCATGCGCATTGCCCAGGAGGAGATATTTGGGCCAGTCATGAGCGTTCTCAAATGGACCGATGAGGACATATTGTGGAGTGATGTGAATCCGTTGAATACGGACTAACTGGGTCGGTCTTCACAACGAACGTGGTCACAGCGCAGAAGGCTGTGAAGAAAATGGAAGCAGGATACGTCTGGGTTAATACAAGCAGCACACACTTTCTCGGCATTCCATTTGGTGGATATAAGCAATCAGGCATGGCCAGAGAACACAGCTTGCACGAGCTATACGATCTAACTCAAACTAAAGCGGTTCATATGAGCCTGCAATAATGGATGCTGGAATTAATTTTACTGTGTGGTCGGATAGTTATTTAGTGATCTTGAACTTGCCATGTGGAGTCTATTCTTGTGATCTGAACCATCTAAAGAGCGATGAAGTGATTGGCAGAGGTATGCAAAGATACCTGAGGCAGGGCACCTGGGCATGCGAAGTCTTTTGGTGTGGCCAATCAAACCCCTCGGACTGAAGTTAGGGCGCGTAAGTCTTGAACAAATTGAGGCTGAGATCAATTCACCGTTTCTGAGATATTTGATATTTGAGACAGTCTTTTGCCAACATTACATTACAATCGAAGCAAAGTATTAAAAGGAATTGTAGTGACGTGTTTAAGAATTCCAATGTCTCTGCATCTGCCGGGTTATGTTTCTTCGGCCTTCGATATTGGCATCACTATGCAAGATGTTTATGCGCGAGACATGGACTGGGAGCCGCACCGTGACACAATCACGCGATTGTACTCCGATGAGAACCGCTCTCTCGACGAAGTCATGAGCATCATGGAAGAAGAGCACCTATTCTTTGCCAAGTAAGTTTGGATATATACTGGCACAGATATGTTCCGAAATGATCAGAAAGCAAAACTCACGACATGCAGAAAGAGAATGTACAGAACACGGATTAAAAATTGGGGCCTCGACAAAAAGCTCAAAGAATCAGAGGTGCTTCATATTGTGCATTTAAAGCAACAACGCGATGCAGTAGGAAAGCCATCCCGTGTGATTATTCGCAACAGAAAGATAGAGTGGGCTCGTATTGAAAAGTATATACGACGCAATCCGCAAATTCAAAGATCGATCTCATCAGGTGTTTTGACGGCTCGCGAGATTACAACGCAGGTCACCTGCAGAACTCCTTCTCCACCACCCACCGGTGAATACTCAATAAACGACGGAATTGACTGGAATCGAGTATTAGAGATTATGGAAAGGGGGCTCGAGCCTGAATTGCAGGCCAGTCCGCTGGTTTGCTTCGAAGCGTTACAGATGGTTCCTTTGCTCCACATCGTGTTGGTTCCTAAATACGGAACTAAATGCGAAATGTCTTTCCGCATTAAACTCACACACTCACCAGGGAGGCTAAGCAGCAAGCTTCCATCTCATGGAAGAGCTTATGAAAGCCGCCTACATCGTCTTGGATCAGCATTTTGTCTATTTAGCATAGCCCATTTGTTTTTCGAGCAAGAAGTGAGACGTATGTCGCTTTTACCTGTTGCATCCCATCATGATCAGCCTTGCGGTTGGATGGGGTTGAGAACGCAAGCACTGTCCGCTCTAAATTTGAGGCTTGAACATTCGTCGGAAGTCCGGAAATATATTGCAGAGATGAGACGAATATTGAAAGGACTTCCAACCGATTCGACAAGCTTGAAAGACCAGCAAGCCAGTATCAATGCGCAGGGTATATGTCTGTGGCTTCAAACTATGATTGCGACAATCTATGAAATGTTTATTGTCTTGCTAAAACCACCTCGATGTCTATCTATTACAATTCACGACCAGGTTTACGCCTTTCTGAGGGAGTTGTCGAAGGTCCCCTGGGTCAAGCTACCTAAATCCTAGTTGGAAGTATACAAATACTAAGCGAATTTGTACATAGGTGCTACAGTGCAAAAGGCGATGTCGTTTGTGCATCAGGGTGTATTGACAACTTATATTCTCTGCGCGAACATAGGATATGAAGAGTTGGCAAATCGAGCGCATCAATGCAATGCAAGGCTTAGCAAGTCGAAAACCTTTTGAATCTTGGATTTGACTAAAAAGTTAAATTTGTGGCGGTGGTCACAATCTTTCTGCTTAGAGTGACAGCATGCAGTGTGCGCTGTTCAAGTGGACACATGTTCCAAAATGTTTGTAGCATAGACTCATTACATGACCAGATTACTGGAAAGCAGCGCTTAAATATGCAGCTCACAGAACTTTCCTTGCGCTCCTTTAGGTGTTCACCCATTACATTGGTATGTTCTCTGTGTTCTGCGACGCGTTGTCCCTTCCTGGATGCAGGACATCCCACTTGACATTACGAGCAGAACGCTCGATCTGAGCAGCACGGTTCTTCTTCTGGTGACGACGGTATAGCCAGATTGCTGCAACACCGAGAATAGCCGCACCGGCGATCGAACCAACAACCGCACCAGCAATTGCACCCCCGGAGATGCCCTTGCTCCCACCACCGCTGGAAACAGCCGAGGTCGTTGCAGCTGATGTAGAAGATGCTGTAGCAGAGCTGCTACCGTGGGTGGTAGTCGGGGAGCTCTCACCATCGTCGATGGTGGCGTTGAAGCAGGGGATGGAGGTGGTGAAATCCTGGTTCAAGACATAGGTAATGTCGGCACAGGCATAGAAGGTCTGGTTCTGCGGCGAGTCAAAATCGGCAGTGTAGATGATCTGCAGAGTCGCGTTGCTGCCAGCAGACACGGTGTCGGGAGGGTTGGCAATGCTGACGCATGTGTGACCCTCGGCCAACTCCTTAAGGCTGGATGATGCGATCAGGACATTGAAGTCGGCGTTAGACTGGGGATCTAAATAACGTTAGTGATGTTGTTAATTGAAAAGGCAGGAATGAGAACGCTTGCGTACCATTTTGGTATGCAATGCCGACTTGAACATCATAACTCTCGTCCTGATCAACGAGAGCGATCTTTCCTCCGGCTAAGAAGAAAACGCTGCGTTAGTTTCCAACATCGATATTTTGTTTCGCATTCCCAATAAAATGCGGATCGACAGTGGGAACTCACTAAGGGGAAACTCTGTCCTGTTGCCGACTCCCTGGGACGATCCGCACGGGGCAGTGTTGTCCATGTTGGCAGACCACTCTCTGTCTGGGGGCCACATGAAAGCGGCGGGGCCCATTTCTGACGCCATGTCTGCGGTTGAGAGTTGATGAAAAGAGTTACAGTGACTCACTGAGTCGACAGACGGAACTTGGTCCAGAAAGAAAGGGGTCAAGCCAACAGGAGAGCATGTTCAGCTGTGCAGGTAATTTCCCTCAAACGCTCGAGGCTGCAGAAGCGACACGCCCTACATACATATAGAGTTGAGGGCATTTCATGGCAAACCATTGCCAAGAGCCCCCGGCCACCCATGGCTACACTCTCTCACCAACAAGATACACACAAGGTGGGAAAAGTCGGAGACCGAGGACGGCGCCATTGACAGGTGACTACGGCGAAGTGTTGTGGAGTCGCCTTCTTGGGAAGGCCAGTTGAGCTGCTCTTCTATTGCTAGTTTTCTGGCTAATCTATCGAAATTGACCATGTTCTGGGTCTGGCGGTGATTGGTGCCCGCCCCGCCCAGAGGCAGAGACCGGCATATCGTATTGGCTGGGGAGGATGGCTGTTAACTGGGCCGCCCTCCATCCATCACGAGAGGACTCAAAAAGTCAAAAAGACTGTTAGCGTTGGCGCATTGGCGCTGGCGCATGCCAAGACAATTTATCAGATCATTTGATAAGATTAATATTACTGATTGGTTCCCAGGATCTCCATCCGCCAGCCGGCTCCGACGCTCTCGGCATGGCATGACCGAGGGGGGCTAAGCGATGCATATTTTTCCCTCTCTTTTTTTTTTGTTTCTCACACACCCTGGCTCGCTCACCTTATTTACCTGCTTAGTTTGGGACTTACACACCATGTGGGGGACGGATGGGAAGCATGCTGCCCAGCAGCCCAGCCTCGTTTTGTCAGGCCTTGCCCCTTTCGCTCGCTACGCTCGCTCCCTCGTGTCCATGTCTACCCTGAAAGCGACATCGGCCGTCTTTCCCAGCCCATCATGAACCGTCATGCGCAGATTCTTCTAGTCTCCCGGACTCCGGGTTGTGCTCGCTGATGGATCCTGTCTTTTTTGAGTTGTCTTGACACATGCTATTCTGATCGATGCAGGGGCCGAACTCTGTAGAACCTCTCTTCACCGGCTCCACGACCCAAGAACAGCTACTCAATAGCGTGCCAAGACTCAATGGTCGGGCCTTCCACAGCTCCATGCTTACGTGTCGCGCTGGCGGTTGCCATCTCCGAGCACTCCATCATCACAAAGCGTTATTGACGGCCTAGCAGGGGAATCTCATCGATCCCACGTGTGGCTGCATATAGTAGTTTGCCAAGGCAGCTCACCTTCTGCAGCCAACCGCTCGGGAGCTCTTGGAGCAGGTGTATAAAGCACCCCCAACCTCCCTCGGTAAAGCCCAGTGCCAACACTCCTCACCTGCACTCTGCTTTCCCACACACACTCGTTCTGTCTAGTCTAGAACTACAAAGTTCCACAATAGTTAATCATGCATTCATTCGTTCCCGTTGCCGTCGCCGCTCTGGCCCCATTCGCTGCTGCCAGCGCTGTTCTTCCTGAGTTCCTGGACTTCTCTGTCTTGATCTCTCGTCAGGCGCCTGGCACTCCTGCCTACGAGTGCCACTCTGACTGTGGTAAGTTGACCGGACCTCTATTCTCAGAGCAAAAAGCTTGATAGACTATTTGTCAAGTAAAATCATGAATACTGACATAGCAATCTAAAGGAAACGTAATTGTCGGTGCCCGTACTGATGGTTACTGCGATGATGCGACCTGGCAGGATGAGTTCCAGGGCTGCATGGAGTGTGCCTACACCTATGACATCTGGCAGTACTACGGGACCAGTGTGACATCCGCCGCAGAGGCTTGTGGCCTGGCTGTCAACCCATCTCCCTCTGGCTCTGCCGCCACCTCTACCGCGGCTGCCGAGACCACCACCAGCGCTGCGGCTGCCACTACGACCGCTGCTGAGGAGACTACCACCACGGCCGCTGCTACGACTGCGGTTGAGACAACTTCCACCCCCGAGGAGACCACCGCTGTTGCCTCTACTGAGTCTGCCGTCGTCTCTTCTACTGCCTCATCTGCTGCTTCTGAGGTTCCCTCCACCACCAGCGCTGGCAGTGTCGGAACTAGCTCTGCAGTTGTAAGTCAACGAATTGCACGATATGACTATGAAAACCACTAATCACTGCTGCAGTCTTCCGCGAGCGCGACCTCCACGCTTGTCACCGTTTCTGGCGCCTCCAAGCAGGGTCTGGCGATTGCCTTTGGCGCTCTGGCTTCCGCCATCACCGCCGCTCTTCTCATGTAAGAGTCACAGCCAAGTAGAAACCATAATTAGTTCCAAGACAGTTCAGCTCAGGCCTGGTGGAGGATACAAGAAACTATCTTAATTCGGCTTCGCCTACCCACTGTAATAATGTATAACTAGTTAAACCTGAATAGAAAAGAGAGTATTAGTGCTGTGTGGAGACATACTTGTCAAGATCGTCCCTAGCGCCGCTTGTGTCATGACCTAGTTTTTGTGTTATCAGATCTTACTCCGCAATTGGTAATCTTCTCACCACTCTCCTTAAGGTTATCAGATCCGGTGTCACGCCCCGGCTAAACCGAGGAAAACAGGAAAAAAACCCTGGAATGCTTGGCTGGCTCCTGGGCTCTTGGCCAGCTAGTTTAGACTGATCGATAGCATTCGATAGCGCTTTTAATCCCGCGGACCTCCGGTCAACAACATCCAACTGATCAAGGAAAACTTGAGACAATTTCGGTGTTATTTGACCTGGCTCGGTGAGCATGAGAACTGATTTCCGAGCCCGAAAACGCGTTGCTGAGCTGTGGGACATAAAGAAATGCCCCATATACTCTGGAGATGGTATCACACTTGGAATGGATCTAGTGAATTGTTCAAGCTGACATGACCGAATACTGCTCTCCTTTTTGCGTCTTGAGTAACACAAAGTCTCCGCTCCCTTGGCTCTCAATACTGATCTCCTGATTCCCCTTCTCGCCGATGGGAGTTCCACCCAAGGTCAGCCAGACCTAACCGCCCAGTTTGCTCATTATTGTAGCTTTCTTCAGTGATCCGTCTTCACTCCACGCAATATCGACCTCAAAACCGCCCCTCGCAAGAAGTCCACTGACCGAGCCTCCGCCGTTGCTAGCCCATGAGGAAGGAAGCGCTGGCAACAGTCGTACAAGTGGAACTTTTCTCTCATAATCATCCCCAAGGGAAGCGGGCCGCAAGGCTGTACTGTTCTTTGACGCACACTTCGTCAAAATTTGTTCGTGGCTCTGTAGTAAAGCCTCCGCAATGCCTGCAGGTCCGCCAAGATTGCCATCTATCTGAAAGGCAGCCGGTGGCCCGGTGTCAAGAAGTGATTTGCCATAAGTGTAATCTGTGAGTAGAGTAGTTAAGCTGCTGTCTACTAAAGACGCGTTGAAGGTACGAGCTGCGAGCGAGATCGTCCAAGCACGAGCCCAACCTGTGTCGCCACCGCCATTGCTAAGACGCCTCGACATTGTCACTTTCGCTGCTTCAAACGTTGTCTTGTTAGATGCGGTAATCTCGCTGCCTGGATAGAGTCCAAAGAGAGGCGACCAGTGTCGATGGCTTATTTCAGTCTCCTTATAATCCTCAATCCACTCCATGATTCCACCAAATGAGTTGACTCTGAGTGGCGGGAGCCGTGCTCTCAACTCTTCAATACTTGAAATAAGGTCTTCATCCTCAATTCCTAAGATGCTTTGAGATTCAAGAACCATACCGAGCAGAGCCCAGACAATTGAGTTGTCGATGGTCGGGCCAAGTGTGATGGCGGCTGCGCTCGACGAATTCGGGAGATAATATTTGTTCTCTGGCGAGATCGAACGATTTGTCACCTTCCAGCCTTTGTAGTCCGTCATGAAGTCCAGGAAGAATAGCACGGAGTCTCTAAGAGCATCGAAATGTTCACGCAACACATCGACATCACCGGTGAATTGGTAATGTTCGAAGATGTGTGTCGCCAGCCACGCAAGACCGGATGGCCAGAATGTAGATGACACATAGTTGTCGTGAGGAGCAGAGTCTCCCCAAAGGTCGGTATTGTGATGGCATACCGCACCTCGGGCTCCATACATAGACTTCACTGTGTCGAGCCCCATCGTACGAACCTTTTCAATGAGGTCAAACAGCGGCGCGTTCAGGTCTGCAAGATTGGTGACTAGGGCCGGCCAATAGTTCATCTGGGTATTGATGTTGATGGTGTACTTCGATCCCCACTGGGGATCTATGTCTCCATTCCAGATGCCTTGCAGGTTTGGCGGCAATGTGCCACTCCTCGATGACGAAATGAACAGGTATCGCCCGAACTGGAAATATAGAGATGCAAGCTCTGGGTCAAATACTTTGCCGGCTGCACCTATGCGAGCGGATGTACTTCCTTGTTTCTGATCTAACGATGAAGTTCCTAGGTTCAGCGACACCCTTCCCGCAAGGCTCTGATAGTCGTCGATATGTTCCGAGCGTATCACTTTATAACTGTTGCCAGTCACGGCCTCTAGATCGCCAAGTACAGCAGCTTTGGGATCAGGTTTTCGGAAGGAAGTCCACGCGGTGAAGTACACCACCGCCTCATCCGCACCCTCGCACTTGACATAGTCGCCGATAGTATACACTTTTCCAGTTGAAGCAACGATCTTCGCACCAGCAGCAAATTCGATTGTGTGTACGCTTGCGCTGCCCCCGCCCATGATGACCGTGTCGGAGCCAACTTTCTGGCTGTAATCTTCCCAGCGATTAAGGGATAGACCTTTACGCAAATGAATGTTGAAATCAACAGCTGCAGGCTTATCCGCTTTGATGCGAATCGCGATCAGCCCAGTAGGCTCACTAGCGATGTACTCGCGGGTGTAGGTGACGCCATTCACGACATAGTAGACCCCAGCAGTGCTGTCGGCTACGTCTAGCCACCGTTCATACTCTTTCACAGTACTGCTGTTATTCATGGACAGCTCAAGGTTTCCCCAACAGCTCGAAATGCCGAGTGGACACCGGGGTACCTGCGTAGGCAAAGGAGGCGAGTGTAGCCGCGTCTGAAATCCTACCATCGGCAAGTTGAGCCTGCATGACAGGCATGTTGTCCAGCGCGTCGGGGTTGACACGGTGCAACTGGCCGCCAGACCAAAAGGAGTCTTCGTTAATCCATATCTTCTCCATTTGGGCTGTGCCTGGTAGGGCAGCGCCGAGACGCCCATTGCCAATGAGGTATGAATCGTTGAAGTAGGTGCCTGCAGATGACTCCCAGAGACGGGACGGCACTGATGCAGAATTCGGCGCTGCAGCAATAGTGACGGGTACCAGAAGGAGTATCGCCGCCACAAGAAGCCTGTTCAGGTGATGGGACGAGGTCATCGCCATTGTCGACCAACCTGCCGCCCCAATGGGGGTTGGATGAAGTTCATACATTGTGTAAACCATCATCTTGAAGGACTACCCTCTGGCTGCTCGGGTTTTATATCCTCGAGTTCACTGGCTTCAGTCATCAAAGTAGCAATAGCTTAATAGAGGAAGCTCTGAATGATATTACCCTGGCCAATGTGGCGGGATGAGGGTATAACAGGGGCTGTGTGTGGTGACAAGGATGGTTTGCAATCGCTGACTTCGCGATCGTCGCCAGGAGCAGCACCGAAGCCGAATGATGGAGTGCCAGTTGCCCACATCGTCGTACACAAGCGCTGATCTAGCATGTATGCAAACAATTAGCCTCTCTAGAACCAGTTCGGCAGCACAGATACGGCTGGATCAACACTGCTGGCATGCACAAGTTCCAGAGACCTACATAGGTAGTATCACTCGATGCCCAGAGGCAAGTTTTGGTATGCACTGGCCATCCAACCGTCGGGATTTACATCGTAGGGGCAATAACGATTATGATGATGATAAGAATTCCCAACTGAAGTCTAATACTGGATTTGCAAGATAGTACGATCGTCCTTTGAAATGACGAAGAGAAGCACTAATCATTTAGGCGAGTTCGCGGCGGAACCTTTCGAATCCCACCAACAGCAGGAGCAGACTGGGCAGCCGGATGGCGAGGGTAAGATTGGGGTAGCCCGCGCTGGGAGCCCTGGCAATCTCCATCCAGGGGCAAAACCAGCACCTTTCCCCGCAACCTCCCCCGCATTCTCCCTATCAACGGACACTTAGGTTGAACCTACAGAGGCTCATCTTGACCTAACATGTTCGACAGCAGAAAATAGGGGAGATTTAAGCACTCAGAAGTGGGGAAATGTAGATTGATCGCCATTGAAAGTCAGTAGCCAAACTCGCGACGGAGTTTATGCAAATTGTTGAAAGGAATGTATCTTATCAGAAGCGCTAAATGGACGTAAGAAAAGCTCCTTTTCCAAGGAGGGTAGTTGTAATGATAGAAAGTAAAATGTCGTCAGTGCTCTCTTTGGTCATCAAGGGGCCAAAATTGGCTTCAGACAACGTTGTCTAGACCACGGAGAATGTTACGGCTGGATCGCCAAACGCTTCTAGGCAGTCTAGACACCGCATTTATTGAGCTTCATCATTCGACAGATGATAGGAAATTCAATTCAACAGTAGGAGATGACATATTTTTTACCTATTGATGTGTTTTCAGGAAAAAATATTGTTCAAAGAGATATTGCCTCGTACGAATAATCACGCCGGGAAAGGGAAATAATCCAGGGAATGGATAATGTAGCTTGCGGCTTGAATGATGCCGCATCGAGGACGTTTTTATTTATTTCTTTTTCCTAGACGTCGTAGATACGAGCCGTTTCTTCAGGCTCTTGGGCATCTTCTCTTTTCGCTTCTCTCGCTTTGCTTCCTTCACGGCCGCCTTGTGTTGCTTCATTGGAGTTAGTGCACGCTGTTCATCTCATCAAGGAATGAAATGCATTTGGCATACCTTCTTCTCATCCTTATCCTCGTGCTTGCGACCCCTTGGCCTGCCCTTGTCGAATCGGCTCTCGTCGCCACTCTCATCACTGTCTAGCGGTGCACCACTGTCCGACTCGTCATCCGAGGATCCTCCTTCCTCGTCATCCTTCTCGGCGGTCTCGTCATTTGGTAGGACAACCTGGTCGGCAATGAGGTTGCGGTACACGAGGTCATCTCCTCGGCCTTCACCCAGTGCTTTGGCATCCTTCTCGATGTCATACACCTGCTCCAGAGTCTGAGGGATGTATTGATTCCTGAAGACTTCATTATCAACCTCTAGGTCAGCCAAGGCTTGCGGATTGTCCTCAACGGGTATTCGGATCTCATAGAGATGTTCAACGGCTTGGGATAGGCCCGGCTCTTCGACAGCACCTTCCGGGGCTGTGATGAAGTTAAAAATGGTCCTGTCAGCTAATATGTCGACACCTTGTCTCCGGAAAAAGTCGCCGACATTCTTGATATCCATCCGTAGAAATTCAAGTGACCTAGGGTGATCGTGCTCCACACTCTGGGAGACATCGATGATGAACAGCGTCTTGTCGTTGTATAGGATGTTGTACTCGCTCAAATCCGCATGTACAAGCTTGCAAACCTGGTACAGCCGCCTCATTATGCCAAGCAGTTGGATGTATAGACTCCGCCACTCCTCGTCAGTGTTAACCGGTGCGTCACGAAGTCTCGGATATGCCCAGCCTCGCTTGTCTCCTAAGAAGTCCATGACGAGGACGTGCAGCTTCAGGGCGATCGGTTCCGGGCACAGAATGCCAGCCGCGTGTATCCTCCGTAGATTCCTGAACTCTTTCTCGGCCCACAGCTTCACCATCTTCCTGTTGTTACCCTTGTCCGTTCCAGACTTGAACCTATGCTCTCCAGCAATGTACCTCTCTCGGTCCTTGAAGACCAAGATGGCCGTTTTGTAGACTTTGATTGCCCGCTGTATCGCAGCAGCCCCACCTTCTGGGTGCAGAACAGCGCCATAGACGTTGGCTTCCTTTCCTGTGCTGATCGCGCCGTGGATCTCGCTCACTACACCACGGTTGATCATCTGCAGCAAGATCATCCGCGTCCGCTGGTCCAGGACCAGCTCACTCGTGGCGCGATCCGCCTTGTCCTTGTCCCTCTCTGTGTTCTGCTTGACATCGTCAAGCCTGATCTTGGCTGCATGCTTGGAGAGGGCCGAGATCTGGTCGTCGATGCTCGCAAATGTGTTTGCGCTGGGTTTCTGCGCATTCGAGCGGGGCAAGGCGGCGGCGGGACCGGCGGTGTTGTCGTGGAACTGACGTTGTCTGTTGTAAGACTTTGTGAGATCGCTCGAGCTGGGGTCCCAGCCATCGTCATCCTCTATTATCTCTTCGTTGTCGTCGAAAATGTCGTCGAGATCCTCGTCGTCATCGTTCTGAGGCGGGGCATTTCGCGGGGCAGCGCCTGCCAGCTCTGCGGGCACAGGCTCTGTGTTCTCGTACCCGCGGTTGCGGTCAAAAGCGTATGGAGGCTCGTGGGGAGCCGTTGAGGCTGCCGGCGTGTTCTGTGCCATCTTGGAATTGCTGCTGGTTACTTGAGGCACTTCCAGACTTTTCGAAGGGTGTGAAAAGAAGAGTTAAGCATACTGAAGCTGAAAATTGTGGGTTCTTCCCGCCTGTGATGATGCCCGACACCTCAATTTTCTTCGCACGCTCCAGAAATTTTAGCGGGCCGCCACCGCCTTATCGTTATCGCCCTAGCGCCCTCTAGCCACAGGTGTGGCCATTGCATTGTGGCTGCCTGCCTTTCACCCCCTTTTCCCATATGTAAAGACCTCATCGTGACGAGTGTACTCATATCTGATGCGCTGTGATGGCTAATGGTTTGTATAGTGATTGCCGAAAGACGCTACCGATCACCCAATAGAGAGTCCATATCAATGTCCCTGTCTCTCCTAACTTGTCCACCGTCATCTCCAGGGCCGACATCGAAACCCGGCTGCGGTCCTGTATGATACTTCACAATCATTGTCCTCGCTAGATCTTGAATCTCATCCAACTCCATAAGTCGGGGTTGTGACGCCTGTGTCTGAGGCCCTGGCCCACCAATCCCGTTCCTCAAGCCGAAAAATAACAGAGGCAGTACGTTTCCTTTCCAGACCGGCTGGCCCGGTTCCCCATAGTTCCTCATCACCATCCACACCAGAAGCAGTGCAGACGCAATCACCAGTCCTCCCGGAAGCAATAGCCACCTCCAGTCCAAGTAGGTACACACCGTAGTCTCAAAGACCTGTCCCTGCGCCACAACCGCAAGCGCGTCAATCGCCCTTGGCACGTAGTTGCCACTGCCGGTGCTGCGGAACTTGTTCGTGATAGCCGTCGCGAAGTCATCAATCTGACGGGAGAGCGAGGCAAAACTCGCATTTCTCTCGCTGTACAGGGGACTCAACCACCACCAGTTGGGACACCACAGCTCGCCGCCTTGTCGCGCGTTGTAGTTGCAGCGCCCGTTGAACAGCGTGTACATGAATGCCTGGAGTGCCTGCCCGTACACGCCGTACAGCTTGTAGAGACACTCGTCCGGCGCAGTGATGTTCCTCCCGTCTATGTTGATGGTGACGAATCGTCGGTCAGCAGTATGGGGGGCATTTGACACATTGGTGTCAGTATAGACAGCCCCATCAAGTACGCACGGCGAGCGTAGAGCTGTGTAATTGTATATGATGTAGCTGTAGCTCTCATTTGTCTCGAAGAAGTTAAATGGTGCTGGTTTGGTGGACACGACACGCTCGTCGAGAATACCGCTGGTAACTGATCCAAAGTAGGACCGAAGGCAGGGATAGATGGTGCAGCTGGTGGCCACCGCATCTGCTGTACCAGCGTACGTGTTGTTGCTCCAATCGTGAGGACAGGTCAAGCCACTGGATGAGTTTGTGCATGTTGACTGTGACACAGATAGTATGCTGATATTGGCGAGAGCTGAGGGAGCTGCCTCCGCAAAGTCAGCTGAGAACATGCTTTGGGCGTAGCTAAGATTGCTCATTCGCACTGTAAGCCAGGGTGCGTCGGAGCCGAAATTGATTGTGGTTCCATCAGGAAGGGAGATGTTCCCGACGTCGTTCGGTGGGGATATGAGGCTGGTTGTATCGATGCACTTGCTGCACATGCCGATACTTGCATGCGTAACCCCAGTGCCGTAGTCTGGAAACGTACAGTTGCCTGTGGGGCAGGACGCAATCACCGCTGTGTCGTTGCCTTGAGGATTGGTGAGGCCATTAATCATGGTGCCCTTCATGTCCACCTCAACCTCCCACTCGCCGGCAGCAATTCGATAGAAATTGCTCGTGTCGGGCACATAGTTCGCAACAGGCAGCGTTGAGTTGACCTTGGCCACCACCTGAGTGCACGGTCTGCTCTTGATAGCCTGCTGAGTGAAAGGCCCGATCGCAAAGCTCATGATTGTGATGAGCGCCCCCGTCAGCGCGATTGCGCCAGCCGATGTCCCGCCGCGGACGAATACCACACCAAGAAGCCTCAGCGAGCCCAATACGCTGCGGCTTGCCTCGTCAAAGTCTTGTAAATGGTGCAATGGCCGTGGATGACGTGTAAACCATGACCATTTGGCTTGACCCAAGATCTGTGCCACGACTACCAACATCGAGGCGCGAAAGATCGTGGAAAGCAAGGCAATGAGCGTATTGAGGTTGATGCTAAACGGCCATTCTGGAAGCTTTTGTCCATGATAATGACTAAGGATTGAAATAATGGCAGCCAGCAGACCGATTGCGATGGTGAGGGACACGACCTCCCAGCGCCAGAAGCGCAGGACGCGGTGCTCGTGCGGTCGCCATCGCGTCGCATTTGGAGGGCTTACAGGCGGGTCGATAGGATGCGATTCCTGATGAAAGTCGCCATATTTCCCAGCGTCGTATGAAGGAGGCTCATAGATACCTGCCTTTGATGTGCTGCCGGTGTTCAAGCCGCTGTATGCTCCTCGGTCTCCGAGGTCAGACTCGTGTGACCATCCCGAGGGTTGTCCCATATCGGTAGAGCGCTGATGAACGAGTCGCTCAGAGCTCTCATGTAGTCGAAAGGACGGTCTCCAAAGCGATGCCCTCGAGTCCGCCATCTCGAGGACTATCAAGAGTCTCCTTAGTCAGAACCACCTGTCCTAGGATCCCAAAGTGACGAGCTTTCCCGATGGAAAAAGCCACCTGGAGGGCTTGTTGGGGGTAGACTAGACGGACCTGCATGCGAGATCATCTCTCTGCTTAGCGTCCATCCTTCCTTAATTTGCCCCGCTGTAGGGCTGTGAAACAGGGGGGTTCTGTTCATGCATGATTGGATCTGGTGTCCCCTGTCGCACGAGCTGAAAAAGGAAGCTGTTTCAGGCATTTTTACTGAGGCTGCGATGCGAATTGTAGCCGCATTTGATGATGTTCATTCTGGCGGTTCGGGTACGGAATGGTCACAGTAGGCATCTACACTGCGCCCTTTCAATTTTCCCATGGCAGTGCCGATTGTGATAAAGAACAACCAGCACCGTGGATTTCAACGGTAAACCACTGTCAATTCAATGCTTGTGACAAGGCAAGATTCGTCAACTTGTTCAATCGCTGTGGCTAGCATTATGCAGAGTGATCGAAGAGAATTTGGGCAGTGTTGCGTTGCTGACCAAGCTGCGAGGATGTAGCTAAGTCCGGCCGCCGTCTTAGCCTGGAATAGTTACCTACGAGAGGCTTGAGCTAAGTAAGCAGTATGCTTACTCACGAGCTCTTGGTCCAAGCCACTACATTTGGTTTTTAGGAATAAGAGACGGTAGTTTTCTGTTGGTTATAAGATACATGGCATCCCCTAGACATCTGTAAATATTCTCTATTCTTATCTCCAGCCCCAGGAATTCCACTGATCAGGCGCTCTAAACCGTCCCGCAACATGTCTGTCAACGTAACCACGAACCCTACCGAGAGCGCAGATGCTGTCAAAGCCGCTCTCCACGCGAATCTATTCTCCGTGTTCGATGAGAGAGACGAGACAGCACGAATGAAAGCAGTTAAGGAAACTTATGCAGAAGACATAACCTGGTACGAACCAGACCGTGTCATCAAGGGCCACGATGCACTAAGCGCAAGAGCAGCGGAGATCCAAAATGAGGCCCCAGGATTCAAATTTCAAGCAGATGGAGATATGGTAGCTACTCAAAACATGGGGATGCTTCATTGGAAGTTTGGACCAGAGAACACGCCTGACTTAGTGCATGGCATCGATGTGGTGATCGTTGAGGGAGGGAAAGTGAAACTGTTGTGGACTGCCGTTACAAAGGTCCCCAGGATGTAGCTCATGGGGCTTCACATATCTTTGCCCAGACGAGTTTTGTTTAAACCATGACAATGAAAATGTTGAATATTTTTGGTCCATCAGCATCAGTTATATACGTTCCTAATTCGTGAAATGTTCTGCGCCAAATGTACCCTGAAGGTCAATTTGCAACAGCTTGCTGCTTTGTATCTCCTCTCTTTTCTCGTAAAGATCGTCCACGCTCCAGTTACTATTCATATATCTACCGTTCATGAACCTGGCCTTCTCTGTGCTTAACCAAACAGCGACACCTCCCACAAGCTCTGGTGTATCCAGAGCAAACTTGCGGAATTCCGGCGCTGTCATGTCGGTCATAACCACTCCAGGATGCAGAGCCACAGATGTTACATTCGGGCTCTCAGCGGCGACCAATGTTGCCATCTGCAAATTAATAAGCTTCCCCAAAGAATAGGCACTGTTGCCAGGGTAAACACCGTATGCCATGCCCGATGTCAAGCTGATGATAGTTCCGTGCGCTGTCGAGGGTAGCTGTTTAAGAAAGTGCGTGGTCATCAAAAATGTTCCTTTGGAGTTCAGTGACTAGATCTCATTAGTATTGTGGACGCAGCATCCATGAATGTCCGAGAACTCACGAAGTCATCCCACCACAAGGCCGGATCAATCTCTTGTATAGTTCCATGAGCCTTATGAAGGCCTGCATTGTTAACCAGAATGTCCGCATGTCCATACTCAGCGGTTATATTGTCATACAAGGCTTTCACTGCGGCATCGTTTGAGATATCCGTGGCTATTACGGATGTTTTGATACCTGAGTTCAGCTTTGAAACTTCTGCGGCCACTGCATTCATCGCGTCGGCATTTCGAGAGACAAGTACCATTGCTTTAACACCAGCTCTGGCGAACGATGGAACCAAGCCCTGCAGAGGGTCAGCTTCCAGCATTGCAAGATGATAAATTGTCAAAGACTCATCATACCTTGGCTCCCAGACCTCTGCTGGCACCGGTGATGATCACCGTTTTACCGGCCAATGATAACTCTGAGGAGGAAGGATCAATAGCCGGGTATTGATCACGGTAGACATGCTTTGTGAATTGCATAGAAGTGACGAAAAAGTCGGCAGGCAAAGACTCCATTTTGACGAACGGTGTGTTTCAGTTTGAGGATTGCTGGTTCGATTTATGCTGATACGAAATATACGGCCTAATGTGATCTTTTGAAACGCCTTTTCAAGCTCAGTTGGTAGGACGGAAAGGGCAGATGTCAAGGCCCTTCTCGACTACTTATATATGTCATTCACCCAGCGTCCCTCTAAAGAGCAAGATTCTACAATATTCTGAAAAGTTACATCAGCTCATGGAGCATGTCAGTGACCATAATGATGATTCAGAGACCAAGAGAATAATGCTTAATCAGCAGATACCAGTAGAACCGGTAAAGTAACGCCTCCATGCAAGTTACAGGGAGTCCAACTTCCCAGTTCGGCAACTGGTGGCTGCGCGTAGGTTCTCATTTGACAGACCTTAGCGCTGGATCGCTGCAAACTAATGCCGGCTCCCGTCGCTGGTAACAATACTCGTCAACAGTGTGAGATGCATATCTAGGAGCGTATTAAACCACGCAGATTCCACCTCACACTCGAACTATGGACGTGACTTCATTTTTATTCATTTATAAGCCGTGTATCAAGTGTCTATGTTTGCTTCTAATATTGCTGCCACCTCAGTCCTCATTGCTTCATCCTTGCTGGCGAACATACAGTCAAACCACAAAACGTTCTTGATATGTGCCATACCATCGTCCCAGGTCAAGATACCGTTATACTCGAAGACCCAAGCTAATTGATCATAAAACCATGCTTCTTCCAGACACTCGTGCGCCTCCAGCCCCGCCATGTATAAGATCCAGGCCTGCAATGGCCAAAGCCCACCCCATTGAACATCGTTCATTTCGAGAAAGTTTTTGAGCTTGGAGACCAAATATGCAGATACAACCGGTGCTACGCCGAAGAATCGCCAGACTGGAACTAGGTAAATCAGTGTTCCAAGTCGGCATGCCTCTTGAATGATTGCTGCCCGGGAATCTATGCAGCCAAGTGGCCTCCAAGTGAGAAGCTGGTGAATGGTATTACTAGCCCAAGCACCAAAATCAGAAGAGACCACAGTAGAATGAGGCCTATAGCTAAGGCTTTCGAATGTGTGGAAGGAGAAGCTAGCCATGTCCTCATAGAAATTTAGCCATTCGATATAATCCGGCAACTCTCGAGTCCATATGTAGCGAAGCCATTCGATGCACTTCTTTGTTTGTGCGGAGGTCGGCGGAGGCACGCCGTAAGGCTTCCACTGACGCGGAAGAGGAAAGCATGGCTGCATGTCTAATAAGTACGCGCCTCGGAGTTCACACCTGGAGAAGTCTTAGTCCAAGATACACTGCAAAGCAACGAAGATCACAGCCATGCTCAGCCACTTACCAAGATACAGTGATCCTGAGAGCCTCGTTTGTCTCTAGTTGGCCAATTCCACCCCGCAAAGTAACTAAATCCTGAAGTCCCCTGTGATGTGTCTTCCAGTCTTCGCCCGCGCCGCGGATGTCCTGCGCCGCACGTCAGTGGAGGATTGCATGCCAAGTCTCTACGGCACGACTAACTGCATGTGCCATCAAGCCGGTGACAGCACCTATTACTGCATCAAGGACATTCAGATCACTGCTTTTCATTTGGTCTCGAATACAAGCAATCGCCAGTGAGTGGTAGTGAATCGAGGCTGGCGAATCAGCCGCTTTTCCGCCTCCTTTCTGTGCCGAATTTAGGTGTAATGCAGAATTAGATAGTATTTGTAGGAAAGCGGCTTTACTTTGCAATCCAACGGTAAACCAAGCATCTCGCAGTGGTCTTTGTTGCCCATCGTCGTCACGGAAAACTACGAATTGGTGTTAGAGTATACACAGTCAGTGGTTGAAGACTGCCGCTTTCGTTGACGAAATCGGCCATGGAAACAAAATGGAGGGAGCCTCACCAAACGCAATCAACTCTTTCCCTCGAGCATCTAGCTCGACTGGAAACTTGACGAATGGATCAAGGCTTCCGAGGCCAGACCAACGTACACCCAACCACCACGAGAGCTGAGTCTGCTGGGCTCGCT